CGGGTTAGTAGTAACTAACAAATGTAGTTCAACAATAACTATTTCATATTTTAGCGAATAAAACTATGTTATTTATTAAAGACTTAGCTTACGTAGATCTATCAGTCAAATCATCAGTAGCTTACAATGTGGATAAATATGACTCAACGTTTAGTTTTTTGTATTGAGCATTTTAAAAAGACATTCTTATAACTCTATTTATCGCCATACTAATTCATACGTTATATACCCCTCTAGTTTCTGAATAATTTGAAGTCTTTTCACGTGTACGTTTGGGAGTGTTACTGTTTTCATGTAAATACTGTTTGATTGGAGACTATTTAGGTAGAGTATTTAATTCTAGCCGAAAATGTACTGTTAGAAAAAATCCCACTCTATCAGCTACAACTGCACAAACATTGCAGTGATTATGTTTACTTATTTATATGTTTCATATTGGACGTTTTATTATTATGCGACGACATTTTTGTGACGACTTGAAGGTCATTGATCACATAAAAACTACAAACGTTTTCCACTTTTCATCTAATCATTGTACTATTTGTTTAGTTATCGACAATAATATTTTTTTCATTTGAAGACTTTCGTATAACTTTAAAAAAACTAATCACATTTACAACGTATATCAATAATTTATCCTTTAATATAAATACTACCCAGCTGAAATATTTGTCTGATATTATAACTTCAATCTAAACGGTTTTAACAATGAGGTGAAATTAACTTGAAACGAGTTTTCCCCAGATTTTCTACCTCATATTTTACCTGGTCAGATCAAAACATTGTACCATTCACTACAACCTATTATTATTATACAGTAATAACTATTAAATTCCTCTGACCATTTTGACGTACACGTGGAATACAGCGAAAGGTTAGTAGAAATGAATTACTGAAGACTATTTAAGTACTTATCAGTTGATAGATATTTATATTTGTCCCCTTGCATCGGTCATGGTAACCACTGATGACTGCACAACTTTGTAGAATAAATAGCATTTTGTTATAGTTCTCTTATGTGCTTTTTTGTAACAAAATCAGTGGTAAAATGGCAAGTAAAAACTATAATCTTATTACTCTCACTTAATAAAAATCATTCATACTTCCTATTCTCAAGATTGCTAAATGGTTTGCTGTGTTGTACATATAAGATAAGATACAAGGTTTAAACTCAACATTCAACTATATGATTTAAGTACTTTTCGATCAATATATAGATGGCAAAATATTCACAAGTAGCTGATCAGTGCATTCACAGATTTATCAATAAGTTCAGAGTATAATGTAGTATGTTATTTTTGGAAGTAAGAAATTAGATGAACATGGTGCCGTTAGGTTTATTTAAATCCAACTCTGAATGATTTTCCATGTAGTTCCACGTAAATCTATGAAGCGAAACTACCAAAATAGTACGTTTCCAAAAAACAGAAAATTTATCATTCATTTCAATAACATTCACTTTTACTGGAATATTTATTTATCCATAAATAGATCAGTTTGAACAACGTAATTATGCGATCTGAATAAATACTGGAAATCAGACAGTGGTGTAATTACTTCTAAATTGCCGGATTCGTGTTTGTGAAAGTAGAATGGCATGTAATAATCAACATGATAAATTTAAGGCGACTTTGTTGTCAGACAATAAACGTAATTATGTTTTTTGTCTTTATTATTTTCTATAAACAGCTATCAGGTGAAATCACAAGCGTGTACAAGTAATCCTAACCATATAAATCATTCAATTATGCTTTATTTTAATGTATTTATCAAAATTAAACAGTGATATAGGCAGAGTTGAATAAAGCAGAGATTTCAGAGTTGCGATGGATAATATATATTTGATATAAAGTAACTGTATCATCATGATTTTTCATCAACAAATGATCTTCAACTTTGTAATTAACTTTTTATGTATGATAACGTGCCCAAGTATTCGTTTGTAACTATTATTATTATAACTACCAATACTACAACCACTATTACTAATTAATCACCATTTTACAGTCTCAGGGCGGTGGAAATGTATGATATTGTAATAAGTTCGCTATTTAAATTCCAATTTCTATGATTTGATGTGAAAGTATCCGGGAAAATTTATATATTGTACATGCATCAAAACTAAACCACTCAAAATGGAATTCTCTTCCTAACAAAAAGCATAATCGACACTAATATGATGTAGATAATGTAAAACAATCTGTCAAAAAGTCACCGATATATATATTGTATATTTAGCCTGAGTGTATTTTGTCTAATTTGTTTCATGTGAACTTTATCAATATGAAAATGTTTCTCATACAAATATGGATTTTAGTGCAAAGATGATATCTTAATAATGTCAGTAAGCCGGTTTCGAATATTACCACTTTTAGGAACCCGTGGAAAAATATCTTTAAACTCGTGTTTATTCCGTACGCATGAATTCGAAAATTTAAGCGAAATCCACGCTTGTTTGATCATAATTGTAAATCCAGCAAGCTTGGGATATTTCAAAACAATCAAGTGAGAAATGTAAGATTGAATGAAAATTTTATTAGAAAAATATATTACATACTGTAATCATAAGCTACCATCGATTACCAAATGTGTTATCTTGCATGAAAGTTGCGAAATCGAATGAGAAATAAAGCTATTGCCTAGAAATGAACTACTGAAAATGAAATAAATTAGTGAAGTTATTGATAGTTTATCTAATTTGTGTGATTGAACTGGAGCTTTCAATTCGTCATGCAGATATTAGTAGTAGAATGTTTTGCATACAGTTTTAAATTGAAGGCAAATTTGGTTATCTTTTAAGTGTAGTGGCAAGAATATAGTTGATAATAATTTTGTTATACAAATATATTCATTTTTAAAATAGTGCCTTATCTGATGACTGCATTAATTCTGGGTACACGTCATGAGTCAATGTCTTGAAATCATCTACTACATTTAAAATTAATTAATGTAAGAAGATGACGTTTGTTACTAGACTTTATTTAAACAGAATACATCAACTGGTTCGTCAGTAGGAATGAATGAGTACTTATTACGTATTCCTCACATGAACCCCAAATATAAATGTGTATTCAAATATCAGTAATACTAATAGTTGAAACTAAACAAACATAATTGTCTCATCTACGAGAAAATTAGGAACAAAGGATGTTGTTTTCAACTTTTCCACGTAAACCAATTAGAATCGTCAATTTGTATTTAATTTAATATGATGAATAGACTAGGAATGTTAAAAAAACTTTCCGGAACTGAGACGCTTATAGCATATTAACCAGGGGATTCAGTGTTTGTCTAAGATAATATTAAAAATTAAACGATCCAGTAGAATTGTGGTTGCTGATTCGAATCATGTAGAGAGTCTAAAGTAGCTGAGTTGGAGTCTTCAGTTTTCTGAATGGAAACAGCAGAAATAATTATGTATTATAGTATAGTTCACAGTGACTGAAACGAGTTCTCACTTTATTGTTTATTTCATACATTTACAATTCATCATGATCATTTGCCTTTCATTAATATATTACTAGTTACATTATTTTTGATACCACAGGCAAATAGCCAGACTCCTCAGCCTAGCTAAGCTTTTTCTGTTTGATAAACGTTACTACTTAGATAACGCTAATTTGTATGCTGGTCGAATAAGTAATGTGTTTTGAACGAAAGGCTTTTTAGGTACTGATAGCACGGTGATAATTTCTTTCGCAAACTTGTATATACTAATATTTTCAGAAAACTCTTCTATTACCACTATTTTGAAACTCAATGACAAGCGATGCAAGAAAACAAGGATTTCAAAGAGCTAGACTTATCAGTTGAAGAATAAAGAAATTCATCAAATAAACCTATCTAATTTTATTATTGTTGCATATGATATTCATTATGGTTTGATCTTATTCGGGACTGAATAGATATTCCATCCTAGTATAATCTTAAGCAGTGGGTAGTTAAACCAAGGATCGAAAAGAGCACTTTAAGACTTCTCAGAGGATCCTGAACAGTGAGAGTAATGAATGCCCACTGATAAGGAGTCACAAAACAGAAGGAAGAAACTATTCAGTTTTCCCTGGCTTCCAATGGCACTCCAACTGAAATCAATCCATAAAGAATATGACTTACACATTAACTTCAAAAAAATCGCTTCATGCTTACTACATGTATTGTAATGTATGCTACTTACATCGACATACATTAGTAATATGTAACATCAATCAGAGGTGAAATTCCTGAGAGCAGAAGGTTGAGAAGATCTAATAGAAGAGAATAGGAATGAAAACAAAGGGTGATTGTAATAACAGGAATGAAGGAATGATGAAGACTGTAACAGACGATTGATGGAAGATATAGAAATGAAGTATTCAATGTGTGATTTTCATATTTTACCAAAGAACTCTTTAATTTTGCACTAAACAATTAGATGTTCCTCCCCACTAGATTTCGTTCACTACAATACAAGTTCCCAAGATTGCGTCTTAACTAAGAGGAATTTTAGCAATTGAGAGATGTCGAGTTTTCTCAGCTTACAGTTGTGTCTTCAGACAAAATAAAAATAACAAACGACAACTTTCTTAAAGGCATGGTATTGGACAACAAATGTTACCAAATAATGAAACTAGATAAAAAGTAAGGAAAATGGAAAATCGTTTCTTCCATACAAGTTTACATGGGGAAGAAAGTGAATAAAAAATACTTCAAAAAAATCAGAAAAATAATGTTATTTGAGTAAGAGAATTACAGAAGTCAGGAAATTTAATATTAGTTTATGCCATCATCATTATCGTCTAATAGTTATTATTAGTTATATGAATACCGAACAGAACATTAGAGAAATAAATAAATGAACAAACAGAGCAGAGACCATCATATAAACCAGATTGCAAGAAAAATAATGATATAGCTCGATATTCTGAAAATAATCATATATCAAAAAGTTATGAAGTCATACAAGAAACATATGATGAATATAATAACGTTCGTGTCAAGTATGCCAGTTTTGAATTCTCATTCTATTTATGATTTTCCGTAGACATAATTTCGTCACATAATCTGTTTATAATTTCGGAATATACCTTTCTGGCTTTGTATCGGGAAATCTTGAGTGTTGGAGTGAGCAACCCATTTTCTATTGTGAAAGTTTCATCAGTCAGATGGATTTTCTTCAACTAAAATCGTGTTTTTTCGGTACAAAATGAATATTGGCTTGTAAGATTCGGTATTAAACTAAGTTAAAAGAATGATCACCTAAAGGTATAATATGACTATGCATTTAATAAAACATAATATTCATTTTAAGGCCAAAGATATTTGTAACTAATAGATATACCGGATTGCTTATAATGAGAAACTGAGATTCTAACATGATAGGGAAAATGGAACAACGACTCAAAAACATTGAATTGCTTGAACAACTCAATTATTATTCATTGGTTTAAATTACCATGTATTTCATTTGAATGACTGATGTATTACATAGCTACTGTGAGGTAGACGGAAGGACTATGCGTAATGCTAAGTTGATTTTCACTAAATTATCTAACTAGCTCGTTTAACTGTTCCATCTTTCTCCTAATTCTAGCCTAAAGACGAATCAGTGTATGTGCCTTAAACATCGTCCTTTTTTCTAAAGGCATATATAGCGGTTTTGTTAAACTAAATAAATGCTGTGACTTTTAACATTTTTCTTGACAGAGACTCTATTACTTTTAACACACAAAAGTATGTGGGAAGATAAAAAACCTAAGAAGTTCGCACGTTCATGTCAAATAAACTCCACCTGATTTTACTGACTGTCATGATGCTAGATCTAAGGAAATAAACGTTTTCTACTGTATTCGATTTCAGATTTGAGAAATGGCTCGTAATCTACTAATAATAATGCTGATCATATTAACACCCTTCACATAATCTAACAAAAACAACTTACTTTTTCAAATCCTTTCAGAAATCTTTGATTGGCAATTTGATCCAAAACATTTAAATATTTTCGATGAATAGTTTCATGTTGACATAAATCATGATCGGATAAATTAACCAATCCAGGGTCTGTCTTGCTAAGTGATTCGCGTAATTCTTCGAAGTTTGGCACTATTACAGCTACAGGATAAGTGGATTTAGGATTGGCATCAATAAAAATTTGACTAATTAGACTACAACTTTGATAAAGTGCTTCCAGTCTTTCTGGCGCTACATATTCACCTTGAGCCAACTTGAAAATACTTTTAACGCGATCAACCAACATCAATGAACCTTCCTAGAGTGGATAAAATACAAAATGAAACATTACATAAAGTTCATAGTATGATTAGCAACATATTTTAATTAAGATTACAAAAATTGTCAGTGATCACGATTGAATGTTTCCTGAAGCAAACTACATATTTATATGATCGTAGTTGTTATTAATAACAGCTTAAACATATGGAAAAATATTTATGAACCGACGAAATGGTTCATAGTGAGAAAATTACAAGGTTCTGACAATGAAAGTTGGAAGACGATTTCATTTACTCATACAATATAAAAAATTCTTGAACGAGAAATAAGGTAACACATTATTACACTAACTTAACTATACTTCATTTTTAACTGGTAAATTACATGCCTTTAGGTGTAGTTCACGACAAGAAATCAAAGTAATAAACACTATCATATTAATAACGAGTCTAAGATTTTTACTACTGCTTTATTGTAAGATAATCACGTCAAACCTAAGATGGAAAATTATCAAGAAAAACGAATCAGCTTTTGAGACGATGAGGAATTTCAGGAAATATTTCAACTAACTTTCAGGCCATTTAGAGGTTTATTTAATATCTAACCAAATAATGAAGGCAGTGAAACATTGACCTGTCAGCTTTCAGGCGATAGTAATAAGTTCGCCAAGAATTTTAGATAGAATTACAGAGATTTAGTGTGATACGTTAGGAAGTAATAGTGAACAACAAAATATCATTTGGTCAGATTCCATGGTAAAAGTTTTCTTCCTATTTCATTATATCAATTGCTACTATTCGATCTCAAATAAACATTTTATTGTGTATATAATAAAATTGCCAGATTATTGACTGATTTTGGAACATCCCGTGAGAATTCGCGGTGAGACTATGGTTCATGGGCGACCTTTGAGCAACGTTAAAATGACCTTGAGAATGTCCACCTACTTACTAGGGCTAAATGAGGATTAGTGTGAAGAATAAGGATTATGTTTACGATTGATGGTTATTGTTAGGAATTAGATTTATGGTTTTCATTAATAACTGACATCAGTTATAATGTTGAAACGCTATTTAGACAAATGTGTGAATGGATTTCGCGCAAAAATCCAAGACTTGTTATCCTATATCTTATTGGTTCGTCCGTAAATTATAGTCTCGCCGAATTCGCTATAGTTTCGAAGTGGAAATAATTGTGATCAATAGAACACGATTTAAAAATCACGTAACATCCAAGTACTACTAAAACTACTTTCACAAGTAATAAAATGTAAAAAGTCTTCTTCACTGATGATCTCATTCGGACAAATTTTTACACTTACTGTAAAACTGGCAGCTCTAGAATGAGCAACTACTGCACAGAATTCATCACAGTAATCATCACGAAACAACCTCGTGCATACAAGCACAACTTCGTACGACAAACCAGATATATATTGTTATTTATAAATGTTACCTAAACCGCTGAATTATAATCTAGTCTTCTAAGTGTTTGTGGTTTCCCTACTGACTCAGCTTTCTGGAGTAAACTTTTCATGTGATCATCAGATTTTCACTGCTAAGGAGTTCAATATTAGGATGACTTAGCTGTCCTATGTCTTATTAGTCTTCGATGATTTAATAGATTTGTGAGGATCAAACACAAAAAGTAATCGATTTGTCAGTTTTGATTGCCGAATAACAAATCGGTCGTTCAAGCAAATGTTAATGACATGCAAACGTTCAAAAGTGGGGGATAAATTGGAATGAAAATGAATACATTTGAATTTTTACTAAATCTGATTTGTCACAGTGTTAGCGAGATACTTAGAGAAAATTATAATCTTCTTATGAAAAATTACAGACTAACTTTTGTCTGATTATGATCTTGCTTCGATCCAACATTATTTGGAATATAATTACGTTCCTGTTCAACCATATTCTGATTTGGGAACTTATCGAGTGAAGTAGTTTCCAAGATTACTAAACTATAGAGAGTATCTGGGTCGTAATAAGAGAAATCATAACACGGAGTGATCGTTTTGATAGATTTGCTAAGAAAAAACATATCATACAGAAGTTAAAATGACTACTAGCATAAAAAAATGATATCCTTACTGAGGTCCATTCTCCTATATCTCCAGTATGTAACCAACCATCTGAGTCAATTAGCAGTGCTGTATTTTGAGGATCTTTGTAATAGCCTTTGGTGCATCGCTTACCTTTCACACATATCTACAAAAAAAAACCCTAAACCTTGTTTATATTTAACATTTAACATTTATAATCAAAGCTACAATATGAACACTAATTTCAATCCTATCAACAAAATATCAGTAAATTTTTTAAGTTGAGGAAGAAAGAGCAAATGAGAATGATTACTGAAAACAAAGAATGACAGCAATAATTTCATACAAAACAAACGTTACACTCTAGCAAACAATCAAAACACAGAGACAGATAACATGCTGATCAAGGAGATTTCATTGCATTTTACAAATATAGTTCAACGTGGATGTATTGTTTAAAGGCCAGAATAATCATATTCTAACAAAATAATCAAAGTTGTAGATCACCTAGGTTGAATGTTAATGGAAAAATTTCTACAAACACTAAACCAACAATTTTTATCGTAGTGCCTTGAAAGACAGATTGATGATTCTGTTTTCCGAAATTAAGGCAGAATGAATGCACAAATTTTATAAATCTCAGTAAGTACATTGGTTGGAATGTCAATACATTTTCAAACCCCATATAATGACATCACTTCGACAATTCAAAATTGAACCACTCAACATAGAAAATATAATTATCCCTTCATAGACTGAATGAAACATTGAGTATGTTTTCAAAATAGTTGTAGCACTTCTTTGGATTTCATGGAAAATCGTGAAAAACTTCATCACACGAAATGACAAAAATGAGAGACAGGCTCACTTCTTCAATTTCATTTCATATTTCATGGTGAATCAACCAAATTTAAAAGATTCAGAAATCGAACACCAAACACCTTTTAATATTGATGTTCGATGAAATGTATTCATAAATACATACTGTGAATGTTCAACGTTGTTTATCGAGTAATAATACTTAAAATAGTTTAATGTTTCTGTGTTCAGCTTTCTAGATGTACACTAAAACGTTTCATATACAAAATAAACACTTAAATATATCGAATCAACAGTTCATATATAAAGTATTACGTTTGTTTTACTGTATCCTGAATAATTCACCACAAACATTCTATAGTCGAAACTATATAAAGGTACATTTTTAATGAACGTTTACTTTATTAAAAAATGTACCACATAGGAAATTAAGTTATCAACAGACACGAAAGCTCACCTCTCCTCGATTATCTCTTTTGACAACAAGACCTAAATCTAATACGTCGACCAATTTGACTTCTACACCATAAGCAACTGCACCCAAAGCACCAATGCGAAATTCTCCGACTAAAGATACCGTTACAACTCCCATAGTCTCTGTGCAACCAAAGCCTTCGACAATCTAAACATTTTAAAGATCAGTTTTAAAGTTACTAACAATTAAAAATTAAAACGTATCAAATGTGCCTGGAGACACTAAGTGACAATTCGGTAAACATGTATTCCACACTCACTTCATGCTATTTGATAAATTTTATTTATGCAACGATCGTTAAATATGGTTTCATCTACCATTTAAACCTACTAAAGTGAATGCACTGTCATTGTTAAATATTTTTTCAGCAATTACTAAAAATCCCTGATATATTCCTTATAACATACTGGATAGGTCCAAATATGCTATCAGTTAAACAATGGATTGGTAATGAAAGTCTATTACTATATTTTTTATATAAAATTTTAATAGCTACAAATATGTGAATCAATCTACTTCACTATTTCTATTAAATGATGATAAAATGAGATAAATGATAAGAGAAAATTGAATTACAAAGATGTGGAAGGGTTTAAAATTGAAGATAACTAAGAAATACATGTTTATACTTGGAAATTTACATTGTAACTCATAAATGTCGAAGTTTTATCACCTTACGTTCATCATCTATCAGAAAATCTGTTATTAATATTTGACCAAATACTGATACCCATGAACTGTGACAACACTGAATTTCGCATATTATGTTGCGAATCACGTGTTTCGTAAACATTGTGCAGCCATTTTTAAGAAAGTTTTTCGTTTATCGAAAATGTAAGGTGTAATATAATTTTTACTTGCCAACTTCAGGTGGTGCACTAACTAAAGTACTATTTAACATAGAACCTTACCAATATGATGCGATTTCATACAATAACAAGCGAAACGAAAAAAATATCTAGTTTTCAAAAGCAATGATTGCTTACTAATAATAATCAGTGCTTATCGACTACATTTATGATGTTCAAGTGAAGTCTAATGGATCCCATTCATTAATCAAACAGATAAATTGGTTATCTAAAAGTTAAGTAGTTATAAGGACCACATTTAATGATCCTCTACAAATTATACAGAACATTGAAAATAGCTTTAACGACTGCAGTGTGTGTGTGCAGCCTTAAAACTGTATAAACTTTATACCTTGTAGACACTGTCAAAACTCGAAATACACTAACTGTTTCATATGTAAAAATACCAAAACAATACTAGTTTGAACGAATGTATATATACAGATTTGGCTTACAAGTCCATTAAATACAGCACGCATAAACTGTGTAATCTCGGGCATCAAAGGAGCACCGCCTGTTATTATTCCACAAATACGTCCACCAAGAGCTTGGCGAAGTTTTTTAAAGCAGAGAGTGTCCAAAAGAGTTTGATGATTAAATTTCCCCCTAATGAAAAAGAAACTGAATCTTTTAATCCCACTCCTATTCACCAAGATAACTACAAACACAAATAATTCCACACTAAAATGCTATTATCAAATAGAAGAATTAAGGTAGCAATCAATATGTTCAAGTTACTGCACTTTACAAAGCTATGGAAAATTAGAGAAATATAAAGGATATTGTTAATATTGAGCTAGCAATCCTTATACGAAGCTGGACCACAGGGACAAATGAAAAATCACTGACAGATGAGAAAATCAAGCGTATTTAACAATTCGACTAGAAAGCATTCTGTTGAACACTTCTAGTTGCCTCATCAAACTAATAGAGCCAACTTGCTATTACTATTTCGATACAATGAAAGTATTTATTGCTAAACCACTTAAATCAAGATTTGAGAAAACCGATATTCACCAATGGCAATAAACTTGAATATGAGTAATCAATTGAACCAGTGATAATAACGTTGAGGACAATATTATTTTGTACCGAATGCGATAAGAGTAAATGTCTTACATAGGTTGACTTATTTTGGACTTGAATATATTCAATAACTATCCAATTTTCATATGACTCCCAAAAGTCATTAGATTTTCATGATTTTACTTAGTGCCAACTCCAAGATAAAAAACACAAAATAATAAATTCATCCACAAGGCTTTAAGTCATACTTGTTGAAAGCACAAACCAAAGGTGTAAACGAAGAACTTTTAAGCAGGTACGTAACAGTACTACTAGAGTACATACTCAGAATACCTTAGCACGTAAGGATGTAAACTATGGGATACAGTTGTTAGATATGAATATATTAAGCGTTAGGAATGTTTAAACTGTTGTTTCGATTAAGAGATAGATCATGTTTCACCAAATACAAAAATCATTAGGACGAGAAGGTTTTCTGTAAATACATAATGATGAAAAATTTGACTTGTGACACGGTGAGAAATCTATAAACACCTGATATGTACATTACTTAGGTCTCAAAGCAGAAGTATCCAAAGTTATGCCCATGTTTAACATCAAATGTACTATAAGACCTAATGCCTGGGTTTAGGTTACTGACAGTGAATATGACTTGTATTTGCTAAAAATCGTTCATATTAGAATCCGGCTAACTTTTGTCATGGGAGGTTCGCATCATAGAAAACTTTTTTTCACTATTACAATAATATTGACTGTGCAACATGAATTAATATCAACTAATAATTTTTTAAACGCTACACAATTTACGACCAGAGAGTATTTACCGTTTTTGTTCACCAAGCTTTTGTTTTATTACATGATTAACCAAACGAGTTTTTAGAGCTGATCCTTCGATGGCTTCATAATACTTGGTATAAATACGGGATAAAACACGTGGAACAGTAGTTAATACAGTTGGCTTCAGACTTTCACAATCAGCGAGTAGTCCATCGACAGTACTTGTCAAGAACCCAATTTTAGCCCCTTCGAGAATGACAACAGACTATAAAACATTACGCATATGAAAAGATTAGTTACACTTTTAGACAAACGTGACTATAACAAGATCAATTATGTTAAGTATCGTACAATCCATAATTAAACCTAATATCAACTCTGTGAATGCGATGATACGAGTAATCTCTAATGTATTTTTGTTAGTAAATTGTTTAACACAGGATCCAGCATTAGTATTACAAGCTGAACAGAAACAATAGATAAACAGGCTAACTGGGAATAAACCTCAAAAACACAATTGTTATACTCAAATCCAATATTTAAAGAATCGTTTGGAGCAAAATCACCAATAATTATATGTATAAAGCTTGTTTTACATCTTCCTTTCTAAGCTATATATTCTCGTGGTTTTTATATCCTTGAGGTATCCAAACTTAAGCAGTTGGTCATCCAAAAAAATTGATCATGAGTCTTGACGTCAGACGTTTGCTAAAAGGAAAAGAGGAGTCAATTACTGTTCTATACATGGTTTACTCTATTAGGATCTGGAAGTTTATATCCGCCTATGTCTTCGAAATCTGGGTTTTACAACCATCTAACCCACATCATAGTTGTGAAGACAGTTTCTGCAGTTCATAGATAACACTATATATATGGGACCAACGATGCTCTGTATATGGTGATTTTACTTAGTAAAGTCACCGAACCAAAGATGTTAGAATGAGGATTAATGATAGGTTAACAAATGGGTGTAGACCTGCATGAACCGATAGCTATCGCAAGAGTCATTAAATATTCTTCACTAATATCAGTGATTATTATTACAGAAGAATCGGAATTCATAAGTAAAACATATCAAGCTGTGATATCAATCCACAAAAATATTAAATGTAGACCGTTTGGTTTTTGTTCTGTGGTTTAAAATTATTGAGGATTGAAGGTCATATGCTCTAACCCATACGTGGTCGTAGGTGTGCATTTCTGAGAAGTATTAGTTTTTAAATGCTTCTTGAGCTGATTACAACTTGTAGAGAAAACTAATTTCTAAATATATAAGTTTCCTTACACAATACTATCGTAAACAATGATTTTTAGCCTAATCCGTCTCACGAACTACACTCCATGTAGTTAAGATTCACGAGAAAAAGTAAACCGATACCTGAAAATTTTGATTGATGCTTGTAATAACCTATGTGTAGATGAATGCATACTTTTTGTATTATACACAGTGTATAACTTATTATTCTTTGCTATCTATGTACTCCCCATTTTACTTTGTTCTTTTTATTACCTATTATTATCATTATTATAATTAATGACGACAGTGATGTCGTTTCAATTTGTTGATATTCCCTAGTTGTCCTGTTTTCACGTGTGAACATGTAACTTTACCTTAATGTTTTTTCTGTTCATCTGTCGAGCATGGAGAATATGATGGTAGTGGTTATTATCTACATTCAACTATGCTAACTGCAAAAAGGGTTGAAAGTCGATGGTCAAAGAAAAGAAATCCTTGTTTGTATATCGACTACCAGCCTTGTAAAACAATATAATATAGTAAACTGCTAATTATGCTCATACAATATGAAGTCGCAGATTATCTAAACAAATGAATTTAGTTGTGTCCATTCATTGATCTTACCAACTGCTTTCATTAACTTGTATAGCTGATTATTTGTTGTTATAAACCTGGACAATTAAGGCACATGAACATAGCTTTAAAGAATCGTTTCGCATAAAACGGTAGCCGACACCTACAAATCAGGAGGACTGAATACAATAAGCAAACGAGTGTTATATGTATTTTAAAAATAAGATGTTCAGTATTTGAATGATGATATTTATCAGGGCCATCGGATGGAAAACTTAATTATGCAATTATCCCAAAACAAATTGCTAAATATAGTCATTTTTAAAGGCACTGGGCGCTTATTGTGATTTTAAGTCTTTCATTAAACTGCATGTTACATCTAAAATTTTTAACAAAGTTTGCTTAGATTTCTTATATTACCATAGCGATTTGATTGCGCACTAGCGAGAAATTTGTGCTACTCAAAATTACGTATAGTTAAATTTTTAGAATGTATTTTTGTTAACATGATTGTAAGGCAGTATTATTTGAAGGAAGGACACAACACTCATAATATCTTTTGCGATTTCGCCAAGTATTAAATGGATTACGTAAAAGTGAATAGGGCTCAACGTTTGTATTTGTAGATGTAGAAAGTGATGGTCTAATATTTGCAACAACTTGTTGCTCAATGATGATGAAATCCAGTACACTGAAGCAATCACAAAATCAGAGTATTTAATGAGATCACGTATCTTTTATTTATTACAAGCTAAAGAATACAGTGATATTAAAATTATTTCGATGAGTCTATATAACCAAGTATCTAGGATTTTTATCTAACAGTAATTTCAGATTCCTATCAAATACCTATATCTTTTCAAAGAATTGAAATCAGGATTATAATATCGAATATGAACGATCAGTTTAGGATCAAATGGTTAAAAGAGACCAAAAAGGTATATGTAAATATTGCTCAAGTTTACTATTAGACTCAAGAATACCAAAGTTTCACGGTTATATCAGAGGATTTATAAACACTGATTGCTGATAGCACAAAATGATTTCTGTCAGAGTTTATCAAGATTTTGGAGCAAATATTTGAGGAAGAGAAAGGTAACTTCTGTAATGATTTTGTCAATCATGTAGAGGCCAGAAACGAAAAATATATAGAAAGAGCAAATCCGAAAAAGAAATAAAATGAAATCTAGTAAGAAAGTACAAACTGGATAAATCATAGGCATCAGTAAATACACAATGATGTACGACTACTATATACTGTACTCCATAAAGCTTATAACTATAAACAAAGATTTGACTGAACGTAAAAATCTTTGTTCAAGAAAATAAAAATGTTATAAAGTTTTAATAAGACGAGTTTTCGGCCCGATCTAAATCTGAAGGATGTTTTGATACCAACCCTAATTAAGCAAACAATAAGGAGAATGACCGATACAAATACTCAAATAAATACATAGGCGTACATTACGCTGCAACTGTCGCGAATTTATCTTAATTGTGCAAGTAACTTTTTGTGTATAAAAATTAGACCACATAATAATAGTCATAATGAACATTGTTTTGTAAACATAAGTAATCCACATTCAAGAATATACAAGTTATGATAAACTCACAGAGTTTACTTGCTCCATGATATGAGCAAACGGTAAATATGAAAGATGTGTTGATAATTTATTACAGCACTGAAGAAACAAAAGTGCAAGTAAATGAGAATACAGTGAATTCCATACAACAAGCATAACTACAATTCAGAAAAAAAGTACAGTGCGATTCTGAATAATAATATGCCTATTTTCAATTTTTTTAAAGCGACGTAAAACTATGACAATTATTAAAATTTTTCTATACAGCACAGTAACATTATCTTCTTATCAAGTGGAGTGTTATGAAGCGGCTGAAATTTTGCTTACTCTCGTCTTATTGTCTATAACTAACCACTGGTCTGAGCCATGTTGATAGGGGCAGACTACTTAATTGGGGTCCGCACTACTATCATAACGAGTGTGTGTAAGCTCTGGTTGACATGAACCAGAATCGATTACAATAGGGTAGGTGTATACACTCTTTGTCTTTCCTTAAACGGTGAGATTAAAATTACTTTACACCTTTATTTCTACGAACTAATTCTTTCTCCCTGTATCATATCCTTATATGAAATGTTTTTTTAACACCATTGAAGTAACTGCTTCTATGAATTTGGTGTTCATCTTGTTGTGCTTATGAGGCAACTTGGACCTATGCATATACGTGCCTCGTCCTACGTTGTAGCTGACTGACTGTCTATAACCAGTTGTACAGTAAGCATTCGATATACATCCTGTTAATCACGGAATACGGCAAACATTGAATATTAAACCTTGGAACCGAGAAATAATTAATGTCAATTTGAAGACTTTTTTATCTTAGCTTAAATCACCACCCTAGTGCTAAAATGTTTTTACATGTGAGGAACGCAAAACTTATCTTGAATGAATGTGGATATAACATACATATAACAAAACAGAATCCCGAGAACATATGTATGTATGTCGCGACAATATACCTTTTTCATCCGCATGTGCATTAAATTAAAAGTTTTGCTCCATAACTCAACTGACACGATCTATAGTATACGTTCCACTATCAAAAAAGTATAAGTGTGGAATAAAGGATTATTCATTGGCATAAAGTACTTGGTACTGGTTAAATCTAGTGAATTTCTCATTGTAACAAGAAATCAGTCAGTCATAACCCCGAAATTGATCAGATCATAAAGGAGTTACGAGTTTGTGCGGTTAGACCTGATTTCCAAGATTTAGGGCAGTCGCTGTAAATAAATTTTCTGAGAGTAAACGATTGAAAATGCAACTTCACTAACCTTCTCTTCAGTACTTTCAATGATTCCAAAGACTGCATCGACAATTTGTTGGTGTTCGATCATCACACCTTTTGGTAAACCTACACATAATGCATGAGAAACCAGAGATCAGGGGATATTTATCAGACACCAAGAACCAAAAGAATTAACCAACCTCAAACTTTACATTCAACAAAATTTTGGAAATCAAATTGCTTTCAAAGGAATAGCTTCAAAGGAATCATATTTTCGGTAAAAGCTAACTGATCAGAGTCCGTTTATCCGGAATAACAAAGAAGTTAAAGTTTCAACCTATCCTAGCGATTCAATGACTAGATTGTTACAATACAGCTACATTATTTTCGGTTATCTCGAGCAAGCAAGAATGGAAATCAGTATGTTTTTTCAAGCACGATTTCCATAGGTGAACAGAAAATTGTCTGTTCATAAAAACTACAAGAAACCTAATAAATCATAATGAAATGGAAAAAAAACGAGAAATAATTATGAGACCACCTGTGCTTCCGCTGGTAAAGCAGATCATATATAAATCGTCTGGTTTAGGATCCTAAACAAAGTTGAAAAATAAAAACTTCATTTACACGTGACATATAACAATCATATAGAATAACAGTTTAAAGATCCCCATCATATTAATATAGAATAACATTTATTAACTGTGTGTTTGCCTATTATTAAATGCTGTAATACATTGCATGGGACCAACATCTTATAGTTTAAAATTATTTCAAGGCCAAAAGTGTATTCTAACGTCAATTATCAACTAATTATCTATGAAGGAGACTGTTACCCAGGTTGCTCTAACTAATAACTAAACACTTACAAAAGTGACACATTTGAGCTAAATGTTTTCGGATGGTTAAGTGGTCAATATTTTATTGATGTGTCACAGAAATGTGGATAATCCACGGATCTCTACAGGCTTACCTTGACTTTTTTATATTTCGTCATTTATGCCCATATGTTTTGTGTTAACATTACTCTTGTTATTTGGTATTAAGACTATACAGTGGCCAGATATCGATGGAATCACGTTTGAATTATCAAACAATTCATATTTATATGAAATGAATCCAGATATTTCCTAACTTATTCTTGGAGAAGCATAAATGACTTTCATTCATTAATTTGTAATTTGATGAAGCGGATGATTTTATAAGACTGTATAATGATATATTCGAAAAAAAACATTAATTTTAGTTTATGCAACAAGTAGTCTTAGGAACAACCTAACTGAACTCTATTAAAGGAAGGCAGTAGGCAAAGTAAAATCACAATTTCTCAGATCTGACTCTTTCCAGAATGAAAAAAGCAGCATAACTGAGAAATTCGACAACCGAGAAAAATCTCTTTACAGATGTTAAACTTCTACTCACCCGACAAGAGATTCGAATTTTATTAAATTTTGTTAAATTTGATTTCATACGGTGATGATACACAAAATGAAGGGTTTTAGTAGGACCGAGAAAACCTAAAACTTACGGTTTTTGGAATATGGTATTTAAGTCCAATAGCCTGAAATATAAAAAAAACAGGTGGTATAACAAATGTAAATTATCGTGCTTATCTTGCCTTTCTCAGAAATCAATTATCACTTATGTAATAAATAACATAGGTTATGCAATGATTTGAATAGGCAGCTATGTTAACAACACTTTTACGCATCAATATCAATTCTGGAAACGTAGAGATCTGGAGTACTGATCATATTGTTGAACTTAGTAGACGGACGATAAGCATTTACCACTAATAAACTCGACCTCAGTAATAACATTTGGTAAACTAAACGTTATCCATTTCCCAACATATACAATATCAAAATTTTATTATTACGTTTAGTAAACTTGTAAAAATTATCAAATAAATAGTTTACGAAGATTTGTTTACTCTTTTCGGAAATAATGCAGTAACCTGATGATATTATCAGATGATGGCCGATATGTTTTAAAATGACAGAAGTAGGGAATGTCTATTGCATTTGAACTTTATGGCTTAAATGTACAGTGCAATCTATGAGATTGATGTGGTGGGAACATGTGTGTTCACTGACGAAAACGTTTTGAACAAGGGTGAAACAGTTTTATGATACTCGGTAATATTTCGTTAATGTCAGTGTTTAATTCAAGAGTTTGTAATGCGCTTGTTGTTTTTGTGTATTCACTAACGCGATGAAGTATGTATCATTACCAAGTTTTGATTTGATAATTTTGAATAAATTGAGCATTGGGTAGATTGTTATAAATAAATAATATATTTGTAATATACCAATGAGTAGAAAAATTAGATTTTCTGACGTTTCGTGACTCAATGTAAGCCACTTCTTCAGAGAATAAATAACCAAATTAACAATAATTCAAATTTCAATAATTTCAAATTTGAATTATTGTTAATTTGGTTATTTATTCTCTGAAGAAGTGGCTTACATTGAGTCACGAAACGTCAGAAAATCTAATTTTTCTACTCATTGCGATGAAGTATGTAAAAACAGAAGCGATATACATTAAATGCTTTTGTTATTTTAATTAGTGTTCAATAATTTAATGAACTTTGGATCGTACTTCGGTTTTCAGGCAAGATTAAAGCTGTGTTTTTTTCCAGAAGATAACAGGTGAAGATACTATTTGTAATTTGAACTTGAAAATAAGATACAGAATAGAAAACAACATAACATATAGAATACTGTTATCTGAATAAATAAAAAGTTAAATTTATACAAAGAATCAACGGAAGAATTCAATAGAACGTTCATTTTAAATGAATAGAGTTATAACCGTAGGAAAGGAGATTGTATTTACAGAAGAAATTTCCATTAATGAAAATTATGTTAGCGGGTAACCACTACAGACAAATCAATCCTTAAGGTTAGAATTATAATGGTAAATATGTCAATACATATTGGAGACATAGTTATGAAAAATTTTATTCAAATAGAAATTTTAATTTATTATCTACATTCACAGGCTTATTTGAGCTAATCTTTAGGAAGGAATAAATAAAGGAGTCTAAGAGCACTTACAATTATGCACAAATTAGCGATAGATTTTATCGAGATAAATTTCAATCTAACAAGTGCTTTCCAGACATTTTATTAGTTTTTTTCACCGAATCTACGCGACATATCACGATATTGGTCAACTGAAATTCACAGCATAAAGTCACGTCTTTTCTGTGGTGAAATGTTCATAAGATAGAAATTCATAGAAACACTTACTAAAAATTCGTCGAATAAATAAATTTTCACATTTGATGAAAATCGGACCTTCGCTTCTGCGACTTTAGGACCATCATTTACTACAATCACTAAATTGATTAAGGAAGAGGATTTTTCTAATATATGGCAAATTTCTTCACCCGAGTCACATACAACAACACGTAGTTCAGCTGTAACGAATTGATAAGAAAGATGTATGGAAGACAAATGTTGAGATTAATATTTATTAGCAACTGAATACTTTAATCAGCAAAAACATCTCCATATTGAGTAACAAGACTGGGAAATAAGAGGGGCTGGAATCATATACCGATAAGCAATAAAGAATGAGATACAAGTAGGTTCAAAGTATCTTCACAGTACTAAAACCGAGATATGACGTTAGTCCTAGAAACAATTGACTTTTGTCCCAAGCTAAGAAGAGAAATGCAAGATTTCACCCCATAGCGAGATCGGGAGACCATTCCACCCAACGTCACTGTTGTACTGGAACAATAGAGAGAGATGGTTATTGTTCCCACTCTGCCTGAAGTGTTCCTTTACAGAGCCTTCAGTGTGTAAATGGATTTCTCATCCACATCCTACTTGAAGAGTCTCAAATTACAATCGTTTCCAACAAATCGAAAGTAATTATAGTTGATCTCGAATAAATTTGACATTGCTATAATACTTATTCAATGGTGGAGACGTCAATGGGTCTACGACTACAACGAAAACTAGCTTGATACTCGCAAGTCATTCTTTCGTGGGTTTATCACAATCTGCAGAGTATGAGGGAAGCTAGTACATCGGTAGCAGTCTAAAGTAGAGTCATCAGCTGATATTCGCAGCATAAAATATTCAGGTCCCCTTTTAAAAAATTTATATGACGTTCGCTTAATCCAAAGGTGATGGAGCACACAATTACTCGAAATCTCCAAAACAACTTTGTCAGTTCTCCGATCAGAAGTTCGTTAACGCTCATAAAAAGACATGAGAGTATGTCACCAAGATCAGCAGCCATTTGGCCAGAAGAACAGGACAGTTTGATCGACACTTCTGTAGCAACAAGCTAGCTGAACTGTCCCTCGGAGTCTCACATACAATGCTCAAAGCACCTTTAGAGGCTACTAAATGGTGTTTCATCAATTTGACAGATTATTTTACTGACATCAGATCGCTTGCTGCCAGTGTCTTGGACGAGTTGAAATAACCTTTGGAAGTTACCAGATGCATCTGATTTTAACTCGTTAGCAAACCCCAACTAACAGGTCTATTGTTCTTCATTCAAACTTCTTAAATTTCTTAAGGATCAATATGCAGACTGGCGTGCCTCAAGGAGTTTAAAGGAGTTTGTAGAGCTCGTTCTATTCCACTTGTTTATTAAAAAAATATATATTCGAAAACGTAGTTTGTTAACAAAGTATTGCAGAAAGTTGGTATATCAAAGTCTAAAAGTGATTACGAATAATGAATCCGATTGTCTTCAACGTGTTTTTTGGCTAATGATGAGAAGCAATATAAGATATACTTTAAATATACGCACGTATACCATACAAACATCAAAAATCGCATACTAAAAGATTCATTAATGAGATTAAATGTCAGTTTATTGTATACATTAGGAATAATTATCGTCATACCACTTAAGAGGCTATTATCCAATTCGCTCAACTGACAAATAGAAATTAAAAATGTACTTCATGAATAAGAACTGAATTGTCTGAAAGTCAATCTAAGATACTCCCAACGCGATTCTCATTTCTTAGATCAAGTGGTCTCCATCTGATTATCGACATAATCGTTTGATTAGTAGTCGAATACAACTGACTAATGTAATTCATATGTACTATTTACATACAAATTATGCAGTTCAAAACAATATAAATAGGGACTGGACGTTTCTAACTCACGTGTTTTTCATACGTAAGAACTAAAGCGAGCACTAAACTTATTATTCATTTCAATAAAAAGAAAGATATTTAATTCCACACAAGCTTATCCATTAAGTAGGTGAATGACACAGTAGGATTGTGTTTTTTATATTGTGATATTTTAAACGCAATTCGTTAATGAGAATAAATTTCGTACTCGGAAATCGTTTTTGATACTCCCAAAAAAATGTTAGTATATCCGATTAGTAAAGAGAATAAAAATAACATAAAATAGCTGACAGATGTCTTACTTAGCTTAAGGATATGTTCAATGGCTTCATCACCTAAAGTTGCATAGATAGGAACTATTGGAAAACCATAGGCTGCACAGGCGTGCTGCGCAATAAACCACTGTAAAAAAAATTCAAACTAAATACTAAATAAAGTATAATTTTATCAAAGGTTTTTGATAAATAGTCAATTCAAAAAACTCATTATTGGTGCCGGAAGAAATGACTGAAGTTGAAACAATTCAACAGGCGGAAAAGAAACATAATATTTGCTATTAACACAGGGCGAGAAGGCTTATAGTTATGACAGATTTATACTTGTCTTAATATGAATTACTAAAATGACTAGGAAAATATTGTCTTTAAACTCTTGTTATGGCTTACTTAGAATCTAGTTTTATCAATAAGAATATATTTGTAGATAATAACTTCAACTCGTTATAAACATACAACTTGAAGTACTACAAAAACTATACTTGAAATTGAAACAAACATATGATACTTTAATTTAGTTAATGAATTGATAAGAGTAATGAAACCTATCAAGGTACTTACCTAAAATGTAACTGTAAGGATGGCGCGTTGGTAAACTCTAGGAAGCCTTCAAGAAGCCCAGAAAGAGCCGAAGACATTCCATCTAATCACTGCTAGGGGAATATTCTAGAATGTCGACGTGTAGCTTCCCCATTGGATGGATAAGAATGACCCTCTATGTGCCTATTGGTTGTCCGAAATGACGACTTACTCTCAGTCAAAAACTATAAATACATGAGATTTCTGTACTATATTTTGACACTGTTTGGGGGGATAAAACTCCTACTTACTAGTCTTCTGTCTTCTCTCTTGCGACGTTGCGGGTTTGATCATTCAAGTAGTCTAGTAGTACGAGGCATAGTGAGAATCAAAGCTCTAGATATAACGGTAACCATGAAGTTAGTGTCTTTGAGATGTTATGAATAGAGAATTAGTTATTAAAAAATGCTCCGAAGTGTGTGGTCTGTTACCAGTGTCCGTCAATCCATTATTCAACAGGTGTGTAGTCAGAACTGGGTTGTGTGAAAATACGCCAAACCATATCGCAATTTATAAATATTAGTGATTAAGTTAAGCGTTTGATCCACTGTAGGAGACTCAACAAACACTCGACTTCAAAACCCTATTTAAATGCTTTCCATTGAATTATACAGACATGGATACATGTGAGTGTAAAAAGAGAAAAATATCAACTTGCCTCGGGTGAATTCCGACCACAAATACCAACACAATTATCACTCCATGGAATATGACAAGCAACTTTCACTAAAGCTGATCCAAATGCTTGTATTTTATCATCTACCTATGCGGACAACAGATTAACCTTATTAATACATCTTACTTCTATATACGTTAACCAAGTATATGTTTCATTTCGACTAAAACGTCGTCCCAAACAGGGTTGAAAGCCTATTTAAAATAATAGAGGAATGAATGTCCGATAAATCATTTCGTATTACATTCAAGGTGAAGTATCGAATTGAAAAATTATAGAAAGCTTTTACAATGGGCCTATTGCTACTATCAATTACTTGCTGGCAGTTAAATACTACATTTAATTTACTAGACTGAATGTTTCGGTAATAAACATTTCCCTATTGCATAGTATGTGAAGCTGTTATTGAAACCAGAAAGATATCTGATGCACAATGTTTCAGATACTCTAAATTGGGAGTATGGCGATAAAAGACATTTGTGAGATGGGAATTCGACAAACGTTCACATCAACTCAGGCAACTGAATTCGAAAAGATGGACTTATTTTTCAGGAGGGTGAGGTGATAGACTGAATGAGTTCACACAGATCACATGTCTGTGTTCAAATGCCACCTTTAGGCCGAAAGTTAAGTGATAGATGAGGCACGCTATTGGGTGAAGCCTATAATGTACATTCTCAAGGTCTAAATCTGTATGTTATTGTCTAGGTCTGGGAGAGATATATATACCAAAAATTTGCGAACATTTGTTTTTGTTTCTCAGTTACAGCTTCCCAATCGTTTTTAGTCCCCTCACTTCCTTAGCCTTTCATGAAACGTTGAGGAACCGTTTGTTTCCGTATCAGACAACTGCAGAAAATCACAGAGGTCATAAATATTGACTGCATAAATAACAAAAAGAAATATCTTGAAAATATTAAGGCTTTGGGAAGTTCTTAATAAACCTCGTTTCCAATAAAAGACTTACGCGAAGTCTCCAAACCCTTTTCGAACAAACTCTTCATAGTGCGTACGTCAGAAAACTTTAGAGTGAACCGAGTTGTGAAAGGGGATTTACGAGCCCCTGTCTAGAAAAAAAAAGATCGAACACTCAATAATTCTTTTTGATGTGAAGAAATTTCTACAATAGACTTTTTGATTCATTAAATTTAAAGCAGTTTGGTCATTAATGTGGATTGATCATGTAAAAGCAAAGCTGGTAGCTTTATTGACAATCAACTGAGAGTTTCACCTTGGAATTTTCCAATAGGGATAGTCGAGAACTCAAGAAATCTTATCGGAACTTCAATTCAGTATAACCCAGAATCGCAATTGCAGACGATATAACGAGACTATTCAGACAAAAAAGATGTGAAAATAAAATTTTTAAAACCTTGAATAACAAGTGTTCCGACCAATATAGCTCGATAACTAGTTAAAGTAAACAAGCCCAACTAGTATATCAATGGTGTATCCGTGACTCAAATAAAAGCGACAAGTGAACTTTATTTGTTTACCCTCCGTCACAGGAATAGAAGTCATATTATCCTAATAGCTTAAAAATTGTGTTGAAGGAATGGATCTGCCTCCCCACAAAACAAGTTAATGGATAGGTAATTTTCATAACCCTATGCTTGGAAAATGATATTTTAACGCTTTTTAATAAGCAAAACAAATTAATGACAAAAATAACCTGTCCGGAAATTGTTAGTTCAATTGTTTAAATTTTTAGATTTCTGTTTATGCATCAAAACAAATAATCCCATTTATGAATGTCTGTCATTTCGCAAAAGACAAACAAGCTCCTACTTTTAATAAAAGAAATGGAAATGCATAATATTATTTACTAATAAATTTATATTGTTAGATCCTTCCTCAATGTAGAACCGCAGTTACCAGTCCCCATCATCAATTCAAAGTTGTCGAGAAAATTTTTAAAGAAACCTGTTGGGAAGTGAATACAATACCGGCACTAAACCCTAAACAGTTATTATGCAGGTACTCATAAACAATGCAGGACCTGGCAAAGACATCTACAAGACCGTGTCTTCATTCTTCATATGGGTACAGAAAGAAACCAAGCAGAGAAAATTCGACACAATAATGTCAATGGAGTCCACAATTGATGGTTACGATTATCTCACGGTGATTAACTAGAAATTTTGTCCCTTTCAACGCCTATTATTTCAATGGTCAGTGACTCTACAAAGTGTTTTTATCTTCGTCTCTCCCGTGGCTCTTTCTATTCTACTGTTATCCAAGGTAGAAAAGTGATTCAGAGTCGGTAACGCTCGGGTGTGCTTAAGACGAGTTCTAACAACTTAGATTAGTTAGGGTTTACTGGTTGACTAGCCAACTAAACCTTTTGATCTAACACCCTATCCTAAACCACGATTGACGTTTTCCACAATACATAATCAACCTTATGATTAAATCCTAAAACTCTAAACAAACCCTCAGGCCTCAAATATCATAATCTACTAATATGAAGTAAAACAGATTGAACTGTTGTCCACTGAACTCGCTCTTCTATATGTAGGTAGACATTATGACTACAACACTGACAGTACAGACTGACAAAAGTTGAGTAAATTTTTAAATCCACGACAACATTTCTTCGGCCACTATTGACTTTCAACCGTGTTACCCAAGGTCTCGTGATTCATTGTAAATATCTCGTGAACCACAAATAAGAAGTATATTTCTCACAACATGTCGCCTAGTGATTGAAGTAAGCGTGAAGTTCTTAAAATATAAAAATCATAAATTTCTGTTTTATTTCAAAACTATGCTTAGTACAGCATCAAAATTGTCTTGGTAAAAGAGTACGAAGACAAATGCCTACATATCTGTTGCTCATAACTTACATATACTTCTTGCAATTTCGACTGATGTTGAAGTGGATCAGGTTGAAATAATACATCTTGATTACGACTGTATAACAATATTAAAGTGAGGAAACTAATAATGTTGTGGCAGAGTTTAACTTTAAAAAACACTGGTAGCTACTGAGCAATGTTGTAGCACTAATCACAGGCTATCTATTCATAAGTATAGTCAAACAATGAAAATGAAAACCAATAGTTTGATTTTGACCAGTAAATATCTAGACCAGTAGTGATCTATGACTTCTAAGAATTGACCTATAACTCAAAGTGTAATCTGTTCACTTTGAATTTACTCATTTCGAGACATAAATAATATACTATTTCTTCTGTTCCTATGAAAGAAATGCAGGGTGTTTGACTACCTTTTAAAATCAAGATAAGGAACTGTTTTCTTTCAATAATAATAAACATTAGTGTGACCAATAATACGACCAACGAAGCAGTCAAAAAGTGCCACTAGCACTCCCACTGAGTGACTCAATGTAAAACGAATAAACCTATACTTGGTGAATTACATTAAGATCATGTCAGACATCAATCATGTTTAAACGCAAAAATATTGCTCATAAATGATATTTTATTTATTAGTATTATGTGTTGTGGAAAAAGACCAACCTTGGAATCGATTACGATTGACTGTTTGTTTAAATGTGGGGATACATATGGTTCTGAAACGTTTGGTTTGTGTATTTTGTAGTAGTGATGAGGATAATCTGATTGAACACCTAAAATTCAATAACGAATTTCTGTAAGAGTTCAAACAAAGGTTTTGTAATATTAAATCTGCATAAGTTATGGAACAATATACTCATAACTAGTCGTTTGCATCCTCCACAAACTTGAAAATAGTTTATCATGGAATACAAGATTTTTGAAATAGGAGAGTATTTTTGTTTCCTACATTTATGAAGGCTTGGGAAAAATACGCTTGGTTAGTGAAAATTCACCATCGATTTAAAAGAAACACTGTTGAAGGAAGTAATTCAGAGTGAATCATCTAAGGATATTGACATAATAAAATCAGTTTAAATTGAATTAGAACTCTTTTGAAACTAGTTCAATTGTGCAAACGTTTACTAAAAATAACCCGAAAAAACGATGAAGTAGGAAACAAAATTTATTTCATAAATAAAACAGCAATTTTCTGCAGATTACTACCCTTCTATTAGTCAAGCTTTGGTCCAACAAATATATAGTATTATGGCTCTGTTTCAGTGTACACACTTAGTTTGCACTACCGCTGATAGTCTTTAAAGCTTCCTCGCGATAGCGAATTAGACACCTTACCAGACGTATAGTATTTAAGAAAGCAATTATTATAAATATTACTATTTTTGCTAAACTACACGGCATTAAACGACTAAACACATGTCCAATAATAAGCGCATCTTAGTGTGATTCATAAAATTTACCACAATATATTTTTGGATTTCCATCAGTATCACAGTTAAATAATTGCAAATCCATAACTACGATAGTGTTCTGTTTACAGTCTGTGTCTAAATACCAATGGAAAAACTTCATTGAGAAGCGTTGATACAGCTGAACTTTAGCCACAGTATTCTGTTTTCAGATTGACAAATGATTTGTGGTAAGCCAATTTTATTGCGTAAACAGTTCGTATGTAGAATTCACTTTTCAGGGGTCTGACATATACCACACGAGTGACAAAAGCTTTCGCTACTTACAAATTATACTTAGAATGATGACTTAATTTAGATAGTAAAAAAGCATGACGAAATAACTTCCAAAAAATGTAGCTTTCATTAAACTTTTCAGTTCAATATAGGAGAATGCCTTTATCGGAGAGGTAAAACGTCCTCATATAAAATTACGGTGGACAGAACCTTATCAGCGCACACTAGGAATGTCCCCAGGGCCTTATTATTGTGTTCATCGAAAAATAAAATGAGTTTTGCACAAACATAAAACGTTTAATTTCTCCATTATCACTAACTTTTTATGAATATATGCAACTTTTCAGCCCTAATCTTTAACCAATTTTCAGTTTTTAACTAAATAGAACCATTAGTGAAAAGCATACTATTCTAACTACAGCTAGTATAACCACAATTTGGCTTGTTTTAACACTATGAATCCGAAAAACTTATTCAATATTTCGCTAACTAACATTGGACGTTGTGGATTACTTTGATTCATGGAACGTCAGCGATGAGTGATTTCTCAATTAAAGTAAGAACCTGTACCGTCACCTTCCAAGTGAAAATTGTCTGTTGGCTCAAATTGTACCAAAAACCATCTTCTGCAGTAATATTCTTCTTTTACTGCTTTTTGATTTAGGAGAACCAGATATCATGTCGGGGGGTTAGTATCAAACTTTTTGATCTGAAACGACAATTTTTACCAATGATACAGTATGGAAATGGTAAGTTAGGTCGCTTGTCGCTTTACAAAACAACCTGCTTATAAGAACTGCATTTCTAAAAACACCTTAGAACTCCCTACAGAACACAGAATCCAAAGTTTAATGAAACTTTTGGATCCCTTTGTGAAGACATTTTCATCTTAAGCATGCGGATGACATAACTGTAAGATGAAAATCGGGTCATTAGAATCCTACCCATCCAGTTAACAATTGGTGTCCATGGGGAAACTACAATACACATACAAAATGCTCCTGCAAGAATGCCGAGACCCTGTTTCTACGCCAACTCTTTGGTAAATCCCCGGAAACATTTGAAAAATCCGTTACCTGGGTTTTTACCTGGCTCTATCTAAAAGCCAATATGGATCCTGATGTAGCTTTCGTCGAAATTCGTTATAAAAGTGAAATAATTTGCTCAAAGTGAGTTTTCCTTGGCCTTATTGATTGCTCAACCGTATTGATTATCAAATATTATTCCTGTTCACTTATATATCAATTGTACTACCCTTTCCTTCTTTATTCTTTAACAAATTATCGCTCCATTATTGTGGTAAATATTTCTTGGCATCGATAAAACAGTTGTATATCTTTAAATACGGGTAAATTTTAGCTAGCTGATTCTTCAGTGAACCTAATCAAAGCTACGTATGTGAGCATGTATACCAGAGGAAGAAGCTAACCAATTATGATCTGAGAATATTTTGACAGTCACGTTAATTTGGAGGGCCCAATGGATTAAAAAAATGAAAATAATGTTTCATTATCCAATTTATTGACCTTTTCAACATGATTTTAACATACGGCTAATTAAACTTCTTAAACTAAACATAAGGAGATAAGAGTACTGAGCTTGTTGAATGAGTATTTCATTTTAACAGTTTTCTTTATGGATCGTCTGTATCGTCATGGATGTTAGATATCCCAAAGATAATTTTACTGTCAACTGACAGGATTTCACATTTGATATAAACAAAAGTCTATCAAATGTGGACAAATATAAGCAGGATGAAATGTGAATTAAATAAATTACTGAACAAGCTAGTCGATGGCGTGAGTTGTCATATTTAAAACCCCGTTCCCAGCTAAATTAATCATAGAACTTTCAGCACATCGCTTCAAGAAAAGTTACATGATTATGTGTCTATACTTAGACTACTCTTTTTTAACTGTAACAATGAATAAGTGAATAGAACTACACGCTACTATTCCCGTAGGTTCTCCCATTCAAATGCTAATGTCATTTTCCGTTTTCTTTTCTTATTTACATTTTCATTCTTATTTCAATTAAGACTATCCTATGTCTTTAACTTTTTCCCCATCTCCTCCACCCTTAATGTGAACACAGTATGAGAGAAAAATGACTTGATAACATAGTCGTAGCTGCTTTCAGATATTTTATTGTCCTGAGACATTCATCCGTTCAAAATATACCAACAACCAACTACTAATGGGATTCATCTGGACAGACAGAAGTAAATGAAGATACCTTAGGGTAACGCGATCGTTCAGTTGTTAAATAGAATCATAATGGTTCAAGCTAAAAGATTTTGCATATAATTTAAAAATACATAAAACAAAAAGCACGGTACCTCGATCATGTTACGCATCAGATAACATTATTCACAAAGGTCTCACATTTAACACTCAAAATGGCAACTCGTATAAATGGGCTCTTAATTTCCCGATACAGCTACAGTTGAAATTAGTAAACTCTGACAACTCACAAGCAAGATTCGGCACAGACCCCTGTAACTCTAAAGTAGGTGCAAAGGATTCATAACATATCCCTATTCCACACCGATTAATAAAAATAACAACTGTGAATATTCGATGTCCAATGTGTCTATCATAATCTGAAGTAAACCAGTTGTCCCTTCACGATGGCGTGTGTATGTGAAGGTACATATTTAGAACACTAGTGACAGGCAGCGAAGGGTCTAGCCACTCGGCTGCATTAATCCCGAAAAATCCTAAAGTTACTTGGGGGATGAGGGACTTTGAATGTAAGCCAGTGTATTTCCTTTGATGCAGTGGAGTTGTTGAAACCAATGGCCATCATGTCCTCTTGCAATTGCACTAGTGTTAACTATAGTGTGATCCCTATAAACAGCCGTGGCTCGTTATATCGAAGGTGTTGCATTTTCCAGAAAACAGTTATATGAACCAGATTAACTCTGCACAAAGTAACTCACATAATTTGTACTGCATTTCTCAGGAAAAATGTACTGCACTATAAGGTTATGGTATTTAAAACCGTGTGAAAGTACAACCCTAAGTTGTGACCTAGCAAGTAAGCCAATTAAAACAAAACATTTTGCTCCCCAATGAACGTTAAACTAAGTGATCGTTTTAGAGGAGAAGAGTTCATGCTCAAATCTCTATTTCTTGCTTCTCGGAATAAGCAGTTTTCCTTAGCATACTCAGGAATAGAAAGGAGCAGAGTAAGTTATAACTAATATCGTTATGGTGAGCATGTGTAGACTAATTGATTTCACTATGCTAGCTTATCCATGGTGATATTTGAGAACGAGTTCCAAGACATTGAAAAATGTTCCGTGATCTACAAAGATAATTTTCATTGTAATGTTTTTCAGTCTGAGAATGTCATTTTTGAGCTATTTGTGAATCTTCTGTTCATGGCTAATTTCAGGTCATAATATTTATTTTTGTGCCTAACGCTCTTCACATCGAGTATGCAAACAAATGTATTCCACAGTTTCGCTTCATCCACAAGTTCGTCTATTAATTCGTTTAATATTAGATTGAATAATATTATCCGTGCACATAAGGAAAAATGTCTTGCTGGCGTAAAAACACTCACTGCGCAACGGAGTCAAAGATTACAAAAAATGGATATAATAACAACTTCAGACTGGTGGTTTCAATATCCTCAAATGTAAAACCACTTGTATGCGCTTGAAACAACAAACTATTTTCCATAAATGAACAAACCATGTTCCTCTCTTAGCACGGTTCTGAGATTGATGAAAAGATTAGTTTATCATGAATGGGGTGTCGGTGGTGATGAGCTGAGTAGGCTATTTTAATCATAAAGCTTTTATTATCTGGCTAAGCAACTTCATCACCTCGAGCTTCAAAAAAGTAATACGCATCTGAAAAGTCATTCGCGAAATATCTATGGTCTCATTTTTAAAGATAAGATTCGACACGCTCCATTATTTTGAAACAAAGACGAACGATAAGATACATGTTTAACTTCAATTTTAAAAATCTATACCTGAATAAAATGAAAAAGACCGATATCCTATAAATGGAAAATCTTTCTATAAACTATAAAGTAAGCATAGAAAAGTTTCTGGGATTATGAAGACGTTTAATCGTCTGAATAACAACTAAAAGTTGTGAGTAAGGAATTGTTTTTTTCTGCATTTATCAGAAAATAGTCTGAAATACATATTGATTTTAAATTAGTGGAAAAACCAGTTTTTGGCCTCGTTACTCCTACGATATACTCTGTTGATACTTAGGATCAGAATGTTTGGCATAAAACAGTTGAATAAGATGACATACTTATAACCCGAGGATAATTTATAGATGCAAATCTCTATTTTTAATGTACGTCACTGAATTTTATAATACTTGGAGGTTAAAACTATAAGTGCAGCATGATTTGTTCCCACAAAACTTTTAAAATCATGATTAAGTAATCCAATTTCTATTAACAATGAGCTCATTCTACATACACATTTATGATGCTTAAATTAAGATGTTGAATATATTTTAATAATGATTCGTAACAAAGTCAAAACGCAGTCCAAGTTTTAGTATTTGGAAATATAAATTTAGCTGATGTGTGAGGAAAAACAAGAGAGTTTGCGTTGGATATTCTATATAAATAAAACTTAAAGCACCATTTTACAAGCTCAGCTAAGGTCAAGCGTTTCATAATCCGTATATAATAACAACTTCAGACTGGTGGTTTCAATATCCTCAAATGTAAAACCACTTGTATGCGCTTGAAACAACAAACTATTTTCTACGTTTCCGAAAATATATTTTGGAAATAAGTTATCCCACAAATTTACCCAGACAAATTATTATGACTAATGTTTTAAAATCATTCCAAACACAACAGGTAAATTAAAATCAACATCCATGATCGGCTCACTGAATATTAGTGGTAAATCAACAAAGTAATGAACTAATATGAGCAAAACAACAGGTTTAAAGAACGGTGAGACAAAACAGGAGTGATTTTTATCTAATTTTTTTGAAGACGTTAAATGCACAGAATTCAACAACTCACTCATCAACACCCACTTTTGATAGAATTCACAGACGCTGTAGTTAATTGTTGAATACCCAATTCATGTAAATTTCGGACAAAAAAATTATTTCTCTAACATACATTGTTAAAGACTGGTCAGAACATTCACCTCTTGCCTCAAATACTTTAAAGAACCATATTTCAAATTCAGTCAAACGTTCGTTAGGTTAAATGATATTTTGGATAATAGCATACTGTTAATCAAAGACGGGCTTTGAAATTATCTACTTTGCCAAAATTTCAGCATATCATTGGTCCTTTGAGCACAAAATTCATTTATGAAAAAACCAAAAGCTGTATTGGCAATATTCACTATTGGAACCACGCTTAAGTAGACCATAGGCATTGTGATGTAAAGCTAATTACCGAGATCCGGTTGTATGAATTATTGCTAAGCTAAAGTAGAAGTTTTAGCACCACTGATTTGTATCGAACAAGCATTAAACTGTACTTCGAATATTGATGATATGATGACGGCTATTTAATTTCAAGTTATCCAAAATCAGATCCTGTCACGATATATTAGTTGTAGAAAAACAATTAAAACTGTAAGCACCAGCTAAATACTTCACTGCAAATTAAAGCTCTTTGTTTGTGTGAATTACTGACCACTTTGAGAAGTAAACATAATATGTGAAATCTTATAGTATCCATGTAGTTTTTATTCAGTCAGTGGTAAAACATATATCATTTAGTTTCACACAAAAGAGTCCATCCTCACTTTCTTATGATAAGGGATTTCAAACAGTGAAACACGGCTTAGTAGAACAAACCAGTGGATTCCTCGCTATAAGACCCCTAATATAGATGGTCTATCTTGATTATCACTAATGGGTTTTGAAATACATAAGTCAGCTCGAAATCATATTTACACTACGTCAGTAGAAAATAGGATTAGGTCCTTAACATCAACTTCAATTAACATTATATTACAAGACAACTTTAAGCAAATGGTTAAAGACTGGTTAGCACCCTTAAATCGTAGATTAAAACACTCATACAACTGACTGAACCCCATAATTTGTAATAGTCAGATGATAAGTATATTTGGGGAATCCCAATGACATGTAATTACTTAAGCTCTTGAGAAATGTGAACTTTAGGAGGATTGATTCCATATTTATTGGTTCGGCAATTTTTATTTACTTTCAAAAGCTTTAAGCAAAACCAAAAGTGAATGTTATTCAAATAACTGCATTCATATTTTAAAATGAGATTACCGAAAAGGTGTACTTCGTTATTTGACTATTTATAAAATGAAATTGATTAAATAAGTGTGATATGAGTGTAAATATTGCCAAACGTCCTAGCAGTCAGATTTAGAAAGATGGAAATAGTAATCACTTATTAAAATAATCCACTAGATATCTCATTAAGTTATGAATGATTATTATTATTATTATTATTATTATTATTATTATTCACAAACACCTTATGGGTACATAAGTGCTGTGAAGAAACCATTTCGGGTTTCTTCAAAAATGCAATAATACACAATTTTCAATAATGTTAACAATACATATGCCATGTTTGAGAAAGGAAGGAAAAGGAAAATAAAATATTAATAATAGAATTGTAATAATAAATGAGGTTCTGTGTAATTAGCAAGAATTTTGAATTGATTTTGAAGGAGAAAAGGAAGAAACTAAGGAAATAGAAATAAAGGAGTCGCGGAATACATAAGTATCTTAACGCAGAACAAGAATAAACAACTATGTATGTATAGCAAAAACGAGTAATAAAAATAAAATAAAACAAAATAAATTAAAAAGTAAATAACTTATTATTGCGGTAAGATATGACGTTAGAATAAGTGTATGTGCGTGTACAGTCATAGTTTTGGGTAATGCTATGAAAGTCTCAATTAAGCGCAAAAGATTATCAATGTGTATGAGGTGTATATACATAGTGAAGATAAAAAGAGACTGATAAGTTGAATTCAGCGTAACACAAGTTATTGTCTTAATCCAAAAAAAGAGAGAAAAGAAATGAACACATAGTGAAAGGATCCAACCATGATCATAATAGTGTAATAGATATAGACTTTTGAGATGAACGAATAATTTTAAAATAATAATAATAACAACAACAACAATAATAAACCCTTACGGATAAATACGTGTAGATTTATGTAACAGTATACAGAGTGAAACCGGGTTGTAGTATAAACATCAGTGCGATAATAATAATTTACAATGATGCTATCATAGTCACAATTAATTGCAAAGAATAATTAAATATAAATTTTTAGATGTTATATGTTGTGAATATTTTGAAAAAAAAAATTATGTAAGTGGAACATAGGGGTTTTTTGTTTTTTATTGTAGACTTTGGATAAAATATGTTTAGAAGGACAAGAAGAGATGAAAAGAATATCTAATGTGTCGAAAGACCAATAATGATATTAATGACAGTAATAATTATAAGTACGAACATAAGCAGACCTTATATATTCAGATAAATACAAAATAAAGTGAAAAGTTTCAAAGGTTTCACTTTGATTTTCAGTCAGTTAGGTAGATGACGGACCATTTTTGTATAAATCGTTGTTAAGCACGTTAATATTCAAAAGGTGACACAATCCACTTTCGGAGAGAAAGTCATCAAGAAGACTTCGGAACCGGATTATAGTTTCACTGCATCGGAGGTTCATTGGTAGTCTATTCCAGATGGTTGAGTAGCGAATAACGAAAAAATTCTGGCGTAAATTTGTTTGGGTTTTTGGAATCGCTATAATATTTTCCTTATTGCGTAGATTGTGGGACGGTATCATAGAGTATGATGGGGTAGATAGCGAAGAGTAAGAAATACCGTTAAGAAGCCGGTAGAGAAAAATAAGGTTTAGTTTGATACGCCTGATCCAGAGAGGTTCTAGTTTGAGTTGTTGACATCTTTGGTGATAGTCTTTGTTGTCAGAATACCCCAAAACAGCTTTGGTGAACCTTCTTTGAACACTTTCAATTTTAATCAGGTCATTATGCCTGCAGTTACTGTAAACTAAGATACCATATTCAAGAATTGGTAAGATACATTTTCTGTATAATAATAATCTCGATTTGGTATTATTGAAATTAATCATTATGAATCCGATGAGCTTTCTAGCTTTGGATACTTGAGATGCAATGTGTTCCGAAAAGTTCAAACTGTCGCTGTATCTTAAACCCAAGTCACGTACAGTGTTTAGAGGTTTCAGTGTATGTTTGTGTATAGCCATATTTAAGTTAAGGCAACGGCCAATGTTAATAAATCCACTTTTGTCAACATTAAGTGGCAAATTCCACGAAATAGTCCATTCGTACAACCTGTTTATTTCTTCTTGGATTACTGTTGAAATATAGCTTTCTTTTGTGGGAGATGAGAATGAATAAACCACTTTTAGATCATCGGCAAAAAGAAAAGGTTTACCATATTGAAAGAGGGAACAAACGTCGTTGATAAAAAGGAGAAATAGTAATGGACCAATTACACTTCCTTGTATAACCCCACTGGTTACATTCACAGGTTTAGAGTAGCAAGATCCAAAGCGGACAATTTGTTTACGTTCTTCTAAAAATGACTTGAGCCAAGATAAAAGGGGATTCTGTATTCCATATGAAGAGAGTTTTAGAAGAAGAAGCTTGTGTGGGACGCTGTCGAAGGCCTTACTAAAGTCGAAGTACAAAATTATAACAGACTGACCAACATCTCTTCTCTGGGTAATTTGATCAAAAAATTCCAGATGCGATGTGAAGCAGGAGCGTTTGGTCATAAACCCGTGTTGGGATGGGCTGATCAGATTAGCCGAAAGCAAAAATGATAATAGCTGTTTGTGGACTATTTTTTCCATAGTTCTTGACAGCACGGATGTCAAATTAATTGGTCTGTAGTTAGCAATATCACTGCGTGATCCGGTTTTGAATCTGGGGGTGATAAGAGATGTTTTCCATGCAGATGGATAGGCCCCATATTCCATAGATAGGTTGAAAAGTTTTAAACAAAATAATGGGAATTCTCTACTACCATATTTCACAAATGATGAGGGAATCCCGTCAGGTCCACCGTCATATGACTTTTTCAAGGTAGTTATGGCCTGCTTGATGTTGGAGGGTACAAAATCAATTTTCGACAGGTGTCTGCACGTCAGCATTGGAAATGTATTGATACAGCTTTCAGTTCTAGTGTTATAGCACTGCGAGAAATACTGACTGAGTTCTTCGCAAATAATATCGGGGTCATCAATAATTCTTCCGTTAACTATGAAGAATTTGGTAACGCCAAGAGAATTTGACTTCACACGCGATTTAAAAAGCCGAAGTATTGATAATTCTGGGTTCTTATTACCTAGGGCTTTATTTTCTATATTTATAAAATACTTGCGTTTAGATGAAGCACTCTTGTCAATTAACGTAAGTATACTCTGTAGTGCATACAAGTTATTATGCTTGTGGTAACGGTGTTTTAATTTCCTCAGTTTTCTTTTAAAAGTTTTAAAATTATTCTGGCCCCTATTGGCGTTATAAGCCACATGGCTAATAATTGGAGCAGTGCAGTCGAGGCAGTGTATCAAGTTGTGGTATAGATCAGAGATCGCAATGTCAATATTATTTGTGGTAAAATAAGTTTCCCATGGCAAACAACGAATAAGACTTTCAGTCCGTTTCCAGGTTTGTTGATCAAAATGTCTACTCTTGTACATCATTCCAGCTTACTCTGTGATCACTCTTAAAAAACTCCTGACCAATATGCACTGAGATACAATCTATGTTGATTGTAAATAGTAAATCAAGTATATTATTCCTTCTAGTCGGTTGTCGAACCTGTTGGATCCATCCATAAAGTTCTAGCGTGTCAACTAACTTGTCATGTCGACCTGAAACCGGAGTCGAATCCCATGTGATGTTTGGCAGATTAAAATCACCTCCGATGATTTTAAAAGTATGCGGTTGGTGTGAAGCAATGGAAAAGATGTTTGTTAGTAATCTGTCAAACATAGAGTCTGCATGTGGTGGTCTGTATATGCATCCCACCAGTAGATAATTTCGAGATCCACAGTTTACAGTCACCCAGGTGGAGTCATCTATAGCATTAAGGGATTTATCCTCAAATTTGCAGGCCTGAATATCCGAACGGACATAGATAAGTGTACCGCCCCCTAATCCATTATATCTATCGGTTCTAAAGAAAACATAGTTATCTATATGCAAGGAGTGATCGGATACAGATGAATTGCACCACGTTTCCGTAATAAGTACAATAGTTGGGTTTACAAGTAATAAAAGGGTTTTGAGGTGAGTAATTTTATTGGGCAGAGAGCGGGAATTGAACGAAAGAATAAGAAATTGAGATTTACCATGGTGAATCAGGTTGGAGTATAAATCACAATCGGTATTTACATGAGTACTGGTAGGATTGGCTAAGGTGAAAGTTGTGTTGCGATCGGAAATAGATTCAACAACTTTGTCATCATTAGAAGTATGTGTATTGTTGCCGGCAGAATAGCCGGCGGAAGTACAAAAAAATTCTTCTCACTATTATTGGATATAACATTTGGTAAAGGAATAGTATTGACATTGGAAGCCGGACCAAGAAGACTATCAGGTCTATGTGTGCGACCAAGTGGCCGTTTACAATTTAGATTGCTATTTATACCTGACGTATAGGGAACATGTTCTAAACTCTTATTTCCAAGGTTTGTGGTTGATTTTGGCTCCTTCGTAATTTGAGGGGGGTCGTGTGTTGTTAAAGATGCTTGAGATGGTTTGCTAGGCTCGAGTATATCGACGTTTAGAGTGTGGTCAGGTAGATAAATTTTATGACCAGTTTTCCAGTTATCCGTTGCACAGTCACTAAAACTGGTTTTTGAACTAACAGCAACTTGGACTGTGTTATCCCATTCGAAATCAGTACAACTACTTAGGGTAGAATCTAAGTCAACATTCTTAAAAGGATGGGCATCACTTACATTGGGACTACTTTCTTTTGTGCTTTGAACATTAGGAGATTCAGGAGAGTTTTCCGGTGGTTGCATATTCGCAAAGTTAGATGTCCGCTTAAGATCGGACTTAATTTTATGACCTTTAGGATTATGGTACGCTTGGGTGTTTGATGCTGGTAGTCTGTGGTTGTCTCGGCCTGCTTTTCGTTGGCATGGTGTTCTATCTGGTAGAATCTTAATATCTTTGAAAATCTGTTTCTGTTTCAATGAATTGGAGGAATTTAAAAACTCACTAGCGTCTACAGATGAGTTGAATTTGAAGAAGATCGGTGGGTGCATATCAGGGTGACTTCTTTTTAATCTTGAGCATACACATGGTACGTGTGTCATATTGCTAGCTCTAAGCAGACTAGTTTTGATATTTTTAAGGGCATATGAGTCCGGTATATTAAACACAATTGCATTGCTAGATCGCCTTATTCTTTCAAATACCTCTGATGCAACACGATCTAAGAAGTTATTGATGTCATTCATTTGATCTGGAGTCTCTGTGAGATTAGGGTTGATGAGATACTTGAGCGGATTGAGAATGTTCATGTCAACTTGCAGCCTTTTTATATCATTCGTATGGTTACAGTTGTGATTTTCATCATTATTTACCAACAGAGTATTCAACATATCTGGAATGGAAACAACTGGTAAAAGCGTGTCTGCTTCCGGATGAACGGAGCAGCTTGTCTCATTGAAACTGTCAGTAACAATTTTAGATTGCGTAGTTTTCCTACGTTTGGCTAGACGCCTACAAGCAGGGGCCTTTATTTTCTTTTGTTGCATGATAAAAAAGTGACGTATAGCAGGCGGATTGAACAAAATATTAGAAATAGAGATGAAAGAAAGAAAAAATCAATGCCGAGGACTGAAGTCTAATCAAAACCTATGCTTAACACAAGGGTGGATGTATCGAGAGGATCGGTGAAAGTGTAGAAAAACAATGGATAAGAATAGCAGGAAGGTATTAGTGGTGACAAAATATACTGTCATAAAAAATAAATAAATAAACGTATGACAGACTCACCGAATTGGACAGGTGATTCCAGAAATTAAGTGAGTCATATTATCCAAATACGATTTTAATGAAAGTATGTGGAATAATGAGTACAGTGCTTTGTCATACACGATTATATATATTTCTAGATATTGGGTAGAGATCCGAATAGATCCATGCAACAAATCACAAGAGTAAAACCGTGATGGTTTGCTAATTATTTAAACATTTAGGGAGAAGCAACAAATGTCCAAATGAATAATGTGCAGTAAAGCATTCGTTCTTTATTAAAAATCCTGGTGATCTCAGCTAAACTCATGTTTATAGATTCCCCTAGCAACATTGAGGTGAATATATATTTGAATCCAGTGCTCCGCTTCGTACAGTGGACTAGAAACTGGGTTACTTACGATGTCAACAGAATTCCCAACCTTAAAATAAATTACTGAATACAAACAACTAGATCCTGTCTAAAAAACCGACAGGATTTCCTAGAAATCTTAAAACACTGCAATTAATATAATGCCTGATGTTTTATTTCTTGAATTACAACAAGCTAACCAAAATAAATTTATTTCTAATATCACTTGGACGAACCACAAATAGAGTACAATATGTGAACTAAATATTAGTCAAAGAACGTTTACATTAAGTCGTCAGATGGAACCCTAAGCATCAATACTTGGTAACAGCGCCTTTCACAAGTACATTCTTAAAAATTCCGGAGATTTTCGTGTTCGAGAATAACACGGACTTTTTAAAATTGCATAGCACTAGTAAACCATTTGGTCAGATCATCTAACAATTCGGCGTGTTTAAGCTGGACATTACATTTGACTGTCTGAGTGGAGACACGCATCTCGACTTCTGTTAACATTTAGTTAGGTTATTATATCGCCACGTAGTATAAAACCCTATCTAAAAAGTCTGAAGGACTTTTGAAAATCTGGGCGCATAGAAATTTCATTTTTACATCATCTAAGTTTACCTTCTCCACATCGATTTCATCAGGTTGTAAATGGTCCAAGGGTCCACCATTACGTAGATTGCGATAAAACTTTTTCGCCAAGTCTGGAAAGTCCCTGTTAAGGTCCACTCTCTTTGAATTGCCTCTTCCGAATTCGTGAAAATCTTTCTATATTAAAAACAATATATAGCCCAATAACATATTGTTACGTTAGATGCGGCGATTTCCCAACCGTCCGGGTTCATTGACGGTAAAATATGGATTCTCGTTCGGTTAACTAGTCTGTGAATGAATGCATTTTGTGAGATAAACTCATCACAGAGGTAGACGGCCAACCGTATTAACAGTTCTCTTCCAACAACTTCGTCTCCATGCATGTTTGCAATATACTTAAACTCTGGTATACATACACCACTTATGTTTTATATGCAAACAGTACCTCTCTCAGAAGCGTTAGCATGTCTCCCAAAAGCTATCACAAACAGTCTGTTTCCATTTTGTGTTGTGGTAGTACGACCTGTTGTTAAATAGTAAGCATAAGAAATATCAGGGCATCTCTCAACAACTCTTCCGATTATACGTTCAATGTCTGTTTGAGAGTGGTGATTCTGCCATGAAATAGAAATAGTAGAGCTCAAGACTGTATGGACAAAAAATAATCCGAAAAGACAGTACATCTATGGTCTTCATAAACTCGCTGAAATATATATTTACAAAACTGAAATCGTTAAACAAAGAAACCAACAGATCCAATATCCAATATCTTCGTTATCAGCTTGTACATGTAATATTTAGCATTTGGTAAGTTTGTGTCTAGTCTTAATGTACCTTGTGTATTGGGTGAATGTTAGGGGAAATTAGTGAAAGTATCTGGGAGAGAAAAGAACAAGAGAAAAAAGAGCTGACAACTTATTAAGCACATAGAATGTACTCGTATTTAATAACCAAAGCGATTGACGACAATTAGAGAAAAAATGGGCATGAGATTAGGACAATCTGATAATCGAAACCCCAAGTCGACAACATAGAATTTTAAGCATGTTACATGCAAACCGATTGATTTATTTGGGCTCACCTCTTGTTGCTTCAGTAGGCTTCCAGATATTTGGCTATGCCCGATGGGTGATAGTCCACCCTATCGACTGAACTAATTATAGTCAGTTTGATAGCTGTTTTTGAATTCGTATATTCTGTAATTCGAGTGGGTTCATCCGTCCCAGGCTAATACGGTTTCTGGATATCAGAAGCTATCATATTACTAATCAGAAAATTGACTGGTTGCAACATGCAAAATAACAAGGCGATAATTCGAGTGCTAAGAGAACACCATCGCTTCAAATAAATAAATAAGTTGATCGACTGGTTACGTAGACACTGCGTAAGTATCGAATTGTAAAGATAACAGGGGAAACGCAGGTGATAATAAGTGCGATAGGAAGTAGTCACTGACATTCAATAATGATAAGAGTGGGTAAATCATAGGACATGCATCGGATACAGCTGGTCCAAGCGAAAGATGGCGATCCGCGATTGAGTACGTGTTTATCAAGTCTCCTTTGGGAGCAGTTTACTAAGGGGGCCGTGATCTCCGACTGAGAGAGCATTCAAATAGAGGACAACTCTTGGTCAGAAAGGCAACGTACCTACGTTTTTTTCTTATTTGCAACTATTTAGGGGTTGGCTTCAAGAGCGTAGTAGTGATTTTCTGGTAGGATGCTTGTGTTGTGACATGACGTACTTAATATGTTATAAGTCATATCACCTCTTGTTCTGCTGTGGCTCAGTGAGAATAATTCCAAGTGTTGGAGTCTATCGTCGTCGGATTTGTGGTCTAGATCCATCACCCACTTTGTGATCTATCCATGTACTTAGTGTAAAAGAATAATGTCCCCTTTGGAAATGGGTAGCTCAATAACATTAAGGAATTCAAGATGGGGTCGTGTGTACGTTTTAAACAGTGTTATCGACGCACGAAGTGGAGGGTTGAGTTTGCCTTGGCTGCGTCCCCTATATAGTTTGAGCTGGTGTCTGAGCTCTCCGCGGTTACAAGTCCAAGATCATGCCCCTTGAAGATAGTTGGGAGAGGATTGCTATAGAGGGTGTAAGTAGTTTGTGTCTTATGGGGCAAGACGTTTATGACATGAGAGTTAGACATGTTAATTTTCAACCAAGTGTCCCTCTATTATTGTAAGTACTTTTTGTAGCTCACTTGAGTCCTTTTTACTTTCCATGAACCCCGAGGTTTTGTGTCGTTTGCTAATTTCATCTAAATGGTCAATAACAAAGATGAAGAGCAAAAGTGGGTCCAAGATTTTTCCTTGTGAAATTCCTGGTGTTAAATCCTCCAATTTCCATGCACTCTGTTTATTCTGGAACGAAAAGTCCTGTTCTCTAGGTAGTTTCGGAGCCAGGATAAAAGTGGGTCAGTGAAAATCATCTTTGCAGCATTTGCAATAAGGAGTACGTGAAGTACTATTTCTAAGGATTTTGCAAAGTCAAGGAATACTACATCAACTGGTATCCTATGATCCCATCAGTTCTCCGAGCTTTCCAATTTTATGAATATATTGGAGACACAGGACCTACCTTTTCCGAACCCATGTTTGACTTCATAGGGAACGTTGCTTCTATCCATATATTTCACCATGTTTTTGTTGGTCAGTCCTTCAATTGCCTGTAACAGTATTGGCAGTAATGCGACTGGTCTGTAACAGAATAAATTCTTTCTATCTCTCCTATAAAGATTAGAGAGTAGTCTATTTTCGTCTTCTTGGAGGCTAGCTTGCATTTTGGCTGCTAGCTCGGTGTGGAAACATTTATCACTGCGAAATCTAGCGTTGTATCCGTTTCCCAATGTCAAGTGGGAGAATCAGGCCGATTCAAAGAGGATTTTTCACTTGTGTCAGACACTCCGTTTGATTTGTACAAGGCGTTCCATGCCTAGCTCAACTCGGGACTCATGTTTTCCGGGGCGTGCTTACCTTGGGATGAATTGTGCATGATCTCATTCGTAATGACATCCCTCACTATCTCCCAGTGAGCATTCACTGTCAGCTTCCACTGATCTTTTGTCCGTGGCGCGTGTCGAAGATGCCCCCTCATCGTTTTGTAATCTGACTTGGTATAATCAGGTTACGGAGCGTCCTCGTCCCTCTTAATTGTTTCCTTTGTGACCGCGTCCAACATGACTGTACCATGGTTGCTACACCCTGATAATGCTTGCACATGGGCATCCTCAAGTAGAAGCTGGCCATTTGTCAGTAAGTAGCCCAAGTTTGGGCGTTTTTTCATCTCTGTCCCACCTTCTGACGCCACCCACGTGCCCAGTCAGTCCTGAATTTCCAATCGCTGTGGTAAGTCGCTTGTAAAACCACCCTGAAGGTGTTATAACCTACTTACTGAGATTAAGGAGTGAGATAATGGAGTCTGCAGCTAGAAGTATTTGGTTGAAGCCTAAGTATCACAGTTTTAGTGCTGTCTGTAATAAACCATCCTTTTTGGTGTTAGAATCTGTAGGGGCCCGGTATATTCCTCTGATCAAGTACTTTGTGCCGCTCACATTTAAACAACACCAGGATGATTCTGCCACTCTGGTTAATTCGGTAATGTGTGGTGTTTCGGTTCCGGAGTGAATGTTACTGTATGTCGTCGCTGCACTTCCTGTTTCGTATACCCCATTGTATCTGAAAAGTGTTACGTCTTCGTCCATGATGTTGAGCGATAGCCACGTTTCACTGGGACTTCAATCTTCATGCCTAAATAAACGCACAGTTTTCTGTTTGCCCCAGTTTATTCCTTAATCCTCTTGCATTGCTGTAGAGGCATCTAATGGTTTGTCTCATTGCTTGGTGTTCCCCCACTACAGCATCTGTCTTCTGGTTTTTAAGCGAGCTGTTGTCCGGAATGTATCGGCCGATTCCGTGTGAAGTGGCCGTTGTTAGTTTTTCGTCTGCATAGCATGTTCTATTAGCGGGACTGTGGTCTCCGTGTTCTACACAGCTGATTACTGATCAAGGTCAACTGATATCAAGGGGTATTCTATTGGGATTTTCCGCTGTTGTTTTACCGATGTAGGTAGACTTTCACAACGTTTGATGCGACTTTATAGGTCATTTTTAGAGCTTTGTCAAGCCTGAAGGGCATCACTTATGTCCTCTTGGTTTCTAAGGTCCACAGTCATCAGATGCAGAGACTTTCAGGTCGTGAGGTGTAACAAACGAGGAGGCCTGGACACACTAAATGTCGTAGTGGTTTAAAGACTTACGCTACGTGATAGCCAACGTTGCCATTGCACAATGTGTTCGTGAGCTCCATCCTGACTGCAACATACTAGCTCTGGCACTCCGCAAACCACCTTGCTTGTTGGTTCTTGGGTGTTGGCTGATCCTATAGTGGCATATCTTACGGCCCATGGTTTTTCAGGTCTACCTAGGACTTGAAAGGAAAACTTGACCGATGATCCCTAAGATACCACTAGAATTTCTTCTGTAACGTATGCTAAATCCGAATTACTCTGAATGAGGGGGATAGTCGTTATGCAAGCTGCATGTTTCGGCTGACATGTGTGCTTTCACAGCACCTCACGGTTTCTATCTCACTGCCCTTTACCAAAAGCTTCCATATTTTCCGATAAGCTACCCTAAAACACTGAGACAATAAACAAATTCAGAAAGTTTTGATTAATGTCTTCGTCCTCAATTTTTAGCGTTCTATGATCTAAGTTATCGCTATTTCCCTCCCAAATGCCAAGCGAACGTTTGTTAGTGGGGGTATTAGAGACATTCAGTAATTTCATTGGTGTATGAGCTAGAGCTGTGGTTTCAATAGTCGCGCGTTTGGTTGGGCTTGTCCCTAAAGATCTGAATATATTGTTGGGTATTGATATGGTTGTTCCTGAAGCTGTCCTATGCTCCTCTTTCATCAGTTCTGCTGGTTTGTATTTTCTTCGCCTTGGGTAGACGTATCAGAACCGCGAACAGCGGTGAACTAACATAAACCCATAATACTGTCGATGTACTGCAATATTACGGTGTCTGTGAACTCAACAACTATAGCAATTACTTTCAAGTACTGAGACACAGGTTTTAACGGGCGACAAGCATGCGATAAAATTATCGTTTTTGTGTTGTTTCTGTCCAGTTTGTGTAACCTATTGAAGGTGTGGCGTCGATAATGTTTTGGCATGGTTGGACGACCCTCAACCTGCAGATGTGTTGCGCACTAAAGTTTTCTTACCTGTTTCTATCTGTCTGGTTCTTATTTTTCGGGTTACCAAAGACCAGTGTCTTCTTATTGAGGCTGGGAGAAATAAAGAAGGTCGAATCTTTGGAAAATGTACAAAGGAACTATAAGAGAAAAAGGGATACAACTAAGTTGTTTTCCCCATAAATATGTTGTACGTCTGAAGTAAATAGAGAGATGTTATCTACTTGTCCAGACTTTCGAAGAGACCACCTGTCTGAAGACGGGGTTAGGGATATGGCGAGAGGTTCATGGCCGGCGAACAGAGTAGATTCTCGGTCATCCACGGAGCGTTGAATGTGCCGTACAACACAACATGCCACTAGGAATTGCCTGCCGAAATTGCAGTACCTTGATTCGATGTCTTGCATCTGACTGGAAGAGAATCCCAAAAATCGACAATTGCTGGTCACCCATTGTCGTAAGACTCCGGTTGCCGAGTCGGATGCATCTGTGGTGATGATAATTGATACTCCGATATCCTGTTGTCAGAGCATAGTTGATTATGCGGTGACTTCCTCAATTACGAACCAGGCTGTTTTGCGTTGTCCTCCGAATGGATGATTTCCGCATTTCCTATAAGTTGATCTGTTAATAATCTCATGAGAGATGCGCGAATCGGTAAAAACCATCCACAAACATTACCCAGACCGCTGAACGCATGCACTTGCTCAAATGTGGTCGGCTCTGGATAATCCAGAATGGCCGCTCCTTTGTTTTACGGGGAAGAATATCCTGAGTGTCAATAGTGTCCTGAGGAAAGCCCAAGCAATCGGTTCTGACCTGACATTTTCCGATGTTTTTAGTAATGCTGTTTTTTTACTCATTCGTAAACAAGGTACATCTGTGACGTATAAAAGATGGCTAGTTCTACTGGCAACAGTGACGTTAACGCGTACCGGAATGTCCGAGATTGAGGGTACTGAAGGATTTCCTGCGATTTCTAGACGATTTACCGAGGGCGTTGAGATACTAACACCAATCATGGTTATCTGCTTCTCATGAGCCAGAGTCAGACCTTTTCTGTATGCAACTCTCCCGAGAATTTTGGAGTATCCGCAGTTATGGTAAACGTCAAGGTAACGAACAATAGTAATTCATAGATTTTCAATGTTGCTTTGAATTGTTTGAGGCTTTTATTATTCAGAAAAGCCTTTGTGCTATGGGTTCTGGTGACCTCCAGAGTCCGATGAGCAGATGCAATCACTTTATAAATGGCGTTATTTTGTAATGAGACAAGAACCGATATGGCCTGTTGGGGGATCTTAGATAAGGGGAGTTTTCTGAGGAAACCTTCTTCGAAAGTTCGTTGATCAATGATCTCACTCATACTTATCAGCATATTTGTTACTGAGCCGTGTTGCAATTCGATATTTTGGGAAAGCTGGTCTAAACTCTGTTAATCGGTTAGATATCCGCGTTTAAGGATGGCGTTTTTTGAAGTGTTGTGAAGTTGATAAGCAACACTGGTAAACATACTAGTTGTAACATGACTGTTAAAATCGTGTGGAAGAGTTTACACTGAGTCGAGGAAGTAAAAAAGTGGGTCCGTCGTGCCATACTCGTGAAAGTCAGCTTCTCAGTGGAGGAACCAAGCTCCAATATTATTGGTCCAGAAAGTTATCAGTTGAAAGGTGAGGAGTGTAAGAGTCTAAATCTTCAAAAGCTTGGGTGTTTAGTTCATCATTATGATGATAAATATATATATATCAAGAAGAAGCAGCTTCAATCTTGACAACACCGCTTATCGTGATGTTCACACATTTGCTAAGCAGACGTACGTTACCAGAAAATTAGAAGCTGGCTCACATTGCACCGATTTCCAAAAGGGGTCGACACAACGAACCTTCAAGCTACAGTCCGGCAGCACTTCCTTCAATACCCTCAGAAATTATTGGGGTTCCTGGTATGCGACGATCTACGTGACTACTTATTATCCGTAAGCCTCTTTTCGCCCAAACGGCACAGTCTCTGAAAGGGTTACTATTGTATAACCAACCTGCTGACCGCGGTGGAAAAATGGAAAACCATCTTTAATCTCTAGGGGAAGGTTGACGTCATATACATTGACTTCTCAAAAGCTTCTGATAGGTTCAGTCATATATGTCTTATCAATAAGCTCAAACGATTAGGTGTCAAATCACCATTAACTGATCGGCTTACTTCATACCTAAATGATCGACTTTTTAAGGTCACGGTTAACATCACTATGGAACGTTCTAGTGGGGTCCCCCGGGGTTCAGTACTAGGACCTCTCCTTTTCTTAATTTATATAAACGATCTGCCACAGCAGGCGTTACCAGATTTGCTACTTTTCGTTGATGATGTGAAACTCTGGAGAGAAGATTCCGAACAAGAGGATGAACTGGCACTTCAAGAGAATCCGACTCGACTTCGAAGTTGGACAGACAACAACGGGCTTATCTTCAACGCTTCAAAGTGTAAAGTAGTCCACCCGAGATATGTTGCAGACTACGAATAAGACTTAGGCAACTCCCTTCTAGAGGTATCCCAGGTTGAAAAAGAACTAGGAGTGTTGGTACCCTACGTTCTGAAGTCTTATGCTAACTGCGACGAAAATGCCTTCCAAGCAGACCTTGCACTGGTGACGTTGAAATGCATTTTTAGCCATTTCAAAGGAAGAACTTCCCACATAATCTTCAACAGTTTTATTCGACCTCATTTAGAGTATGGGAACATAGTGTTTCCTCCCTAAAAGGGTAAGAACACATTGCAACTAAATCACTTCTGGGACTCAAATTCAAGTCTTACGATGAGCACCTCCATTCACTGAACCTTTGCCCATCCGATTGCAAGCGCCTCAGAGGTGATCTAATGACTTACAGCATCTTAGACACCTCCGGGCATTCCCTTAAACACCTACTTAAGCTTAGTCCCAGCACAAAGCCTAGGGATGATACCCAGAAACTGAAGACACAACACAGTAGAACGGTCTGTAGGCACACCTTCTACTCTTTAAGAGCGGTCAAATGCTGGAGTCCTTTCAGAGGAAACTTGACATATTCTTAAGGACTAAGGTCAGCATCTCGCTAAAAGTGTACTATTTCTTCTCTTTTATCTTCAAATGCGCCTAGGTTCTTATCTGGAGGCATCAGTGATTCACTGCTACTAGGTACGGAAGCCCGTTAAACGAGAGCTTCTCCTATTTAGTCGAGAACTATTTGAAAGAAGTCGGCAATCAAAAAGTAACATCATAATTTGAAAAGATAAATGATGTTTAATGTTAGGATAAGTAACAGTCTTATAGTTTTTCGTTTGGTTTCCAAATCACGTCAGGCTCACTATTGAAGAAGACACGGATATATTTTAAATTTGACAACAATTTTACCTGTAACATTTTCATAGTCAAATGATACCAACTCAGTGAAATGAGAAGTCAGGGATTAATAAGTTCAAAGATATGTTTGAAAGATATTCGGTATTTCCAGAAAATTTTTGCCTAAGCTGGTCAGAGGTCGAGAAGTATACGTAGCACGGTGTTCCCATTAGTGATCCTATGTAGATGCGTTACGGAGTGCCTTTAGCTAGGGTGTGTCTAGTAAAACTAATGGGGTGAGCTTCAATATAGAAGACTCCCACAAACATTTATTTTAGAGATCGGTTCGCCGTTACAGCACCATTTAGATAAACCGGTGTAATCATCTCAAAAGAAGCAGGAGGAACGGTACAACATTGGTGCAAAACAAAACTATTCAATCCAGGGCTTTCAGAAGACGCTACTCAGAAGCAACGAAGCCAAGGTTTTACTGAAAAAAGACAGAAAATATAATTTATAGTGTAGGAAAAGAATTTGGTGACTTTCAAGCATCAACAGACTACGTAAATATACGAAAACATAAGGACCGCGCTAGCCTATATGCGTTCAACCGACTTCGAAAACTTCAATTACTATCTGTCCTCCGTCAATCCAATCTTCAAAGGTCGTGGAGAGGAAAGCGCGGTCGAGTTTGAAACTGGTTTAGCTTTCCTGCCGTGTCTGCGATTTCTTTGTTCATTTTGATTAACATTTCGTCTTATACGAATTTCTGCTTATTGTAAACAGTGAGAAACACTTCACTTAGACTGTTTACAGCGGAGACATGTCACTGATACTTGTTAGTTTTAGCTTCTTTTATCTTACAAGTCTAGGAACTCCGGTTCAGGACTGTTTATTCATGTTTCCTGTCGTGTGGGATTAGCACCTTGCTGTTGGTGCTTATGGTGTTTTCACAACACATAGGCCTTTGTGCTCCTTGGTTTTGGATATCAGGTATTGTGATAACTCCGTACTAACATAACAGATACGTTTCTTGACCTTTTTATCACGTCGAAAATCTTCTTGTTAGTATTCAATGTTATAATTATTGGTTTGACAACACTCATGTTTCGGGCTAGACTGTCAGGTAAAGTATGAAATTCCAATAATATGTTAGTAACGGATCGTGTTTTCCGTAATATATATCAGATATGTGGGGTTTTCTTCAACTGGCGTGATTTTAAAATCCTTTTTTCTAGCATGATGCTGGGTGCAATAAATAGTCTGGTTGTAGCAAAAATCTTAGCAACTGGAAAGTATGGGTCATTTTTCGAATACAATCATTTGTAATGTCGTTCAACTAACGTGCCATTTTGTTTAGTCCTTCCGTGAACCAAAGAGCGCTTATACTAACAACTTGTGGAGCATTTATGGGTTTGCTGTTTTGTATTACAGTGCTCGTCATGAATAAACTGACGCTTAACTACTCATGTCCAATTGTAAGTTCTCACAAAATACCCCATATTGTAGGGCAACATATTCGTGATAACGAAGGAGCATATGTTTACTCGTCTACTCACAACTGTCGGGAGAGTATTATATTTTTTGCCACTCTACTCAGTATGCTCAAATCTGTTTTGGTATCCCCAATGGTAAGTTTCGTTACAAGAATAATTCACATTTCAGGCTCTCCTTTATTTGGCTTATTTTGGATATTCGACTAATTCTTTTGATTCTGATCACAACCTTTCACCTCCAGTTTTCATGGAGTTGTGCAATCGATGTCCTAAAGTCACAGTTTCAGAAAGTAATTTTTCTAATTATTTTTTAACATGGCGACTGTAGCCTATCGAATTCCCTTTGTCCTCTGTCCTTGACCCTTCCAGTTCAGTTCAAGGCGTTCTAGGTGGTTGCGCTAATCCTTTAGAACAAGTAAGTTGAAATCTTGATGATCATTTTGTAGCATTTAACTTTGGAAAGATTGGCTGATTTGGTGGCTACTAATCAAAATGTGAGGTCTTCCATATTTTCGCTCAGTCACTTGGGTACGTTTATTATAAACTAAGTTTGGTGTTTTGAACTAGTGTTTTTTTTTAAGTTGCTAGACTTCTGACGAGTCAATAAGCACAATCACAGCATATGCTCACCGTTATATAAAAACAAACAACATATTTTGCAGGGCTCAGCTTCTTAATTGGCCACTATTCATAGTAACACCTTCGATTTTAAGGATCATTACGGCAGTAAAAAAAATTAGATGAGTACAAATAAACAAAGTTAGAGCTTTTAACCGTCAAACCAGTAACCGGGAAAGCCGGATATTGATGATCAAACTGTGATAATACATGTTTGCTCTTCAGATTTTATGACGTTTAGTCTCTGACCTGAAAGATAATTTGACTTGTCCTATTGCGAAGAAGAGTACCAAACTAAGACGTTTCATTAGTAGATGATGTATACCTAATTGCTTGCTACATCAAACGTTATGATAAGATGCCACTTTGTATGCCGCGCTTTTTAGTTATGTATGTATCGAACATATCTTTAGACGTCACAATTTTGACAGTTCATGAATGTGTATCTATCACAGATTCTGTTAACCAAGGTGTATAGTCGATAAGCCATTATTTTCGGTAGAAAAGTCTTATCCTCTAAATATCTGTATAAAACTCATTAAGTAGTACGTGTACGGATATATTTTGATACCAAAAGTTTAAAATTCTGGAATCGGTAGTCTTTCGACTGGGACCTATTCAAACGTAAGTATCGAAATTTGTAAGATCTAGATTACATACTTGAGAGATATACTGTTCGCGTACCCTCCAACCTTTAAGACATTCAAATGTCTATCAAAAGTTGATCATTCTACACCTTTTTTTGACCTATGCCTAACAGCCTTCAAATGCCCTGGTACGTCGAAGAGTGAGGAGAATCAGCTCTCCCTCTCTAAATGCTTTCATATGACCGCGTTCATACAACCACTACTAGGGAAGCCCTACTCACTGCCTTCTCGTGACGGGGGTGTTGTTTACAAAATTGAGAGGACAAAAAGCGAATGTCCGGCACTTTAACCGGGTTGGTGGGTATGAAGAATCCACCTTATTTATTTATTTGGACTCTTAAATATTGGTACAAAGGAGCACCAAATACATATGCGCCGCACAAATCTCATTTGATTTGTGTGAGGGCTGTGATACTGCCCAGGTGCCCAAACTGAAGCAGGTGGTTTTCTTAGGGAGCCATACCCGGAGCCTTTGACCTAAAGGTTTGATCCACAAGGCAGTAGGGCAATGTAAGGAAATGCAGTCCCATGGTAGCTGGTGACCAAACGATGGGTTCATACACCATTAGTTCCATCAGGATCCTGGAGCCCATGTGCACCATTGGTTTGGAATGAGGGTTTTCCAACTCCCTTAGGTGGACTTTCCGTGTCCAGCTACCCGGTTAAAGCGCCGGAGTTGGAAAACCCTCATTCCAAACCAATGATGCACATGGGCTCCAGGATCCTGATGGAACTAATGGTGTATGAACCCATCGTTTGGTCACCAGCTACCATGGGACTGCATTTCCTTACATTGCCCTACTGCCTTGTGGATCAGACCTTTAGATCAAAGGCTCCGGGTGTGGCTCCCTAAGAAAACCACCTGCTTCAGTTTGGGTAGCCAGGTAGTATCCTAGCCTTCACCCAAATCGATTAATGTGGCGCATATCTATTTGATTCCTTCTTGTACCGATGTTTATGTTTAAATTAATAAATGTTGCGTACAATAGTTGGGAGTAGACAATGTGACTACTTCAGAATATGTTCAGAAGATCTTTGCTGCGTCCTGACACCAACTTGTGAGCTAGGTCAATCGCTTGACACCTTTTTTAATACAAAAAGTTTCGCAATTCGAAAAAACAATTCTTGCGTACAGTAAACCTATATTTAACCATGTATTTTTCTTTGAAAGGTGGTAGGCCTGTATTGTGGAGGCAAATAAGTAATTTATGTTTCCAGTTAATTGAGCAGTTTGTGTCAAATGCTCGTGAATCAAATACTCGTGGAACAAACTTGCTAAATACACGTAAGTCAAATTATTTGTGAACGTGGTTACTGCCATAAAAGTTTTAAACTATCATGTTCAGTTAGGTATCACTCAACGGGGTTCCGGTACATGGAGCGCTGAAATTTTTCACACCTTACTATGTAAAACGTGTAAATACTGTCAACATCTTCATAATTCTTCATATCAGTATGTACCGATGCCGTAACAGTTCAGCGTTGAAAATTTCAGAATAACACTACCACTTAGGGACTCTACAGCATGGTAATATATTCGCCCATTATCTACTAGTCCAATTCCTTCTTAAGGTTTAAACTGGACATCGTTCTACAACCTCTACAAATTCCAGTATCAATCGGCTTCTCAGCACACAGTAACCGTCAAATTTTCACCATATCCTCTGTCACTCCTATTATTTGAGTTTAAAACCGTCGTAAATGAGTATCCTTAATATCTGGCCTTGGGTTCCTACATCAACTTTTGTAATCGAACGTCAGTACTCATATATAGACTATCCATTAACTAACTATTACTACGATTTAGGAATACTAAAAATATTGCTTGGCTATAATTTTGTAGTCTACATCAGCTGACTGCAGCATATATGAAGGTGCGTCTAGACAGTGTTTGTCAGACTTAGTTTTTATAATGAAAGTATTGTGGCTTATGATCATGTTTTAGAGGGTGTACATAAAGCCAAATAATATCAAATATCACTCAGTAGTAAACTGATATGTTCAAAACATAGAAAGCCAAATAAAAATAGTAAAAAAAAATCAACAAGGACGTGGTAATACTTACAATGGTATATCAGAAGTAACTACAATACAAATAATAATGCTCTAATTTTAAAGAAATGTTATATAGTTTAATATATACGTTAATGTGTTTAAGTGTGAATATTTTACACTCTATTTTGTGGCAGCTTTGATACTTTTCAAAATTTCTTACACTCCTAAGATGTTGTTAGTCGGTTTATAATTTCCATGTATCTAATTAACACTCGTAAACCAATTATCAAATGTATGTACCCTCTTTAGTTTGTTTGAATTCACCTATCGCATCAAGTCCAACTAAAGTGAACTGTCATGTCTATTTGGTCCTTAAATGAATATAAAATAGATCTGTAGCATCACAATAAATATGGTGGCACAAAGTGACTTTTTATAAACCACATGATCATTGTCGAAGTGGGATAATATGCCTGTAATCCTGGGTTTCGTGCTATTTTGCACTCGTCAGCAAGGTGTACCTGTAATCTTAGGTGAACTAATACTTCCTGGTGGATTCTATCCCTTGCCACCCAGCTTCATAATCAGATACATTACCACAGCTATCCGGACTGCAACTGACCTCCTGTAGTGCTGAGATATATTTACAAGTTACTGACCACTTGGTAGTTACCAATTTCATGTGTGCCAAGTCCTTCTTAGTGCATATCGAAATCTATCTGTATGTGATAGATGGTAAAATTCAATATTCGAATGAATAAAAACCTCAATTCAGTGATCGCATACAGTTTCAGTTAGTAGATTTAGCCCCATCTTTGTTAACCTTGTTAGTACTTCCCTTAAACATCCCAACAAATAACATATACCTTATCAGTTTACTTTGGAGTAAGGAAAACCTTGTTCAGTTAACATGAGTCAATCAAATGTCTTAGTAAGAGATCGATTCCTAAAAATCCACTGTCAAAGGCATTTCTACAGCATTTGATTTCACTTAACAAATGTAAATATATTCAATCGTGCTTGCTTTTGTGTTAACTATTCTGTCATTTTATTGTGTAACAGAACCTTTCCCGTTGACCAACTATTCTGTCTTTCGACCCTGTTCACTGGGACCATACTAAGTCAAACAAATGATCTCGACTCTCATCACTTGAGGTCTCCATTTCCACTGCCTGTCCAGGTCGAATAATTTTAGATACCAGACAAGTTGTATGTAGTAACGCTACAGTCCCATTTACTTTTCTCATTTTCCGATAGTTATTTCTAGTGTATACTGAAACCATTTGTGCTCATCAATTTTTATTATCCGAAGTTTGTAACATCTATACGCCAACGCCTCATAATTCAGACTTTTTCGCTTATTTTCAGCTCTTTGGCCTAAAAATATTGATTTTAAATATAAACAGTATCTACCCTCATCATTTGAATCAAATCTGCGTCAACGCAACAGTGCTAAACTATTGTCTGCTACTAATGAAAATGTGTCTGATATGCAGCCTTCCGGGTCCATAATTGCTCGAAATTTAATAAATGCTGGTCGAACTTTGCTTTCTAAGGTATGCTGGTCAATAACAAACGACTGGAATTTTCATTTAACAAAAATATTGGGTATACTGGATTTTTGTTAACAATTAGACAAAACCAAACTTGCTTGGAAGTAAAAAGTGAAATATTTGTGGAGATGGTTAACAACTGGTGTACACTACAGCTGGCTAGATATGAAGTAAAATATCTAGTTAAAGCAGTGATCCAAACACAAGTTTTAAATTTGCTATTTTGTCAAATCTTAATTGGTGCCAAACTTCATTATACGTGGCTGAGGTAACATAACACCATTTTGTCTTCGGATTAAATAAATCAGGCGATTAAATTTATAAATCGTTTCTAGTTTTAAAAGTCTTAAGATGTCTCTGTGGTCAAACATATTTTCATAGTTCCTAAAATATTTTGTAAGTTAGTATCAAGGAAATTTATTTCATTTTACTCAGATTTCAACTGGCTAGGCGAATCGTATAGCTTTCTTTGAATTTAGCCAAATTTTAAGAAGTAACCGTAGGAAAGATCAACCAATTTGAAGACGCTTCAGGTTGGATGTAATGGTAAAACATCGTTCGAAGTCCGCTCTAATCTAGTAAAGCACAGTGCCTACTACCTTGCTCATTCCGTTGCCCCACCTTATTTTGACAAATACTTATCATAATTCAACTAAAATCTATTACTCTGTAGTGTCTATTTTTCTTTTCTAGGTATACACGCGGTTGTCTCGAACACAACTGTTCAGTATTCTATCTTCAGAAATACCCTATGCTTCGTCAGCACACCTTTTCTCAACTGCTACAGATATTGGCTGCGCAAACGACCTGGACTTCGATAAACCGTTAGTACGAACGAGTGGTCAAGTTATTATCTGGGCAACAGAAATCTTAGCTTGTTTGACACTGGCCGCTTACAATGAAGACCAATTTGGTTCGGTTCAACAGACTCTTGGGCGGATCTTACTACTTTTTGCTGATGGATTAGAAGTAAGTTTATGGCCTTTGACAGTTCCAATCACTTCCTAAATTCATTTGCATAAATCGAACTGATTGTCATTTACTTAGAAAAACAAACTTAATGAGAACATTCGCCGAAGTTTAGACGACCAGTTTGATAGAAATCAGACGCAAAGTAAATATTGAAGACATGAAATGTAAAAATGATATTCAATATCATCTCAGTAATTGAGAATAAAATAGCTCCAACTTTCTACCCGGCAGACTAATTCGAGCTTCTCTAAAGAAATATTTCGACCTATTATCTCTTTAAAGTTGATCAAACCGGTTTGCTAGGAAGAAAGTTGAAATTTAAAGCGCATAAAAATACTTTGGTCCAACTTCAGAAGTGATGGTTCCTTCCCCTTTCAAATGGATAATTTTTTGTCTGTTATGCAATTAGTAACCAGTTACCAAAATGTATAGACATTTAGTACTGCAGGAATAACACCAATCTCACAGCTATTATCAACGAAAAGCTCTTGTCATAAAAAATCTCGTTAATCAAAGAAGCTGACGCTAATCTTATTGCTAAACAATGGTAATCTAGCTCAATACTGGTTATATGGATCAAATGTACCATATGATGGAAAATAATACTACCTTGCTAGCCAAACGTCGCTTTATGAAGAGTTTAAGCTGATGTCCTGTGAAATAGTACCTCTGAGAATTAATTTTAGGCTATTTAATACTTTCTTAAAACTGGATGAATTAAACACACTTGTTACTTGATAATCATCTTAACTATTTCATACTGCATTGTACCGTTTTTTTTAAGGCAGTTGAAAAGCACTTGAGGTTCATCGGTTTGCTCTCCACTCAGTACAAACAAGCAGTAAACTGTCCAGTTTCTGATAGCTTCTACACGAGTACAATATTATCCGCTGGACATCTTCAAACTCCATTAAAAAGTTTGAATAAACTTTCAGGCAATTCATTCCCCTCAAACGATTTATGTAAATTAACATATTATCGTTTTGCATCCGATGCCAGTCTTCCATGGCGTGTTTATGCAACGTTTTGTTGGGCTCTAACAAACTGCCTAAGTCAATATGATGGTTGTTTTGCGTAAGTCCCGCTATTTTATTATGTAACCACTTCCTCCTTATGCATAAAACTAAACAGACTACTTTGCTGGTAGAATCATATAAAATAGCAAACTTATATTGTTCATTGCTAAACCTAACGTTAATAAAGTGATCTGTTATTGGAATCGGTAACTTGAAGTGGCGTTGCCCACTTTTTCCATGTTTATTTGGCTTTATCATAAATATTCGTTAAGAGATAACGCTCCCATTGTCTAACTTTTCAAAGGGTGATCGTCTATTGAGATTCACTTGTTGACTTCGAATACGCAGAGAATGTAGCTTTTTTCGGTTAAAACTGACAAGATTCAGAGTCTCCTGAACACTTTAAGCAACAATGCAATGATATTTAGGGTGCGACACCTTCCCTCTAAGTGCGAAATGTTACTTTAGGGTAGGTCCACGTTATCACCTGAATCAATGATGGGGAGCAGAGTAGTCGAGTGTCGACTAATTTACTTATCTTGGGTGTTTCATCAGTCTTGATCGGCTGGTGTCTGACGAAGTCTCGGTACAAATTAAGAAAATCCGATTGGATTTTGTCAACTCCCGCCACTTGTGGCATAGAGATATCTCCCTGCCAACCAAATGATGAGCTTACTGCATAGCAGTTTGCCCCGTCCTACTTCAATAAATGAAATGACGATATCTACTGAAAATTCTATTCACGCTCCTATTGAAAGTCAGACAACTCACACTATTATTATTTACGTCACTTATTCACTCTCTTTTATTCCCGATATGTGTACCCTTTTCAACTTATGCAGCAGCTCGCCCATGGTGGAAACTCTTTTCTATCTAAACAATCTCCAGTCAATGTCTGGTCGAAAATGAATGCTTCCACTGAATACAAATACTGAACCAGTCTTTCTAAAACCACGTACACCGTTCAAACTGGCTTCCTTCAACGTTCGCACACTAATGCAGATCGGACAACAGGTAGGGCCGGCTATGTCTTTAGAAAGTCTTAATGTCGACGTTTGTTGTCTATCCGAAACCCGTATTCAAGACTCTAGTGAAGGACTACGAATTCACTGTCCATCTGTCGCTTCAAAAGACTTGTTTTACGTGCATTTATCCGGGAACCCTTTGGCATCTTTGTCTGGTCTTGCTGGCGTTGGTGTCACACTAAGCACTAGAACTGAGGTAGCACTAATTGTTATATCTTGTGGCCGAGTAGATGCCCAGTTTATGTATGACGTGATAAAACCGCCAATCAGAGAGCAGCGAATTATCGATTGGAACAGTAACACACGAAAACCGTACGAGCAGTCTAGAGCGCTTATCGATCCTGCTTCTGTCTAGCCCAGCCAGTTAAGTCCAAAACACCAATAACAGCCTCTGTGGTATGAATCATTGTATTTCAAACATACTGAGTTTATATACTAAACAGACTGACTACATCGTACCAATAAAATAGGAAATAACATTTGTACAAGATTCAGCCAAATGTGGCTGTGAATAGGGGGAACAGTAATCAATAGGCTGAGGATAGCTCAAAAAATGGTAAATCGCATAATAATAGTCTATGGGTCAAAATAAAGCTTATAATAAGGGTAACATGGACATGAATAGTCTAGTTATTTAGGAATTATATAAAAAATATATGCATAATACTGGTCTATAAATGGTCGCCAAAGTTACCATTCGCTATTGTTATCGAGACACAACACTAATCGATTGGATCCCCATTAACAATCGGTTATGTGCTGTTAGATTAGAAAGTTCCATCAAAGTGAGAAGAAATCGGCGTAAGAAACGATGTGTTTTTGTCATCTCCGCTTATGTCCCGACAGATTGCAGCCCGAATGCAATCAAGGACGAATCCTACCATCAACTAACTGTTCTTCTGCAGAAAGTGCGTTCGACAGATATTGTACTACTAGCCGGAGACTAGAATGCACAGGTCGAGCGTCTTGACATAGGCGAGAGTCGTTCAGGTGGCCGACGGAGACCTGTAGGTCGTAGGACAGATAACGGGGACCGTCTACTGCAACTATGCACAGATTACAACCTGTTTCTGGCTAGCACTAACTTCCGGCACAGTCATCGCCGATCTGCCACCTGGCGTCCTCCCTCTGCATCTCAAGCCTGGACTCAAATTGATCATATCGCGATCAGCTACCGTTGGCGTGGTTGTGTACAGGACTGCCATTCATTTTGGAGTACCTATCTAGACTCTGATCATGCCCTGGTCTGCGCCAATGTTACCTTACTTTTCAGTGACCAACGAATTGACCGTCATCAACGGATTAATGTAATAAAATTGGTTGCAACTTCTGTTGCAAGTAAGTATCGAACCGAGCTGGCTTCTAGATTAGCTACCATCTCACCTAAAAGTATAGGTGAGCATTGGTTGCAACTGCATGACGCCATGAAAATGGCGAGTAAAGTCGCTTGCGGATTCGCGAAACGTCTCGCTTATAAGCACTGGGTTTCTTCTGGCTCCTTACAACTTATCGAAGCCCGTAGGTCTACTACGGGTGACCGTGAGTTTGACCACAAACGAAGGCTGCTACGAAATAATATTGGGCAAAGCTTACGTAAGTACTGAGAAGCAGGCTAATGAGCTGGAAGCAGCAGCTGCATCTGGTAACTGCCGGAAGCTCTTCCAACTCATCCGAGCCACTGGCGGCAAGAAGTCTGATGTGAATGAAACAATCTGTGAGGATGACGGGATGCCAATCAGTAACATCCTTGGACGATGGGCAGAATTTTTTGAAGGGCAGTTCAACCGGCCTGATGCTACGTCAACATGGATCACATTGTCCTGTGCTCCATTGCCGGTGACGACTGCTCAGGCAGAGTGAGGGCATACAACCACCTTTCTTCATTTTTCCATTCAAACAGTGGGGTTAGACAGGGTTGCCCAATCTCAACATTCCTCTTTAGTTTTGCCGTCGATGACGTTCTAGAAACAGCTCTGATGGATGTAAGTAATGGCGGTGTGAATCTGTTGCCTGGAGAAAGACTTCTCGACCTTGAGTATGCAGATGATATTGTCTTACTGTGCGATAATGCCCAAGCCATGCAATCCGCACTTAATCAGTTGGCAATCAGTGTCCGTTGGTACGGTATGTGCTTTGCATCTTCGAAGTGCAAAGTACTTCCACATGACTGGCAGGATTCTATTCCTGTACTCACTTTGGGTGGTGAGCAGATTGAAGTAGTCGAGAATTTCGTGTATCTAGGTAGCTATATAAGTGCTGGTGGTGGCGTGAGTGATGAGATTGATGCACGTATAGTGAAAATCAGAGCGGTTTATACCAATCTGGGCCATCTTTGGCGCCTTCGTGATATTAGTCATTCTTTAAAAGGTCGGATCTACAACGCGCCGGTGAGAGCAGTTTTGCTCTATGCTTGTGAAACCTGACCTCTCCGAGTTGATGATGTTAGACGACTCTCTATGTTCGGTCATCGTTGTCTCCGAAGGATTGCTGACATTCAGTGGCAACACCATGCTAGTAATGCAGAGGTTCGTCTTCGTGTGTTTGGGCTCAGAGACGACAACCCAATTGGTGCCACCACCCTGAAATACCGACTTCGGTGGCTTGGACATGTCTTACGAATGTCGTCCCAGAGAATTCCACGTCGTGCATTATTTGCCGCCTCTGGGACTGGTTGGAAAAAGCGGAGAGGAGGTCAGTGTATGACATGGTGTCGTGGTATGAAAGAAAGCTGCAAAGGGCTGGCATCTGTTGGTCCTTCACAACTCCCCGACTGGGGTCCGAGAAATGACGCAACAGTGGCTCGATACGTTATCAGATATGGCTCAGAATAAAAGCGAGTAGCGATCCTGCCGTCACCTTCTTCATAAAGAGTGGTTATAACTTCCTTAACTGAAAGAGTTTCCCTGGTTGTACATTTCTGTTTCCCCGATTATTACGCTAACATACACTAATCTGTGGTTGTTATTGTTCCTTTCTTTTTTCTCTTATATGCACCTTACCTCTTTCTCTCTTCCCACTCTCATTGTTTTGTGTAGCGCATATATATATATATATATATATATATATATATATATATATATATATATATATGGTGCCCCCTTGTACCAACATTTATGTGTTTAAATAAATAAACTTCAGTAGTGTAAAACATAGCCATTAAGAATAAAAGATATTCGCAGGTTATTGTATTCGATCGTAAATGTCTTTTAAGCATTGCTTGTGTATCTTGAGATTACCGAGTGAGCAATATCTGGGGTTAGGAATAAAGTATCAGGTAAGAATGGCCAATCGATTGACGAGGTAGTGAATCAACTGAGGTGGTTGGGCATGCGTAAAACATGTCCTAACCACACCTCACGTTGATGAGCAATGTTGTCTGGTGTGAGAGTTTGCTGGAAAAGAACTAACGACGGCAAACCAAAACACAGAACCAGTCCATGAAGCCATCGAAGATTTGACTGAGTCATAATAACAGGTCTAGACTACCTGGCTGGGCTCCACGTGATTATTGCAACCAGTGGCTAGAGACTTTGAGCGACATATTTCAAAATCGTTTGCAATGCCGCAGGTGCCTCCACTCTGTCTTACCACAGCTTGTAAGCTGCTGAATCCCTCATTTTTTTATTCCGCTAATTTAAATTTTATTGAATTGTATATTCGGTGCCCAATCTCTTCTATTATCACTAACACCGTTACTATCTCTGCCATTCTGGGATTTGGTCTGACAGTTTCATCTCGCTGTGCTAATAGGGTATGGCAACTTGGTGGACCGATGTATGTACGTGCAAAGTCCTATGTTTACTGAGTACAAGGCAGTGTTTAAAAACAAAATCCCGTTCGAAACCTCGGAGACAGCGTGTAATTAGATGAAATATCTCCTATTGTTTTATTGTACAATGTGGAGACTAATTTATTTCAATTCTTGAAGGTTCACTTTTATTTTATTTATTTAAATACATAAACATTAGTAAGAGGAGGCACTAAATATTTATGCACCACACTCCATCATCCGATTTGTGTGAGGTCTGGAATACTGTGCAAAAGCAAGCTAAAGTAATCTAAACAACTTCAAAGGAACGACCAAGTTGCTCTCGGACTTGAGCTGGAGTTCATGTTTCATCGTCACAACCAGTACATGTTTTTATTGACCATTAGGCTGGTTGGTACTATGTTGGACAGAGCAAGGACAAACATTTAAGCAGAATAACGTGAATTAAATCCCTGAAGCTTAGTACTTACTCTACTCAAGACAATTAGGAAAACTACGTGTACGATTGGTACCGTTTCTTACTGATGGTTGAATTCAATTACCTTCAATATTAATATGTATTGTTGTCTTTTAGAACCTTATCCCTGGACAATAAGTCAAAGGAAAGATTACAACTACTGAAAGCATCTTGTACAATAAAAGAAAACCCGATATAACATACATTTTTTGTTATATTTTTTATGATACAGATTTACATGCATTTACTATTAAACTTTCTCAAAGATGCTAAATAAAAGTGCGTAGTACCGCAGAATTCTTTGACTATTATCTGGACAAACAAATAGTTTTACGAAGACACGTTATGGGATTTCAAGTTGTTTTGGTGGCCTTTGTTTAGCGTTGCCTTTAACCTTATCTGCAATCCACTTGATACTGCTGTTTATTCCATCCCTGTCAAAGTGTAAACACCAAAATGTAGACAGTGTTAATAAAAGTTAGAACCAAGACGTTCTACAACTAGTTGATCGATTGGTAAGAATTTGGTAGCAAGAAATGATGTTTACTCTTAATACTTCGGACAACTAGGTGTAAATGTATCTTTTGACAACACACAACAGGATCACGCTAATAGATTGGTATTCATCAATCCAGTTACATTCTTTGTTTGTTAAAGTAGATATTTGTCATTTTCTCTTTAATTTCTTAGATTGCTACGTACGTTTTCTGGTTCCTAAAGCTAAAATTATTGGTCTCTAGCTCTTTGTAATTGCAAGGTCACTCCCCTAAGTCCCATCGATTCTTAAAAGAGAATATCGTCTCCACTAGTACATTTGACAGGTTGTCACTGTATGCACTTCAAAATATCGAGATAAATTCCATCGTGTCTGAAATTTATGTCTTATTAAAAGTTCAGTCAGCGACAACGTAGGACCAGGCACATATATGCATCGGTCCAAGTTGTCATACCTCGTTAGCACAACAAGATGAACACCGGATTCATAGAAGTAATTAATTTAGTGGTGGTAGTATATAAAGAAAGGTTGTATATAAGGATATAGTATAGGAAAGAAGAAAGGTATGAAGCAATTTTAATCTCAAGGTTTAAGGGAAGATAAAGAGTGTATACACCTACGCCATTGTGATCGATTCTGAGCCATGTCACCCAGAGTCTCCAACCATTGGTTACGATAGTCACGCGGACCTCAACCAGGTAATCTGCATCTACCAACATGGCTCAGACTAGAAGTTAGTGACTTCAAACACTGATGCCATGTTTTGGTTTGGCCGCCCCTAACTCTCTTCCAACAATCCCCTACACTAGTCATTATAGCGCGTCGTGGTAATCGGTGTTCAGGCATACGTAACACATGGCCCAACCATCTCAGTCGATGAAGATTCATCAACTGATTTACCATCATTCCCTAATACCCTGCGTCTAACCTCACTATTACTTCCTGGTTATCCCGGCAGATGCGAGCAATATTTCTAAGGCATCTGTGGTCAAATACTAGTAACCTACGAGTATCTTCTACTCTTAATGGCCATGTTTCGCAGCCGTAAAGTAGAACAGAGCGAACTGCTGCGCAGTATACTCGTACCTTAATTGATAGACGGATATCTCGTCTTCGCCATAAGTGACGTAAGTTGGCAAAAGCCAAACGAGCTTTTTGAATCCGTGTTGAGATTTCGTCAGACACCAACCCATTGGGGCTGATCAGACTTCCAAGATAAGTGAAGTTGTCGACGCTACTTCACTCCCTATCCTTAGTTCAGGTGTTGATGCAGGCCAGTCCTGGAGTAACAATTTACATTTGGATGGGGGAGAAACGCATCCCAAACATCCTGGCATTATTACTTAGTTCTAACAGAAGACTGCATTTTGTCAGCGTCTTCACCAAACAAGACTATGTCATCTGCGTATTCCAAGTCGATAAGTGAACCTCTTGGTAGAAGGTCAATTCCTGAAAATTCAGTCGAAGAGAGTGTTATTTCCAGCAACAGGTCTATAATGAAGTTAAACAAAAATGGGGATAGTGGACAGCCTTGACGGACACCACTTGAGGTTGTAAAATCATGTGACAGTTCGCCATAAGCTCTCACTCGACTGGTAGTGTTCGAGTAAAGAGCCTTCACAAGGTTTATGTACTTCTCAGGTACACCTTTTAATGACAGACACTTCCACAGAACCTCTCGGTCTACAGAGTCAAATGCTGCTTTCAAGTCAAGAAAAACTATCATTGTCGGACGCCGATAAGCGTGTCTGTGCTCTAAAACTTGACGAATGGTGAATATGTGGTCGATACAGCCACGACCATGTCTGAAGCCAGCCTGATTTTTTCGTGTTTGGAGTTCACGAGTCTTAGTTAGGCGCCCGATAATTATTGAGGCTAGTATTTTAGATGCTATGTTAGTCAGACTAATCCCTCTATGGTTATCACAGGATGATTTTGGCCCCTTATATATTGGGGCAATCACAGATTGTGACTAGTCGGATGGGATTACGCCCGTCTCCCAGATTTTAGCCAGAATATTAGTCAACCTAGTCGTTAAATTGGGCCACCATATTTAAAGACCTCTGGAGCCAATCCATCAGGACCAGCTGCTCTTCCTCGTTTCAGATTAGCTATAGCCTTCAGAACTTCAAGTAGGGTCGAGGGGCCTACTTCAATGTTCCATTCAGGTTTTCTGGGAATAGTGGGTAGTTGTGCAGTAGCTGAAGGCCAGCTAAACTGCTCCTTAAAGTGTTCCGCCCATCGTTCTAAACGTTTGGGTTGAGAGCAGATAGGGGTTCCGTCTTTTTCCGAGATTGTCTCACTTACACTTGACTTCTTAATTCCGGTTTCTTTTATTAGTCTGCATAGTTGCCTGATGTTCCCTACAGCCGCTGCCTTTTCCATCTCTTTTGCTTTCGTTGCCCACCACTGCTCACGATCGTTCCTTAGGCTTTTAGTTAACCTAGATCTAATTTCTTTACGCTCTTCGTCGTGTTCGGAGCCTGATGGGATGAGTTTACGCGAATCCATCAGTGAAATAGACTTAGAAGAAATCCACTAGTTTTTTGGAACCGTATGGTTTAAATAACGAATAGATGTTACTGCTGTTTCCACAGCTGTTCGTGTGTCTTTCCAAGCAGCATCTGGGTCAGTCTCGTTTACAGAACTGCCTAGATGTGAACTCAGTTGTTTCTGGAATTCGCATTTGGCTTTCTCGTCCTCCAGTTCAATCCTAATGGGTCTTCTTAGTGTACTTTTCCTGCGTCCATTGAGGCGCAGACAAATGCGCGCTCGTATTAAAGCGTGATCAGAGTCTAAACAAGTATTCCAATTCTATTGAGCCTCTCCAACGATGACTGATGACAGTATGGTCTATTTGAGTCCATCGTTGGTTTGGTTAAGGTGGTCGCCATGTTAGACGATGTCTCTCCTTATGCTTAAAATTAGTGCTTGCTAGAAATAAACGATTGTCTGAGCATAGTTGCAACAGACGATCACCATTATCGGTTCGTTGAGCCGGAATACTAAAACACCCACCTAAATGTCTTTCTGTTTGTCTCAAGCTGCCTACCTGGGCATTAAAGTCACCAGCTACGACTACTATGTCTGAGCGCTTAGCTTTTTGAAGAAGCTCAGAGAGTTTTCTGTAAAAGTCATCTTTCACTTCATCATGGCTGCAGTCAGTGGGAGCGTAGGCAGAAACGACGAAAAGGCAACGACGTGTGTCCCTATCCTTCCGAGTTCTTACGGAGCCATTCAGCCGGACAGCACATAGGCGACTGTTAACGGGGATCCATTCTAGTAGTACCTGTTCTGTCCTTGTACTTAGTGCTATGCCTACACCTGCAAGTCCACGAGAACTAGCCAATGGGTCGCCAGATACACGAAGGGTGTATCTCGTTGGCTCTCCGTTTTGGCGAGGTGAGGTCAAGTGAATGACCACACTAGGATCCTGTATGCGTGTTTCGGAGACACAGCATACATCAATGGTATGAGATTCTAGGGTCTTAGCCAAGGAGGCCTGTTGACCGATTTGACTTAAAGTACGTACGTTGAAGGCTCCAATGTGTAGTTTGGAGCGAGGTTTTAGTAGACCTGGGACAACGTTTCGCGCACTAGAATCGTTGGCCATGGTGACACTTGAGGACGAAACCGGAAGAGGAAGTTTAGTGTTGAATGTCAAGGTAGAAGGAATTGAAGGAGATTGATTATGAATACAGTGGTCTTGAGTGCTGTTAGGGGTATGAGGGCAGTTATCACTTCCCGGTTGCCCACACCGTGGAAGGGTTCCTCTAGAGGTACCTGAAAAGGAAATTGGGTTAGAAATTGTCTTAATGACCTGAGAGCGTGACCGCAGTGCCCAAGGGACAACTGCTTGAGGTCGGTCACACATGACCTTTTTGTGAGTATTTTTGGTGTTAGCTCCGTTCTTCAAAGGACCTTACCGCCGGAGACGGATATCCGTGGGATAAGGCGAGGTGTGCATTTTTAGGGTCGACCTTTTCTAACCCCACCCCTCCTTGTGGGAAGGCAGCATCGCTGTCATGCTGGTTGTCTGAAGGAAACACCTTACTGCTGTCACACCTCTGTACAGTTAGCAGTACGACTTCGGACCTTGGGTTTGCTGCTTTTAGTCTCACCGCTCTTCAACCGACCTGCCTGGCATGGTAGGACCTTGAGGAACGATTGTTCCAGCCAGTATGGCTCGATTGAATCATCACGACAGGCAAGCCCGACCACCACGTCAAGGTAGCAGCAAAATTTGCTCATCATTCTACTCACGGATGAAGTTAAGGAGAATATGACAGTAGAAGACCTAAACATTGGAGAATACAGTCCAAAAAGGGATGAAGTGTAGGAATCAGAAGTGCAACATAGTGTTGGAGCTTAAGACCTGGAGGAAGATAATGAGCAGATGGATCTGCGCCGGTGACTAATCCTGAGCCAAGTCATCTGTCTCCAACTTCCGTTTACTCTTTTCTTAGCTAGGTAGTCTGAATTTACTAATGCAGGTTAGTTTAACAGTCAATAACTTCATGAACAAACCCCATGCCTTGGTTCAGCCCCTTCATTTTTTCAACCAATTCCTACCCTACCATAGTGCTTCGAGGTAGGCATACATAACAGATATCCAAGTCACTTCAGTTGATGAAGATGTGCAGTTTCATCAACCGATTTTACTAACAAAAGAGCAAGTATACTTCGTATCTTGAATTAATTTTTGGGGAGTAAATGGTCACTGACTTTGGAAAAAATGCTTTCACACCCATCTAATTAGTAATAGGAAGTAGATAACGTATTTCGATACACTGATGAATATATATTATTAGTGATATCCCAATGAGTGGGAAATTGTACTTCTGACTAAATGTAAATAAACGAAAAATTCCTATTAACTTTCTACCCAGTGCATAATTTACTGGAGACCAACCTTGGCATCATATTTCGATGTGCTTTATCATCCTCGTAACATATTCGACACTTGAAAGTGAAGAGGTTACTAGCAGTGGTATGGAAAAATCTTCGTCTCTGAAGTATATCTTCCCATGTTCGACACTAAATCACTATGTATGTGTTGTGCGTTTTATCGAACAAAGCGAATTTAAAGTCCAAATACGCCCAAGACGTTTCCTCTTGATAGTGCACAACATACCCATATGTCATAAAACATTGACCAACCTGAGAAATAATAGTTTAGGTCGACTGAAATGATTATTTTCAGAAGTCGTCAACAGTTTAACGATTAATTTACCCGTTAAGTGCGCTGACACCATGAAATGTGCATTGACGTTGCCCAACAAGACGCAGACTATCGTAGAAGACTTTGTTGATTTCAGACAAATGGAATGCACTCTAAAAAATGCGGAATAGACACAAGATCATAGTGTAGGTAGTTGTCAATTTAACTATAGGGTTGTTTAGATACGATTATGGATTTTATTATTTCTATTTTGGGATAAAACAACTTATGTTTTTAAGAACACATGTGCATCAGAAAGTGGCAGATTTAACTAAATTACAACGGTAGTCACCAAAGTATTGTCAGAGTTGTAACATATACCCAGTGCGATTTGTCGAAGATTGCGACTCCTCTACCATGACAACTCAATGCTCATTGACCATCGTGAGAACGATGAGTTGTAAAATAAAGAGCTTTGAGGAAGACTACGAGACGATGGCTTGTAACGAAGCATACAACAGATTACCACTAGACACTTGAGTTCACTAAACAACTGAAAGGAAGTGATAGGAGGCCCTGACAAAGGATTTAGCACGGAGGATGAGTTGGAAACTCCACTATGAAGCAGCTCTCGAACTAACGTTTCTGCAACAGCTTATATGAAGGATAGACAGTTAAGGATTTTTCTAGAGATACCTTGGTGTTCGTAAGTCACATTAAAGATCAATGATGTTTACTTTGAAAAGCTTTTCCTGACCATTCTAAGTGTTAAGGTGCTTGGTTAGTTTTCTAATATGTGTATCTGTCATGGAGAAATTCTCCACCTTTTAAGAATACGTAAATTTATCCCGAATATTTTGTATATGACAATTTCCAAGACCGGTCATTTATGCATCTGTGATTGTGTAGGTAGGAGGAAATAAGACTGATCTTTTGTTATTTCCCTGTACTCATATCATACCTAAACGAACTGAACAAAAAACGTTCAAGATATTTGGGTGGTCATCTATCGCTTTGTTAATTTCTCCTCTTAATCTATCGATGTGATGTTGTGACGGACTAATGTACAATCGTTCCAGGTCCTAAGTTGTCGATGCCTCACTGAGTTATGCTTAAAATATCAACCACGCTATTGTCTGCAGCATTAGTCTTATTAACATTATGTTGGGGTAACTAAATAAGTATATTTATATTAAATGTTGTACGACAGGTTCTGTCATATCCAACTATACTGTATAGTGGAGATATCCGTGCATGCATACATTGACACAGTTGCGTTACAGATGACCAGTTTTGCCAAAGTTGTGGAGGCACGGATCGGTACATGAGTTGAATCCATCACAAAAGTCAAATAATATATTTGATCTCCTTACCTGCATATCTTGCTTGTTAGCTAGAACCAGTAACGGTACACCTTCCAGTACAGGGTTTCTTACCATCTTATCTAACACTAATAATTACAAGAGGAACTTACCAAATGCATCTTTTGATTCATCAAAACGATCACTATCTGCAGAATCAACGACATAAATAACACCGTTTGATTCAGCGTAGTACTAAGCAAAACTAGTGAGGAGTGGATATTGAACTAACCTTATCCCACAAGGACTGAAGCTCTTCTTGACCTCCAAGATCCCAAAATTTAAGCCGGACCCCGTCAACCTCAATGTACCCGACTTAAAATTAAGGAAGAACGGTGAACCTACTATTTAGACCAACGGTAGTAGTGATTTTCTGAATTGGGATAGATTTATAATTCGGAACAAAATTTATTTTAGCTTGTTCTAAATAGGTCTAGACTTGTCAATCATATGTAACCAAAACTACTGTTTTTCCAGCGCCATCCAAACCTAGTATGAGGACAGAAAACTCATCCCTTTGTGATATATATTGCCACAAACCCCGCAGTAATGTGTACATTACTAGTGTGAAACCCGAATGCTGGTCAGTGCCAATTCACTTTCCAGGTTGTCCTAAAAAAGTGGGGGGTCGGCAATAATACTTAACCTAACATAAAAAACAAAGGAATAAAAGGAGACCAACATAATATTTGTTGTGGTTAACATACAGGCCTCTTGATTTTTTTTGCTTCCTCGAATAACTTAACATGTGCGGGATCCTCTATACATTGAAGGGACCAACTACTATATCGTTAGCATTCAACAACGTAACCAATCTTACTGGGTTGGTAGTAATATGACAGTTAGTTAATGGAAATATTTAGAAGACACTTAAATCGGATAGTTCAGAAGTGTATGATGATAGACGAAAATGCAACCTTAGTAGAAAATAGTCAAATGGATAAATAGTGGTCACGTGGTGGTTTTATGTCATCTAAATTTTGAAGACCAAATACTATCTTAATAGGGAAAATACCAATACTTTAAGAGGAAATTTAATGTTTTGATACTGCATCAACTGCAGTGCATGGTGCGAAATGACCACAAATGCACATAACCAACAGTTCCTGGGAGGTGTGTGTGAAAGGATTCTTAGAAGAGATGAACGTACCAATGAATTAATATACTCAATAGTCATTTACGCTTTCATACAATAATTAGGAGGCGCATCGAAATTGTAAAACCCACTCGAACCGATGATTCGGATGAGCTGACAACAGCTTTTTGACAGTGCACATTGTAGTGATAAAAAGATTTATATATCCACACATTGATCGCACATAAGAGTATTAATTTAATTATGTTGTGGTGATATTTATATTTGCAACTAGGTTAGATGCTTGGATTCCACCTTGGGATGAATTCCTACATGAGTTGCGGACAGGACTATAACTTGCAAAAAACGTAAATAACAACAACCAGTTGACCACACAATGACTGAACAAAGAATAACTCCACTCAAAACCCGTCCCTCCTTACTAAACACTGACTATATTCACACCAAACGCGTCACTGAATTCCAATGTTCAATGACAGTAGTAAATTCAAATGGTTCTCGACTAAATAGGAGAAGCTCTCGTTTAACGGGCTTCCGTACCTAGTAGCAGTGAATCACTGATGCCTCCAGATAAGAACCTAGGCGCATTTGAAGATAAAAGAGAAGAAATATTACACTTTTAGCGAGATGCTGACCTTAGTCCTTAAGAATATGTCAAGTTTCCTCTGAAAGGACTCCAGCATTTGACCGCTCTTAAAGAGTAGAAGGTGTGCCTACAGACCGTTCTACTGTGTTGTGTCTTCAGTTTCTGGGTATCATCCCTAGGCTTTGTGCTGGGACTAAGCTTAAGTAGGTGTTTAAGGGAATGCCCGGAGGTGTCTAAGATGCTGTAAGTCATTAGATCACCTCTGAGGCGCTTGCAATCGGATGGGCAAAGGTTCAGTGAATGGAGGTGCTCATCGTAAGACTTGAATTTGAGTCCCAGAAGTGATTTAGTTGCAATGTGTTCTTACCCTTTTAGGGAGGAAACACTATGTTCCCATACTCTAAATGAGGTCGAATAAAACTGTTGAAGATTATGTGGGAAGTTCTTCCTTTGAAATGGCTAAAAATGCATTTCAACGTCACCAGTGCAAGGTCTGCTTGGAAGGCATTTTCGTCGCAGTTAGCATAAGACTTCAGAACGTAGGGTACCAACACTCCTAGTTCTTTTTCAACCTGGGATACCTCTAGAAGGGAGTTGCCTAAGTCTTATTCGTAGTCTGCAACATATCTCGGGTGGACTACTTTACACTTTGAAGCGTTGAAGATAAGCCCGTTGTTGTCTGTCCAACTTCGAAGTCGAGTCGGATTCTCTTGAAGTGCCAGTTCATCCTCTTGTTCGGAATCTTCTCTCCAGAGTTTCACATCATCAACGAAAAGTAGCAAATCTGGTAACGCCTGCTGTGGCAGATCGTTTATATAAATTAAGAAAAGGAGAGGTCCTAGTACTGAACCCCGGGGGACCCCACTAGAACGTTCCATAGTGATGTTAACCGTGACCTTAAAAAGTCGATCATTTAGATATGAAGTAAGCCGATCAGTTAATGGTGATTTGACACCTAATCGTTTGAGCTTATTGATAAGACATATATGACTGAACCTATCAGAAGCTTTTGAGAAGTCAATGTATATGACGTCAACCTTCCCCTAGAGATTAAAGATGGTTTTCCATTTTTCCACCGCGGTCAGCAGGTTGGTTATACAATAGTAACCCTTTCAGAGACTGTGCCGTTTGGGCGAAAAGAGGCTTACGGATAATAAGTAGTCACGTAGATCGTCGCATACCAGGAACCCCAATAATTTCTGAGGGTATTGAAGGAAGTGCTGCCGGACTGTAGCTTGAAGGTTCGTTGTGTCGACCCCTTTTGGAAATCGGTGCAATGTGAGCCAGCTTCTAATTTTCTGGTAACGTACGTCTGCTTAGCAAATGTGTGAACATCACGATAAGCGGTGTTGTCAAGATTGAAGCTGCTTCTTCTTGATATATATATATTTATCATCATAATGATGAACTAAACACCCAAGCTTTTGAAGATTTAGACTCTTACACTCCTCACCTTTCAACTGATAACTTTCTGGACCAATAATATTGGAGCTTGGTTCCTCCACTGAGAAGCTGACTTTCACGAGTATGGCACGACGGACCCACTTTTTTACTTCCTCGACTCAGTGTAAACTCTTCCACACGATTTTAACAGTCATGTTACAACTAGTATGTTTACCAGTGTTGCTTATCAACTTCACAACACTTCAAAAAACGCCATCCTTAAACGCGGATATCTAACCGATTAACAGAGTTTAGACCAGCTTTCCCAAAATATCGAATTGCAACACGGCTCAGTAACAAATATGCTGATAAGTATGAGTGAGATCATTGATCAACGAACTTTCGAAGAAGGTTTCCTCAGAAAACTCCCCTTATCTAAGATCCCCCAACAGGCCATATCGGTTCTTGTCTCATTACAAAATAACGCCATTTATAAAGTGATTGCATCTGCTCATCGGACTCTGGAGGTCACCAGAACCCATAGCACAAAGGCTTTTCTGAATAATAAAAGCCTCAAACAATTCAAAGCAACATTGAAAATCTATGAATTACTATTGTTCGTTACCTTGACGTTTACCATAACTGCGGATACTCCAAAATTCTCGGGAGAGTTGCATACAGAAAAGGTCTGACTCTGGCTCATGAGAAGCAGATAACCATGATTGGTGTTAGTATCTCAACGCCCTCGGTAAATCGTCTAGAAATCGCAGGAAATCCTTCAGTACCCTCAATCTCGGACATTCCGGTACGCGTTAACGTCACTGTTGCCAGTAGAACTAGCCATCTTTTATACGTCACAGATGTACCTTGTTTACGAATGAGTAAAAAAACAGCATTACTAAAAACATCGGAAAATGTCAGGTCAGAACCGATTGCTTGGGCTTTCCTCAGGACACTATTGACACTCAGGATATTCTTCCCCGTAAAACAAAGGAGCGGCCATTCTGGATTATCCAGAGCCGACCACATTTGAGCAAGTGCATGCGTTCAGCGGTCTGGGTAATGTTTGTGGATGGTTTTTACCGATTCGCGCATCTCTCATGAGATTATTAACAGATCAACTTATAGGAAATGCGGAAATCATCCATTCGGAGGACAACGCAAAACAGCCTGGTTCGTAATTGAGGAAGTCACCGCATAATCAACTATGCTCTGACAACAGGATATCGGAGTATCAATTATCATCACCACAGATGCATCCGACTCGGCAACCGGAGTCTTACGACAATGGGTGACCAGCAATTGTCGATTTTTGGGATTCTCTTCCAGTCAGATGCAAGACATCGAATCAAGGTACTGCAATTTCGGCAGGCAATTCCTAGTGGCATGTTGTGTTGTACGGCACATTCAACGCTCCGTGGATGACCGAGAATCTACTCTGTTCGCCGGCCATGAACCTCTCGCCATATCCCTAACCCCGTCTTCAGACAGGTGGTCTCTTCGAAAGTCTGGACAAGTAGATAACATCTCTCTATTTACTTCAGACGTACAACATATTTATGGGGAAAACAACTTAGTTGTATCCCTTTTTCTCTTATAGTTCCTTTGTACATTTTCCAAAGATTCGACCTTCTTTATTTCTCCCAGCCTCAATAAGAAGACACTGGTCTTTGGTAACCCGAAAAATAAGAACCAGACAGATAGAAACAGGTAAGAAAACTTTAGTGCGCAACACATCTGCAGGTTGAGGGTCGTCCAACCATGCCAAAACATTATCGACGCCACACCTTCAATAGGTTACACAAACTGGACAGAAACAACACAAAAACGATAATTTTATCGCATGCTTGTCGCCCGTTAAAACCTGTGTCTCAGTACTTGAAAGTAATTGCTATAGTTGTTGAGTTCACAGACACCGTAATATTGCAGTACATCGACAGTATTATGGGTTTATGTTAGTTCACCGCTGTTCGCGGTTCTGATACGTCTACCCAAGGCGAAGAAAATACAAACCAGCAGAACTGATGAAAGAGGAGCATAGGACAGCTTCAGGAACAACCATATCAATACCCAACAATATATTCAGATCTTTAGGGACAAGCCCAACCAAACGCGCGACTATTGAAACCACAGCTCTAGCTCATACACCAATGAAATTACTGAATGTCTCTAATACCCCCACTAACAAACGTTCGCTTGGCATTTGGGAGGGAAATAGCGATAACTTAGATCATAGAACGCTAAAAATTGAGGACGAAGACATTAATCAAAACTCTCTGAATTTGTTTATTGTCTCAGTGTTTTAGGGTAGCTTATCGGAAAATATGGAAGCTTTTGGTAAAGGGCAGTGGGATAGAAACCGTGAGGTGCTGTGAAAGCACACATGTCAGCCGAAACATGCAGCTTGCATAACGACCACCCCCCTCATTCAGAGTAATTCGGATTTAGCATACGTTACAGAAGAAATTCTAGTGGTATCTTAGGGATCATCGGTCAAGTTTTCCTTTCAAGTCCTAGGTAGACCTGAAAAACCATGGGCCGTAAGATATGCCACTATAGGATCAGCCAACACCCAAGAACCAACAAGCAAGGTGGTTTGCGGAGTGCCAGAGCTAGTGTGTTGCAGTCAGGATGGAGCTCACGAACACATTGTGCAATGGCAACGTTGGCTATCACGTAGCGTAAGTCTTTAAACCACTACGACATTTAGTGTGTCCAGGCCTCCTCGTTTGTTACACCTCACGACCTGAAAGTCTCTGCATCTGATGACTGTGGACCTTAGAAACCAAGAGGACATAAGTGATGCCCTTCAGGCTTGACAAAGCTCTAAAAATGACCTATAAAGTCGCATCAAACGTTGTGAAAGTCTACCTACATCGGTAAAACAACAGCGGAAAATCCCAATAGAATACCCCTTGATATCAGTTGACCTTGATCAGTAATCAGCTGTGTAGAACACGGAGACCACAGTCCCGCTAATAGAACATGCTATGCAGACGAAAAACTAACAACGGCCACTTCACACGGAATCGGCCGATACATTCCGGACAACAGCTCGCTTAAAAACCAGAAGACAGATGCTGTAGTGGGGGAACACCAAGCAATGAGACAAACCATTAGATGCCTCTACAGCAATGCAAGAGGATTAAGGAATAAACTGGGGCAAACAGAAAACTGTGCGTTTATTTAGGCATGAAGATTGAAGTCCCAGTGAAACGTGGCTATCGCTCAACATCATGGACGAAGACGTAACACTTTTCAGATACAATGGGGTATACGAAACAGGAAGTGCAGCGACGACATACAGTAACATTCACTCCGGAACCGAAACACCACACATTACCGAATTAACCAGAGTGGCAGAATCATCCTGGTGTTGTTTAAATGTGAGCGGCACAAAGTACTTGATCAGAGGAATATACCGGGCCCCTACAGATTCTAACACCAAAAAGGATGGTTTATTACAGACAGCACTAAAACTGTGATACTTAGGCTTCAACCAAATACTTCTAGCTGCAGACTCCATTATCTCACTCCTTAATCTCAGTAAGTAGGTTATAACACCTTCAGGGTGGTTTTACAAGCGACTTACCACAGCGATTGGAAATTCAGGACTGACTGGGCACGTGGGTGGCGTCAGAAGGTGGGACAGAGATGAAAAAACGCCCAAACTTGGGCTACTTACTGACAAATGGCCAGCTTCTACTTGAGGATGCCCATGTGCAAGCATTATCAGGGTGTAGCAACCATGGTACAGTCATGTTGGACGCGGTCACAAAGGAAACAATTAAGAGGGACGAGGACGCTCCGTAACCTGATTATACCAAGTCAGATTACAAAACGATGAGGGGTCATCTTCGACACGCGCCACGGACAAAAGATCAGTGGAAGCTGACAGTGAATGCTCACTGGGAGATAGTGAGGGATGTCATTACGAATGAGATCATGCACAATTCATCCCAAGGTAAGCACGCCCCGGAAAACATGAGTCCCGAGTTGAGCTAGGCATGGAACGCCTTGTACAAATCAAACGGAGTGTCTGACACAAGTGAAAAATCCTCTTTGAATCGGCCTGATTCTCCCACTTGACATTGGGAAACGGATACAACGCTAGATTTCGCAGTGATAAATGTTTCCACACCGAGCTAGCAGCCAAAATGCAAGCTAGCCTCCAAGAAGACGAAAATAGACTACTCTCTAATCTTTATAGGAGAGATAGAAAGAATTTATTCTGTTACAGACCAGTCGCATTACTGCCAATACTGTTACAGGCAATTGAAGGACTGACCAACAAAAACATGGTGAAATATATGGATAGAAGCAACGTTCCCTATGAAGTCAAACATGGGTTCGGAAAAGGTAGGTCCTGTGTCTCCAATATATTCATAAAATTGGAAAGCTCGGAGAACTGATGGGATCATAGGATACCAGTTGATGTAGTATTCCTTGACTTTGCAAAATCCTTAGAAATAGTACTTCACGTACTCCTTATTGCAAATGCTGCAAAGATGATTTTCACTGACCCACTTTTATCCTGGCTCCGAAACTACCTAGAGAACAGGACTTTTCGTTCCAGAATAAACAGAGTGCATGGAAATTGGAGGATTTAACACCAGGAATTTCACAAGGAAAAATCTTGGACCCACTTTTGCTCTTCATCTTTGTTATTGACCATTTAGATGAAATTAGCAAACGACACAAAACCTCGGGGTTCATGGAAAGTAAAAAGGACTCAAGTGAGCTACAAAAAGTACTTACAATAATAGAGGGACACTTGGTTGAAAATTAACATGTCTAACTCTCATGTCATAAACGTCCTGCCCCATAAGACACAAACTACTTACACCCTCTATAGCAATCCTCTCCCAACTATCTTCAAGGGGCATGATCTTGGACTTGTAACCGCGGAGAGCTCAGACACCAGCTCAAACTATATAGGGGACGCAGCCAAGGCAAACTCAACCCTCCACTTCGTGCGTCGATAACACTGTTTAAAACGTACACACGACCCCATCTTGAATTCCTTAATGTTATTGAGCTACCCATTTCCAAAGGGGACATTATTCTTTTACACTAAGTACATGGATAGATCACAAAGTGGGTGATGGATCTAGACCACAAATCCGACGACGATAGACTCCAACACTTGGAATTATTCTCACTGAGCCACAGCAGAACAAGAGGTGATATGACTTATAACATATTAAGTACGTCATGTCACAACACAAGCATCCTACCAGAAAATCACTACTACGCTCTTGAAGCCAACCCCTAAATAGTTGCAAATAAGAAAAAAACGTAGGTACGTTGCCTTTCTGACCAAGAGTTGTCCTCTATTTGAATGCTCTCTCAGTCGGAGATCACGGCCCCCTTAGTAAACTGCTCCCAAAGGAGACTTGATAAACACGTACTCGATCGCGGATCGCCATCTTTCGCTTGGACCAGCTGTATCCGATGCATGTCCTATGATTTACCCACTCTTATCATTATTGAATGTCAGTGACTACTTCCTATCGCACTTATTATCACCTGCGTTTCCCCTGTTATCTTTACAATTCGATACTTACGCAGTGTCTACGTAACCAGTCGATCAACTTATTTATTTATTTGAAGCGATGGTGTTCTCTTAGCACTCGAATTATCGCCTTGTTATTTTGCATGTTGCAACCAGTCAATTTTCTGATTAGTAATATGATAGCTTCTGATATCCAGAAACCGTATTAGCCTGGGACGGATGAACCCACTCGAATTACAGAATATACGAATTCAAAAACAGCTATCAAACTGACTATAATTAGTTCAGTCGATAGGGTGGACTATCACCCATCGGGCATAGCCAAATATCTGGAAGCCTACTGAAGCAACAAGAGGTGAGCCCAAATAAATCAATCGGTTTGCATGTAACATGCTTAAAATTCTATGTTGTCGACTTGGGGTTTCGATTATCAGATTGTCCTAATCTCATGCCCATTTTTTCTCTAATTGTCGTCAATCGCTTTGGTTATTAAATACGAGTACATTCTATGTGCTTAATAAGTTGTCAGCTCTTTTTTCTCTTGTTCTTTTCTCTCCCAGATACTTTCACTAATTTCCCCTAACATTCACCCAATACACAAGGTACATTAAGACTAGACACAAACTTACCAAATGCTAAATATTACATGTACAAGCTGATAACGAAGATATTGGATATTGGATCTGTTGGTTTCTTTGTTTAACGATTTCAGTTTTGTAAATATATATTTCAGCGAGTTTATGAAGACCATAGATGTACTGTCTTTTCGGATTATTTTTTGTCCATACAGTCTTGAGCTCTACTATTTCTATTTCATGGCAGAATCACCACTCTCAAACAGACATTGAACGTATAATCGGAAGAGTTGTTGAGAGATGCCCTGATATTTCTTATGCTTACTATTTAACAACAGGTCGTACTACCACAACACAAAATGGAAACAGACTGTTTGTGATAGCTTTTGGGAGACATGCTAACGCTTCTGAGAGAGGTACTGTTTGCATATAAAACATAAGTGGTGTAGGTATACCAGAGTTTAAGTATATTGCAAACATGCATGGAGACGAAGTTGTTGGAAGAGAACTGTTAATACGGTTGGCCGTCTACCTCTGTGATGAGTTTATCTCACAAAATGCATTCATTCACAGACTAGTTAACCGAACGAGAATCCATATTTTACCGTCAATGAACCCGGACGGTTGGGAAATCGCCGCATCTAACGTAACAATATGTTATTGGGCTATATATTGTTTTTAATATAGAAAGATTTTCACGAATTCGGAAGAGGCAATTCAAAGAGAGTGGACCTTAACAGGGACTTTCCAGACTTGGCGAAAAAGTTTTATCGCAATCTACGTAATGGTGGACCCTTGGACCATTTACAACCTGATGAAATCGATGTGGAGAAGGTAAACTTAGATGATGTAAAAATGAAATTTCTATGCGCCCAGATTTTCAAAAGTCCTTCAGACTTTTTAGATAGGGTTTTATACTACGTGGCGATATAATAACCTAACTAAATGTTAACAGAAGTCGAGATGCGTGTCTCCACTCAGACAGTCAAATGTAATGTCCAGCTTAAACACGCCGAATTGTTAGATGATCTGACCAAATGGTTTACTAGTGCTATGCAATTTTAAAAAGTCCGTGTTATTCTCGAACACGAAAATCTCCGGAATTTTTAAGAATGTACTTGTGAAAGGCGCTGTTACCAAGTATTGATGCTTAGGGTTCCATCTGACGACTTAATGTAAACGTTCTTTGACTAATATTTAGTTCACATATTGTACTCTATTTGTGGTTCGTCCAAGTGATATTAGAAATAAATTTATTTTGGTTAGCTTGTTGTAATTCAAGAAATAAAACATCAGGCATTATATTAATTGCAGTGTTTTAAGATTTCTAGGAAATCCTGTCGGTTTTTTAGACAGGATCTAGTTGTTTGTATTCAGTAATTTATTTTAAGGTTGGGAATTCTGTTGACATCGTAAGTAACCCAGTTTCTAGTCCACTGTACGAAGCGGAGCACTGGATTCAAATATATATTCACCTCAATGTTGCTAGGGGAATCTATAAACATGAGTTTAGCTGAGATCACCAGGATTTTTAATAAAGAACGAATGCTTTACTGCACATTATTCATTTGGACATTTGTTGCTTCTCCCTAAATGTTTAAATAATTAGCAAACTTTAGTGATCGTCAAGTCAAGGACTTATTTTGAAACGTCGTAATTAAAATTCACCAACTTTTCTTCCATGAGAAGTAATGATATTTCATTCACTCTCTAAATACTAAGTGGAATGCGTACTGTAATTTAATATTTTATCAGAAAAGCATGTTGATGTGTGACAAATATAAAGAGGCCTTTTAGTAATATTTTTTATTTATAAATCACTAACCTTGCGGAATATTACCGACATCATTCATAACTTAATGAGATATCTAGTGGATTATTTTAATAAGTGATTACTATTTCCATCTTTCTAAATCTGACTGCTAGGACGTTTGGCAATATTTACACTCATATCACACTTATTTAATCAATTTCATTTTATAAATAGTCAAATAACGAAGTACACCTTTTCGGTAATCTCATTTTAAAATATGAATGCAGTTATTTGAATAACATTCACTTTTGGTTTTGCTTAAAGCTTTTGAAAGTAAATAAAAATTGCCGAACCAATAAATATGGAATCAATCCTCCTAAAGTTCACATTTCTCAAGAGCTTAAGTAATTACATGTCATTGGGATTCCCCAAATATACTTATCATCTGACTATTACAAATTATGGGGTTCAGTCAGTTGTATGAGTGTTTTAATCTACGATTTAAGGGTGCTAACCAGTCTTTAACCATTTGCTTAAAGTTGTCTTGTAATATAATGTTAATTGAAGTTGATGTTAAGGACCTAATCCTATTTTCTACTGACGTAGTGTAAATATGATTTCGAGCTGACTTATGTATTTCAAAACCCATTAGTGATAATCAAGATAGACCATCTATATTAGGGGTCTTATAGCGAGGAATCCACTGGTTTGTTCTACTAAGCCGTGTTTCACTGTTTGAAATCCCTTATCATAAGAAAGTGAGGATGGACTCTTTTGTGTGAAACTAAATGATATATGTTTTACCACTGACTGAATAAAAACTACATGGATACTATAAGATTTCACATATTATGTTTACTTCTCAAAGTGGTCAGTAATTCACACAAACAAAGAGCTTTAATTTGCAGTGAAGTATTTAGCTGGTGCTTACAGTTTTAATTGTTTTTCTACAACTAATATATCGTGACAGGATCTGATTTTGGATAACTTGAAATTAAATAGCCGTCATCATATCATCAATATTCGAAGTACAGTTTAATGCTTGTTCGATACAAATCAGTGGTGCTAAAACTTCTACTTTAGCTTAGCAATAATTCATACAACCGGATCTCGGTAATTAGCTTTACATCACAATGCCTATGGTCTACTTAAGCGTGGTTCCAATAGTGAATATTGCCAATACAGCTTTTGGTTTTTTCATAAATGAATTTTGTGCTCAAAGGACCAATGATATGCTGAAATTTTGGCAAAGTAGATAATTTCAAAGCCCGTCTTTGATTAACAGTATGCTATTATCCAAAATATCATTTAACCTAACGAACGTTTGACTGAATTTGAAATATGGTTCTTTAAAGTATTTGAGGCAAGAGGTGAATGTTCTGACCAGTCTTTAACAATGTATGTTAGAGAAATAATTTTTTTGTCCGAAATTTACATGAATTGGGTATTCAACAATTAACTACAGCGTCTGTGAATTCTATCAAAAGTGGGTGTTGATGAGTGAGTTGTTGAATTCTGTGCATTTAACGTCTTCAAAAAAATTAGATAAAAATCACTCCTGTTTTGTCTCACCGTTCTTTAAACCTGTTGTTTTGCTCATATTAGTTCATTACTTTGTTGATTTACCACTAATATTCAGTGAGCCGATCATGGATGTTGATTTTAATTTACCTGTTGTGTTTGGAATGATTTTAAAACATTAGTCATAATAATTTGTCTGGGTAAATTTGTGGGATAACTTATTTCCAAAATATATTTTCGGAAACGTAGAAAATAGTTTGTTGTTTCAAGCGCATACAAGTGGTTTTACATTTGAGGATATTGAAACCACCAGTCTGAAGTTGTTATTATATACGGATTATGAAACGCTTGACCTTAGCTGAGCTTGTAAAATGGTGCTTTAAGTTTTATTTATATAGAATATCCAACGCAAACTCTCTTGTTTTTCCTCACACATCAGCTAAATTTATATTTCCAAATACTAAAACTTGGACTGCGTTTTGACTTTGTTACGAATCATTATTAAAATATATTCAACATCTTAATTTAAGCATCATAAATGTGTATGTAGAATGAGCTCATTGTTAATAGAAATTGGATTACTTAATCATGATTTTAAAAGTTTTGTGAGAACAAATCATGCTGCACTTATAGTTTTAACCTCCAAGTATTATAAAATTCAGTGACGTACATTAAAAATAGAGATTTGCATCTATAAATTATCCTCGGGTTATAAGTATGTCATCTTATTCAACTGTTTTATGCCAAACATTCTGATCCTAAGTATCAACAGAGTATATCGTAGGAGTAACGAGGCCAAAAACTGGTTTTTCCACTAATTTAAAATCAATATGTATTTCAGACTATTTTCTGATAAATGCAGAAAAAAACAATTCCTTACTCACAACTTTTAGTTGTTATTCAGACGATTAAACGTCTTCATAATCCCAGAAACTTTTCTATGCTTACTTTAAAATTTAGTGTTACCTGTATGACCTTCGTCCAAAAACGTAGATTTTATATAGTGTTTTGACTTAGAAGATTTAAGGACAGTCACTTGCTTATATTTATATATAATTACATACTTTTGTGTTAAAAGAACAATAAAGTTGAATTATAAACTTAGGATCGATACCATCTTGGTTATTTTGTGAAGTATTTTAGTGTCCCTGTGGATTACTCTGTTTTGGATAAATATACATTATTTGAAACTAATGTAACAGAGAAACCAGATAACGACACAATAATGTTGCAAAATTAATTATGAAATCCACTTCAAGATTTAATTCATCATGTTCCCCTACTCATCATTACAGTTATTAATATTTATTTGATTTCTATAATATTTTTAATCAATTTTCAAGGACCTGAATACATTTTAAGTCTCATAATAAGAACAATATATATCGTGCTTTTTTCTCACCTTCCTTATGTTTTAAAATAATTGTTATTATTACTAGATAAATTAGAGATTACCACTATGATAGGAGTATATATTTACTATTCTACTGTTTTAGAAATGAATTTGGAAAAGACAGAATTCTTTACTAAACCACTCTTTCTTGGCTTACATCTCAAAAGTGCTTTCTGTTTGTTTAAAAACACTATGCTTTTACGTCCTGGCAAGCACTATAAACTATTTTTAACAGTTTTAGTGTTTGACTTCGAGAGTTCAATTCAACCAAATGCTCTTGTTTAATTAATGATGCCCAATTTAGAAAATTGTATTTTGAACATAATTTTACATTCAACATAAGGATACAACAGTTTGTCGGTTCTTATTTTAAATATGTTTTATAAAGCCTACACTATCAGAAGACAACGTATTTCAGAATTAGAGGCGCCTTTCTTGGACATTCGTTTGTTTTTGTAAATGGAAATTTTCTTTAATTCATACTCGATTTTAGTTAATCATCTACTAAGTCTTCACAGCGCATGATATAAACACTAGGAATATGTAAACATCACGATTCTTTGGTTACTCGACGGTTGTTATAACGCTTCAAATAGCAAGTAACGTTGACAACACTGATGATTTTTGCACCATCACATCTCAATGCGTAACTGAATATTTTAATCATCAAGAATATTGGCTTTCATTTATTCTGTAAAATGTTTAGCAAATAATATAAGTGATTAATTATTCTTAATTTACAATTATCTTTTCATTTATCAGTTTTTTGTTACTGGGAGCTTTTCAATTTCTATTTTTTCATTTAAACGAACTAACTGATCAAGGCGCAAATAGAGACAAGAATGGTGATGGAATGGTTAGACAAAATCAATTTTGTGCTGGGTGCTAATATGCACGGTGGTGATTTGGTTGCAAATTATCCGTTTGATAAGTCAATAACTGGGAATTCTGCCGAATCTATAACACCAGACAACCCTACTTTTGTGTAAGTTAAATAACAGATTTTACTATATATATATATATATATATATATATATATATATATATATATATATATATTATTCTCTAGGATCGTGTATGTAATACTGAAATAAATTATAGATCAGAGGGGGTTTTGTGGAGAATTTAGTATTTTCACTGTTGAAATCATGAGTCAATCGACGCTAGACCACAATCGAAAACCTGGAAGCACTGGACGGCCGTTTCGTCCTATTATGGGACTCCTCATCAGTGCGCATCCACGATCGTTTAAGGGCTCTGGCTCGAGACTGGTAGGTCTTGGGTTCGAGTCCTGTGAGTGCGGGATCGTGGATGCGCACTACTGAGGAGTCCCATAATAGGACGAAATGGCCGTCCAGTGCTTCCAGGTTTTCGATGGTAGTCTAGCTTCAATTGACTCATGATTTCAACAGTGGAGATAAATTATAGTCCATCTTTAGGATATCGCTCTTTTTCATTTTATTCAGGTATGGATTTTTAAAATTGAAGTTAAACATGTATCTTATCGTTCGTCTTTGTTTCAAAATAATGGAGCGTGTCGAATCTTATCTTTAAAAATGAGACCATAGATATTTCGCGAATGACTTTTCAGATGCGTATTACTTTTTTGAAGCTCGAGGTGATGAAGTTGCTTAGCCAGATAATAAAAGCTTTATGATTAAACTAGCCTACTCAGCTCATCACCACCGACACCCCATTCATGATAAACTAATCTTTTCATCAATCTCAGAACCGTGCTAAGAGAGGAACATGGTTTGTTCATTTATGGAAAAGCCACAACATCTCCCAGCTTCAGATAGTTGAATTCTATCAATATCAGGTTTTGATGTAATATTTCATAACTTCTCAAGTGGACTGTACCCCATATCTCTTGGTGCATAGTCAACAATGAGAGTTTGGATAATACTGCGATTGACACCAAACGACCAGTTAATGTACATATTTTACTTTCAAAAACCTACTTTCCGATTCAAAACCCCTTTGAGGTATCATTTTCTGTTAATACAGAATAATACAAGTTTTTACCCTAGAAAAGGATAATTTTTAACAGTCTAGGCTTCAGTTTTAAGTAATGATAGATAATGACTAGGTGTAAAATCCAGTCCACTCGTCTCCTCCTACCTGGCACTCACAAGCTAGATGCTCCCATTGTTGATATTCAAATAGGACGAAATGAGCTTTCTGAATTCCACTGCTTATCACTACCCGTCTTTACTTATACGCTTATGACTGAATAAAAATATCGAAGTCGTCCACTCGAGATAAACATATGCCAAAGGAGATTAATCAAAATTCAATCCCTAACATCAATAACGGGAATAACTAAACACTTGGAAAGAAATAATAGGTTCCAGTTTATCTAAATCACTGGACTTTGGTCTGTTAAAACAATCAAGCGTCTTAAACACACAAAGCCATTTTATGTAAAGTAGTCAATGTTTTCATCAACCAGCATTCAATGTATTGTTGAGTAATAATAACGTATTATGACAACAAATATATTGAAATTTAAAATTGGCTGTTTAATAAATTTAAAAAATCCAAATTGTAGTGAGCTAGCAGAATCCTATGCTGATCAACATCCACGAATGAAAAAAGGGATTAAAAAGTGCTATGACTCCGATAACCACTTCAATGATGGAATTACAAATGGTGCAAGATGGTATTCGTTGAATGGAGGTGAGAATATAATTTATTTGACTAGATGACTTCGTTATTTTAAATATTTGTTTCATTTGCATAATTCTATTATAAACTTGTTTGCATTTGAAATTATTGGCCTGAAGTAGGTACATTTTGAGCCCGACGGTGCTGAGGATAGTTAGGAAGTAAGATAAAGTAAAAAGTCTTCACTATTAGACATACATATACTGTATCTCTCTGTCTTCATAGTTTTCCTTCTAAAAAACCATTTGCTGACGATAGCAAAAATAAGAATGCTGGTAGACATTGAATTGTGTGAAATTTAAGTCACAAGGCTCAGTGCTTTTATTTTATCACGCGTTGTGGGAAATCGATTTACAAAAGTTTGCTAAACAAACGTCTGGCCAAAGCTTGTGATGAAGTGTTCGATATTAACCTTACGTTCGAGATTTTATAAATGAACCTTATGCCTTTGGTGTTTTGTTGTCTCACTTTAGTTGAACCTACATATTCTTGTACCGATTAGAACCAGCTATACAGAATAGCCTAATTAACTGGCTATTTCAAGTATTTTCATAGTGATTTAAATATTTTGAAGTGTAAAAGCTGTTCTATGAACAATAAATTTATTAAAATCTCACTCATCCTCATAGATAATAGAATTTTCTCAGCAAAATGCCACAAATATTGTTTCCTCGGATTAAGATTATCGGTTGGAAACTGGTAGCTGTTAATTCTTAAGCTCATAACGCAATCTGATGGTTAGCATGAAACCCCAAGTATCCAAAAAGAGATTATTTATTTCGGTTCAAGAAAAAGTAATGTACTTCAGTAGTCTCATACAGGCTTATAGATCAGAGTGCATGTCTCACTATCTACACAAAGCTAATTGCTACTTTGAGTGTTCATATTTGAATTTATTAAATATAACAAGACTTCTACAAAAAAGAAAGTTGATTTCATGAATGCAAATGACTTTAGCTGGTTCAGGATGCATAATCTCAGGTATTGATAGTCGATTCTTTCCAGCCTTTGGAATGTAAAACAACCAGAAAAAAGCTAATAAGACTTCAATAGTCTACCGTCGGCAATCTATAAATCCAGATTGCGGTAAAGGTAGCCATTGCAAACAAAGTTTTAGTGTCTTAATCCTTTGGTTCAGATATTCTGAATATGTTACGTGACCATAGAAATGGACTAATATTTGGTATTTTCTGTCGTTCATCAGCTGATATCGGTCCATAATGAAAATCTAGTTTACAATATCTTTACTCTTTCTTGTTAACATCTTTATTAAAGAAAATATTTTAGTGGTGTAAACATTCTTAAACCGTTCATTTTATCAACTTTTTCCCAACATAGACCATCAGATTTTGTAGTTTTATGTTTATTAGTTCACATGTTTTAATTATTCCAAAAAACTTCAAGGTTTTTATTAATGAAGTATTAACATCTATTGAAATAACGGTGTGCAGTAACAACAGAAAAAGTTCAAGGGAATTTTTATTCATTTTTAGGGTGTTATATAAACTAAGTATTGTGTAAATGAGCTATGTGACACGCTTTTTCTTTAAATAATATTATTTCGAAAAGATGTGAGGTGTTTGATAGGACTGGGAACTAAAAAAATTTTTGTGATGCTTTCGATCTATATTTTTACTGATGTGACCGGATAAAAAGACGACATTGTTCGTGTCAACATTTTTTGTATCAATTCATTATAAATTTCGACTACGGTAGCAGGTGAGAACTTTATTCAGCGTAACATTATGAGATTACCATTTTCCAGTATTAATTCAGTATAAACTTTGTTCCATATGATGAGTGTGACAATTTTATTCTCCGTATTAATTCAGGTGAACTATACTTATTTTTACTGTGACTGTGTATTTCTTCCCTATGTGGCATTGTTTTGTAAAACTTGGTATACAAAAGATTTTGTTGTGGTCTAAGCTTGATATGAGTTTGAGACTTGTTTGGAGACGTACTTTTGAAGAGCCAATAAATCTTCACTGGACTAGTCTTCTGTGTTCAGTTTTGCATTGTGTGGATTGTAGTGGTTCATAATTATCAAGTAAGAGCGGAAAGACTGCAAACTCAACAGTATTGATAAGTACATAACAGCGACGACTCCCTAGATGTAACAATTGGATACCCAGTTATAACAATTATCCAAAAGTAGTATTCTACTGTTGTATGCTACTGATGTTGACAGATATAAGTAGTATGTATGACCAGTCGAAAGTGGAATGCCTGACGTCAGATCGAAGAGAACGAGGACAGAGATTAATTGATATGGAAGTGAAGGGACAGCAAAGTCTGAGACAATTGATGGATAGTTTGCAAATGAAATATTTACTGTATGGTTCTCAGATTTTACCAAGAGATTCTGCAGTTTTAACTGTCCCCGCTTGTGTTCTCGTTCACAAAACTTCTGTTAAGTTTTTCCAATACATGTTAGATTATCACTTGGTTGGAGCACTCAGGGTCTAGCTGATTTCTTTTTTCATTTCATATATGAATTGCCACAGTGAATCAGTCAATAAAACTCAATGATGGATCTGTGATGTCATCCCATCCAAATACAAAGTCCATGTATTCAGAAGCTTAAACAAAACTGATATTCCATTGTGAGAGTAAGACGTATACCTTTATTACGAATAGAAATAACTTTTAAGCAGAGATAGATGGTGGCTAGCAGTGGAGTCCTGGACACGCGTTTCCCACTATGCAGGACTCGTCAGCTGGATGTACCTGCATCATAGAGTTGATGTCAACTCCGGAACTGGAACCCAATACCTTTCGCTTGCAAAATCTGTTGTGTTGTCCACTTAACTACTGAGCCCGGATAGCCATTAGCCTGCTCAATGTGGTGAAGTTTAATTTGTCTTTGTATTGGTTATTTGAATCTTCCCCCTGATGCTTAGGACTGCAATTGATCAGTTTCTCATAGGCATATATGCATCGGGTGCGGATTGCCTTAAATCACAAGCATTGTAAGCAGGAATGAATGGTCCCAAATAGGACAAAACGCACTTACTGGTTTCCACTGCTAGACACTATCCATCTTTGCTTAGAATGGTTGTGATTTAAAGCAATGCGCACTGTATGCACATATGCCGATAAGTGACTGATCGATTGCAGCTCTAAACATCAATGGGAAGCAGAGATGGATAGTGGCTAGCAGTAGAATCCAGGACGCGCGTTTCGTCCTATTTGGGACTCATCAGCTGGATGTACCTGCATCTCAGAGTTGATGATCACTCTGGGACTCGAACCCAATACCCTCGCTTCAAACGCCATCGCGTTATCTACTCGGCCACTGAGTCCTGATAGTCAAACAAACAATACTAATTTGAATTTAAACTTCACCCCATCGTACAAGAAAGTGGCTATCAGAACCCAGTAGCTAAGTGGATAACGCGATAGCGTTTGGAGCGAGGGTACTGGGTTCTATTCCCAGAGTGAACATCAACTCTGAGATGCAGGTACATCCAGAAGACGAGTCCAAAATAGGACGAAACGCGCGTCCTGGATTCCACTGTTAGCCACTATCCATCTCTGCTAACTATGCTTGTGAATTAAGGTATATCGAGGCAATACGCACAGTATGCACATATGCCAAATAGAGACTGACCAGTTGCAGTCCTAACAAATCGATGGGAAGATTCAGACAAACAATACTAAGTTGAATCAATGGGAAGATTCAGATAACCGATGAAAAACGAAAAAAACCTTTTTCACTGAATACGTCAGATAAATTCACTTTTTGTATTGAGAGAGCATTTCCGTTATAAAAAAAGAATACAAAGTTTGTTTAACTCATAAGTAACATTGAACCAACCCATTAATTAAGATAAATCAATCATCAACTCCAGTATATGTAAATACTGACAATAATAGTTTAATGGTAGATAATTATATCTTTTCCAAGTATTATTTATTTCACTGTTTGTAGTTGACCACTTAAGTAGACAAAGTATGCCTGAGTATATATGTATTTGCTTTATATAATCTTATAATACTTAGATAGCCCTTAAGAATTTCAATATGTGTTACTTTTTGTTGAAAATCCGTAAGTTTACGAAACTAGGCTCTATATTCTTTTTTTATCTTGGTTTTACGTTGTACATCATGTTGAGAATTTTATGGTGTATTTAAATTTATTAAGTATATTATCATATCAATCACCAGACTTCATCAAAGAACTGTGTGATTCTGATTTCACCCAGTAGTCCTTACTGTTTGTTTAGTAATATTAGTGTATAAACCACTCCTAATGCATAGATTGGAGAATTAATGCTGTTTTTTTATACATCACTTAGTCAGCTTCATGATACGACTTACGATGATAATAACCTCATCAATTATGTAATGATTACATGAATACTGAACCCAGAAAAATTGAAAAATAATTTCATAATCAGGTAGTTTCTCCTGTTGAGCCTAAACAAGAAGGAGTGTTGAGTAAAATTTTCACCAGGCTGCAATAGATTCTTTGACAAATTTACTACTGACTGTTAACCTGACTAACAATTTCAACTTAAAGGAAAAGTGTATTTAGAGAACTCAGGCGCTTTTGAATAAAATTAGCTTTGGTGGAATAAAACAACTTACTATAAGTAATAATAAGTTCATAATAAAAAATAAGTTACGCTTTCGAACAAATTTTTAAAAAATGTTTTATTGTATTTTCTCCATGATTCTGGATTTTATTTTCATAATGCTCTCAGATATACCGATTTAAATTCATTCATTATTCTGTCATAAACGAAGTTTACGTTATGGAGTATAATTCCAACGGTATTTAATAAAATGTCTTTCAACACTTCAACTTGGTGACTGAATTCAAATACATGTCAGTTCAATCTACTCAGTAGAGTGTTTAAAAAATTTTAATGCATCGCTTTTTATCAATAACTATTATCGAAATGGGTATTACATACACGAGATTAAAATAGTCTTGTAAATAGAAATAAACTTATTTTTGAGTATTACTTCTGCTACCCCTCGTGGAGGAGCTTAGGCTGCCCACCAGCATTCTTCATCGAACTCTGTTCTGGGCACGCCTTTCCAGTTGTTTCGAATTGCCAACCATTCTTTGATGTCTGACTCCAATTTCCAATGCAATGTGTTTTTGGAAATCCTTCTTCGTAAAAATCATATTGTCTCTACTAATCGATTATTAAGACGTAAAGACTAGTTATACGTCCATTAACTTATCATTATATAGATTGAAGTCATAGTTACCATTACCTTTTTACATGCTATTCGTTTTTATGAGTATAAGTGGCTTTTTTATCGGAACATTTTATGAGCTTTACCATTTGAATGACAAACATAGATAATATAAGCTGAAGTGGAAAGTCTATTTATTTCCTCGGTTTAAACATTGTCACCATTAAATTCATTGAGTATTGTTTATTTGAATCTTCCCATCGATTTGTTAGGACTGCAACTGGTCAGTATCTAATTGCGAACATCAACTCTGAGATGAAGGTACGTCCAGCTGACGAGTCCCGAATAGGACGAAACGCGCGTCCTGGATTCCACTGCTAGCCACTATCCATCTCTGCTTACCATTGTCACCGTTAGTTTTGATAAATCAGTTCTTTACTTTGTTTACCGGGGTGGTAAATATTTATGTACATATGAATGATTCTCCATCATTTAAATGCATTTCATGAAAAAAAACTTTTTCTTGAAGATTCAGTGTACCGAAAAGTATACAATCTGAGAAATTAATCGGAACTTTTGGGTTTAACTTTAACATGGCAGCTGATTCCTTACTTTTTATCAACAAATAAAATTGTTAGCTGTGGTATGCTTCTTTTTGTATTAGGAAAAGTTTAGGGTATGTAACGTACACTTTCTCAAAATTTTGGATATCGAAACATATAGTTTTGTTTATTTGTTCATTCCTGGAAAATAAATTTGGTACAATAGCAGTTTCGTCGATTATTTTAAAGAAGTTAGTCATTCGCTTTATCGTGAAGCATTGATGTGCCAAGGATTTTATATCTGTTAACTGTCTGTATATCCTAACATACTGTCTACTGACTTCTTAGTGCTACAACTATGTGATAAAAAAATCCATGCAACATTTATTATCGACTTGGAGATATAGCTCCTCTGTTTATTTTCAGAAGTACTACTCACGTATTGAAAACTGAGGTCATGTAATGTTTTAACTTCAATAATTTACTACTTAGTCTTTTAAACTTCTAAAGTCATGTGCAATTTACTGTACTGTAATTAATTATTCATATTTTCAGACGGATGTTTCTTAAAACTTACACTTCTATCCATCATTTAAGTAATGTTGATTAAATCCATCTGGTTTTCAGCAGTAGACTCTCAGTTTATCAATTGAAACAAAAAAAATTAGGAGCTCAGGTGTGTGCGTTTTTGGTTATGTTAACCAAGTAAAACCTTCCAATCAAACAATTAATCTTAGAAAATATGATATCATAAAAAGAAAATAAACCTATTCACATGCAAAAAATAAAATCTACCAGATGACCCAAAAATAAAATAAATTATTTTTAAGCTGAATCCAGTAGTTTTAGTGGAACTGTCCTATAGTCTATTATAAATATAATTTTTTATATCCCAATGAGTAGAAGAATTATAATCCTGACGCTTCGTGACTTACTGTAAGCAACTTCTTCAGAATAAATAAATAACGGAATACGGTTTACCTATAAAATATTTCAGACCACTTATGCTCTCTCCGATATACACCAGTGCTTGGTTGCTTCTACATAAAAAAGTTTTAAAAGACAATCTTTATCTTTCCCAACTCATCAAGAGTTTGCCAGATAGGTAGATATTCGGAACAGATCACGAAATTCTCTTATGTATTCTACTATCATTATTACTTTTATTACCAGTAATAATGACGAATTATAAAATCGACTATCATAATTTATATCAAAGTCCTGTAAAATAATAACTGGAAATTTCAAACTCAAGAAACTACCTATATTCTTTTGATCGGAAGTGGATATTGTGAAAGGCCAGCTCAGCGAGTTGATAGATGTTAAATTCTAATCCCTATAGGTAGACAAACATTAGGTTTAAGGTTCATTTGACTAACCTGTGTCGAATAAAATAAACGTTGTGTCAAAAAGTAACCTAATTTAACTTGTCTTTAATATAACAGAAAAAATATAGTCATCTATTTTGAGGAAACCAGACATATTCAGAGATATGAAGGCAGATCCAACAAACGATTCGCAGTTTCTCAATCTGAAGAAATCATATACATTTATTATCTATGAGTTCCTTCATCAGAGAAATACTGCCGGTCGGTGTTTCCACTCAAAGAGCTAAACCGTGAAATATTTCTGGTCATGGGAAAACTTTTATTTAGCTCATAACTTTGAACCGTTTCTCCAATCCCATCGTTTCAATGTTATTAAAAGGTTCCCTGTTTGGATTTGTCGATCGATCCAGATTCCAAAGTCAATACATTTGCTTAACAAACCCACAAAATATAGTCTTCTAAATGGACTGAGTAAAGTAAGAGATATTTAAAAAGCATCCGTCAAGCGCAAAATAGTAATTTAGAAACGTTTATGGTAATCTAGTTTGACTGAAACGAAAATAACAACCTTTCTAAATTTTCGATAAGGTGTCGACTGCTCGTTTTTCAAATTATCTTTTTCGTAATATCAGTTGGATGATTTTCAACTTACTGATCAGCATACAGTGCATAAGTTTGTACTGTCAGAGGATGATCATAGAATACTGGATTGTGTAAACTCTTAAGACTGACCGGAAGTGGCAAAACCACTCAGAAATAAAGTAATAGGGTTAAGAACTTTATTGCAGATATATCCATCGTACTTATTTTAATCTGAAAATTTGGTCTATTGATTTTCAAACCGAAAATCTGATATAAGACAAACGGTAGCATAATGGTAATCTATTGACACCGATTTTTATTCTCAGTTCTATACATAAACATTTCAGAAAGATTCTAAGGATAGAAAAAACCCAGTAAATAAAGTCGATTAAACAAAATTGCAGGCAATGATTAGTTAGCTCATAAATGATATATTTTTGTTACATTTAAATGAGTAAGAAAATGATGTTTCTGACATTTCATGACCCAATGTGAGCCACTTTTTTATTTATTCTGAAGAAGTGGCTTACATTGAGTCACGAAATTTTAGAAATACCATTTTTCTATTCATTGAAATGTAACAAAAATATATTTATTTTTAACTTCCTACCCAGTTTATTTCAAAATATCAAGTCCAACCTAAGTGTTGATGCTTATAAACTCATTAATTAGTTAGTTCATTTACTTTTTGACGAATATTACTCAATCAAAACTTAACAATGATTAGTAGAAACTTTTTGATTGTTACAGCAATTGGTTTGTACTTTATATAAGTTGTATAAATAGGCAGAGCACCTTAACCTTCCTCTTATTTGATTGTTTCAATGAAATATATGTTCAAAATGAAACTGAACTGAAGAACTTATTTATTTGATTCTCTTAATTGAACATCTGTTTTACTTAAGCTTGAGATAGAATATGCTATTGATTGAGAAACTTTAAAGTTTGAGATTTTATGTAATTCTATTAATCAAACTGCATCATTTATTTTGAATGATTTTTCCTATTCCCCGCAAAATAAAATTCGTAGGTAAGATCTGGTCAGCAATCAGAGCTTATACATCATACTGATTACTATTTGGAAAAATGGCTTGGTCAACGGGTCATTTTCACAAGCGTCTCTTTTAATAAGAATGTATATTAACTCATTCTAAGGTATTCGAATGATTGAAAATTGAACTCTAATGTGTAAAACGTATAAAGCAATAAGTTGTCCAAACGTTTTTCTGTTATTTAATCCCCAAAAAATATCAAATTTGAAAATCTACAGTCGTTTTGATTTGTTCTCTTATCATAACATGTGTCATGAACATCTATTTTTAGTATGCCTTTGTGGAGAAACATTCCAGTGTCATTAGGGTTTCGCGTGAGTTGTTTTATTCGACACCCACTCATTTACTGCTTAGTCTCAATCTATAACTTCTCACAGAGCATTAAACTCCCTTATTTTAAAATGATAATAAGCGGATTACCATTGGGTGATACAGCTTCGTTCAGACCAACAAATCAATATTCAGGGATAGCCAATAAAATTTTTAAAGGAAGAAAAAAGAACTGATGTAGATATTGGAAGCAGGGTAGGGAGTTATTGATTACTCTTGAGAAAATTTTTTATTTATATGTAAAAAACAAAAACAACCAACGGATAATTAAGGATATTTAGTTAAGAACATAAAAGTAAATATGGCTGAATGTAACTTAAGGGATATCCTTTAAGTAACAATTGTCTCATATTCCGTAATCGTTTTCTGAAAGATTATTGTTACTGTTATCATTATGATCAGCCCAACCACACTAATACAGAAAAAGCAATAAATATACAGAAAGACAAAATCATTTCATAAGTGACTGACATTTTGCGGAGGTTTGGCTATAGAGTTTGAAGTAGATATATTTAATTCCCTGAATAAAATGAATTAAGTATACTATGAAGTCTGCTGAATATGAAAAACTAAATAAATCAAACAACTATTGTACCCAAATTGATTCAATCCCATAATAACTAATAAAATTATAAAATGGTGTTTCTTATTTTTCGCCGAACCTTTCTTGGTAAAGGTCAATTCGTTGATTGCTGTGAAGTTGATCACAGTATATTTTTATACATATAGCTCCCTGTATAGTATTCCCTTTATAGTGTATTTTTTCTCACACAAATCCTTCAACGTATAGCATCACAGTCATAGAACTACACTGAAATACTGTAAACTTTATTTGTCATCAATAACACCGTTCATTGAACAAAACAATGTAAAGTGGCTATTCCTCTAAAATCCATAAATCAGTAGATTCATTATATCTTTGACCCAAAAACTCCCGTCAAAATCACTTTACCGTTCGGAGGTGAGTCAAATAACCTTTTATTGAAACAAAGGTTTGGGTCAGTTTTTACCGAGACGTACTACTCAGCAAAGTTCATTATCAGAGAAAAAACAAACAGAATCCATGCTTCACCAAAAACCTAACAGGCATGAAAATGGTTACATCACGTCCCACTGTATTTACCAATTTTAATGTGCGTGTGGCCACATACATAGGGAGGAGTAGCCGTGATCTACAAATTAGTGTGTCTGAACATGTACTGAAATGTTTACAAAAAGAAATAATATAAAATGATTTATTCTCAGATGATTAGATTAATCCAATGAATAAAAATAAAGAGAACTCAGCGAAGAAATTTTTCCTTTCTACGGAATCATCTACCGAAGAAGTGCATTTGTACTTGTGACTGTGTAGTAAATATGTTTATGAAAAGATAGGAAAGATTACACCATAAAGTGATCCGAGATTTCAAATATGAAATGAGGTTGCGTATTATCTTTCATAATTCTGGCACGTGATTTATTTTCATCCTCTTATTCTTCTTTTACCTCCTGGTTATTACGCAATCTCATTTGATATTTAAAGTCTCGAATCGCTTTATGATGCGATTTTTCCTATCCTTGTAGAGACATATTTTCCATACAACTATAAATACAAATGTACAACTTAATTAAATTATTTCGTAGAAGAGAATTTTCTTCGCTGAAAATCAAATGAATTTATAATCAAGCTATATATTGACAGCCTGAGTCACATTGTCTTCGTTGTCTGACATTATAAGCGTTCTAAATATCGAATCTATTCTTTTTCAATATACATTCTTTTTGTTTTTGATCTCCATTTTGTCAGGAATGCAAGATTACAATTATCTGCACACGAATAGTTTCGAAATAACTTTGGAATTGGGTTGTGAAAAGTTTCCCAACGCTTCTGAATTACCAAGATATTGGAATGAAAATAAAATGTCTCTGCTCAACTATATTTTGCAAGTAAGCTTGTGCAACAAGTGGATTTTTCAATAAAAGCCAAAACGTTTGGAGTCAACTACTTATTTATTTATTTAGCTACCGCTATTAAGGTTTGGCTTGATAATTTCAAATAAACCGAGCATTGGGTTGAAGGTTAATAACTCAATAATCATATATTTATGTCCTCCCAATGCGTAGAAATTTCGTGACTTAGTGTACGCCACCTCTTCAGAGCTAAATTAAATTAAAAAGACAGAATATTTATTTCATTTAAAAACAAATATGTCTGATTATGCCAATGCTATGTGAATTTTTCGGTAAAAGTAATTCTGTATGAAACATGACTATGTGTATTTGTGTGTATGATAGCGGGTATGAAATATGTGTGAGTTATAGCATGAAGGAGTTGATTTTAAATTTGAGTGCATTAATTGTGGTTCGGAAGACTGCTTTCACACTTCAAAAATCTCCATTTCATTATATCAACTGACTTTCTTCTCAGGTTACACGGGCCAATATCCTAACCTTTCACTTACTAGGATTTCATCCAGAAAATCAGTTGCATTGTCGATAAACATTGTTGTTTCCATCATTTACTAGGAGATCAGATGGGATGCTTGTTAAGCTACCAAACTCATTGTTGTTAAGTGAAGTTAATTATTTAATAATGTTCGTCAAGATTTGCGATCTTGTATGTTTTGTCCTCGTAGCTACTTAAGTAAGATCATGACGTTGTAAGTTCATTTTAATAGCAATAGCGGCAACTAATATCCACAATCACAAAACTTCTTCAACTGATACCATTCAGTTTTTACAAATACAGAGAAAATAAAGGAAAACTTTGAACCACGCCAGTCTGTACATCGTCTATAAAAAGCAGAAAAACGTCATAGTGACTGCTTTGTAAATCAGTTTCATTTAGCATCTTTGTAAACACTTACTTTCAAATGTGAATGGACTTAAATTATTAGTTTTTTCATGCAGTCCAAATGTGTGAATGCAATTTAAGTAACTTATTTATTTTCATACAGTAGTAAGCAAATGAAGAAAAGAAACATTTCTTGTCGATTAGCTTTTCATCAAGGTTCTACACTGTTATATATGTACTTTCATTGCATCAACAATACTTTTATCGTATTAAAAGGTAGAGAAAAAGAGATTGTTTGCTTAACATGTTTGACATTATTTACCCGTCCGTTATATTCACTTTAGGGTAAGAATGAAATGATACCATTTATCTTTTAGATGTTTCATTAAGAAGATTGAATGGTTCGTTAGACAAGAACTATACAGAAAATCATCAGATTAATAATATGTGAACCCAGTTGCATAGGAAGTACAGTTAGACAAAAACATCATCATGTTTCAAAACACCATGCTTTTTGGTTGGATAATGGGCCTTTAAAGACGATTTAGAGCTGTATGTTAATTCACTTGATTGATGAAAGTCATCTAGCAGGCTGAAATAAGGCTTTTCAACCAATCTATCAATTTATGCCATATTCATTGCATGGTTTATGTATTCTTCTTTTGGATCCATATCCAAAATATAAGCCTACGGGTTCAAACAAAATTTGTAAAACCCAACTCTCTATGTAGTTCATAGAACAGAGGATCAAAAAAAGACTTGTTATTTCTCCCTTTTCTCTGAGTTCCATTTTGTTCTATGAGTTCTTGGACAACTACAATATTCATCTCTTTACTCTTACATGACTATCAATGGTATTCGATATTTTAAGAAAACGTTATGCCAATTATCTTCTTAAACATTACACAATCTATCACCCCTTTATTTAAATGTTTTAATTCATTTACAATATCACTGAGATCTCGAATCCACCTAAGTGAGACAACTACGAAAAACCATGAAGCACTGGATAGTTGTTTCGTCCTGGTTTGGGGCTCCTCAAAAGCACACAGTCATGACCTCACTAGGACCTGAACTCTGGGTCTCGTAGCGAGAGCTTATTCTTGAGACCGTTGAGCCGCTATCCAGTGGTTTACATGTCTGTCCTCAACCATTTTCCATTGTCTTCTGTCGGTAACTGTCTCAAGTACAATAAATACTTTGAATATTATAATTACCATATTATTACTAACTGCTTAGTTAGTAATTCGATATTATTTCCACAATCAATTATGAAGATACGACTGTACAACACTACCACTTCATCTCTATTATACTATTATTGTAAATCATATACATCAGTGTACAGGTATGATGCGAAAATCGAATTAAGAGAAGTATTTTCTCAAGCATATTTGGTTTATACTGAATGTTTGAATGGAAATTTTTACTATCAGTTAATACAGTATCGTTTTCATACTTAGGACAGTAAAGTTCTTCACTGGTGTACTAAGTTAATAACGTTATAAATTAACACTTCTAGAGTTCGTTCAAGAATGGTATTATTGACGGAAAATAATTTGAATTAAAACAAATTTTTGGATTTATCTCCTTACTTGTTTCCACAATTCTGGTTGATATATCGCATAAAGTCGTCGGTGTTTGTTCCTGAACATTTCCGAACTACTTTCGGAATGTTTCTCCTAGTCTTCAGTGGTTTATTAGCTGATGTCATTTATTGATTTCTTTAGATATTTATTCAGTTATATAATAATTTTTCACTTGACCAACCACAGCTTTTGTAGTTACATCTAAAACGACTGTCGAAACAGTGTGTATATTTATACTTGTTTGAACTGAAATAACTCGAATTCATTTTAAAATGTCTTTTAAATTAGTGAACAAGACTAGAAACTTTGACGACAAGCAGATAGTTCACATTATTAATAATATTAGGAACATTCCATATATCGTTCATAATTTTGGAACACCATGAAAATTTGTATCCCAGTAATTTAAACTAAATTATATTGTATTTTTTGGTGGTTGTCGTCATGATTTGACACTGTTCGGCATACTAATGAAAACCAGGGATTATCAGAGAGCTGTTTCTTCCAAGTGTGAATGATTGTCTCACTTTGTCGTGAAGTTGAAAATATGGACCATTAGATGGTAACTCAGTAATCTAAAGGTTAGCCCTTAATTTTCTATTTCTCGGGAGTGCGTGGTTCCGTAATTTTTTTGGAGTTCCACACCAGGATGAAATAAATTTCCAATATCCCTTGGTCTCCTTTGATATGCAAACTAATCACAGATTATCAATTAACGACATTTGATTATCATGACAGCCAAGCCATTCGTTTTTCGTACAGTACAGTGAAAATGTCTCATGTTGTTATTATAAACCGAATATTTTATTGACTTCTCTTTAAATGTGTCTTTAGTTCACTTTTCTTTGGAATCCTTAGTAATCTGATTCGCTGTTGTTTAACGCATCCTATATCTGTGAAAAACTAATAAAATGCTCACCATTTCAAAAACATGTGGTTCCTACCAAAAACGAAAATAATTAAGCAGACTATATTAGCTTAGCTTTTTTATAAAAAAAAATACGTGTATTCGTTACAATAGTACTCATACTTATTTTAGACAGGATTCAGTTAAGAATGTCACTAGATTTGAGTATTTTTGTCTCAATAACCGACAGATGTACAGTTTATAAACCTGTTCATTGAAACAGAGTATTTGATATGGCTTTCTAAGTATAAAATAGGAAAATTTAAGACCATATTGAATTGTTGTAACCAGTTCAAAATCATGCATCATATGAATAACATGCTAACCATGTAACCAAAAACCTTCAGAATACTTTATTTTGATGGGAACCTAGTATTTGCCAGACCTAATATTAGGATCAGGGATCGTAATGCTAAACAATGGCGACTTAACAATAAGATAATTTTTTGGCTGATCGGAAAAACTCAAAAAAAATAGATGTATGTAAAGGCTTTACAGAAAGGAGGGATCGTCAACTCAATATGGCACTAGAAATGCAGACAATCTAGTTTTTTACCTATGAGGTACTTGAACCCTCTAGAACACACTCTAGATTTTTGGGCCTGCCGAGGACTCACATATCAGGGTTACCATTACTTCCGTCTTAACATGTTAAGCTCAGTACTTAACAACAAAGTGGTTAGTGTGAGTATTGAAATCACTGCATATGTACTCGATG